AATATCCTCTACAATGTACTATTCCCGAAGCCAAGGGGAAATCATTTACACTATTGCTCGAAATTAGGCAGTCACTATTTGTTTTATTATATACCCTATACTGACTCTTGTCCCGTTTCCTCTGCGAAGGCCAAAACGGCTTAGAAAGCCCCCTCCCCGGGTCCATTGTTAGCATTATAAGCTGTGACGTCATCAGATGCTCTTGACAGAAACTTTTGCCTCTGAGACTCCCACTTGATAAATTCAATCGCGTTTAACACGCGGAATAGATTATCATAACACTTGAAATTACACAGACAGAAATTACAGAGGAGCTTAGGGAACTTTATACACGTTGCTTATATTGTATCGTTCACGCACGTCTGTCATGGTGAACGAAGTTGATTTGTGTTTGTGCTCATCCTCCATTCTTCTGTTTTTCGTCTGCACAGTGATGATGCGCAGACGTTTCCAAGGGTAATAGAACTTGCAATTGTGACGTCAGCGGGCAATAGTTCAAATGTATATTCCCGCTGGACGTCACATTTGAGGGAATATAACTTTCCGAGGGAAATAGTAAATCTATTTCGGAACACGTGACTAGGTATTGACCAATCAGGATTAGTGTTACATATTGGGTATATAATAAATAAACCTATACAAACATCAATAGACAATATTTTCTTTTGACTTTCTATCAGGATGTTGGAGCACGGGATTATTTTCGAGATTTTTAAGTGTGTTTGGATGTCATGGTATCGTTCCAAGTCTCAACGAGACATGCTCAGGTTAAACTCACACTGGTTCAACATTTCTATCAGTAACAAACAAAGAAACACGCAATGTAAGTAAATGAATCCTTGAACCTGTATATATAATATTTTGTCCACAATCAAAGTATAGAGTATAAATGTAAATCTAATAAAACAGGCGTTGATACGTCAAAACTCAAAGTACAAATCAACTTCCTATGAACACTGGCTAACGCCGGCCCTGCTCCTTTCTTCCATAACTAAGTTATATGACCCATCGATCACTCCAATTGGTGGAACTAAATTACTCTCCTGGGGGTCATTAACAGAAACTTACTAAAGTTACGAATTCGTAAATCAGTTGTTGTAACCATGGATATAATGACCTTACAGTTAGAGAACAATGGGTTTTACGAATTCTTAACTTTATTAAGCTTCTGTTAATGGCCCCCTGACTAATAGAAAGCAAGGAACACCCTTACCAGCTGCCTGTAACATTTAACGTTAAATTATGAATTAGATTTAAAGGTTACTTATATGGTAAAAGATAAAAAGATGTCACTGTACGCTCATTCCACATATAACAGCCTATTTGTGTCGCCAGTGGAGTTTTCTCAAGCGTCAACAGATATACATACAAAACAAAAACGTAAGGCCCGGTCACACCGCCTAAACGTTGCTGGAGCGTTCCTTGAACGTTGAAAAAAATTATCAACGCTCGTAAACGTTCACCACCGTTTAACAAAAGTTGGCATCCGTTAAAGCAACGCTGTAAACGCTCGGCCAACGCGGATGTTTCTCGAGTGGCCATCCTAACGCTCCAAAAGTTTTGAGCTGCTCAAAATATTGCGAGCGTTGAAAACGGACAATTTTACGCCCTGGCAAAGTTTATCACCGCTCCACCAACGCCCAGTCAAAGTTTGGCACCGCTAGACGCAAGTTCGTGGACGCTTGAATCCGCTAGACCAACGCAGAAATCTTAAACGCTGGACCACCGCTGCTTCGCCAGCGTTGCCCGGGCGGCGATTAAACGTTGCACAAACGTCGGTGGAGCGGTTGTTAGCGTTTTATCGTACATGGGGTTGTTGGAACGGTGTCGGACGTTGTCGCAGCGTTCCATGACGGCGATGAACTTTGCTTTGGCGTTGGTATAGAGGTGTCGGAGCGGGACCAGAATTTGGCTATAAATACGTGGAGAAATGCACCACTGTGTAGAACACTGTGGTGGAGACACTTGTGCATTTTACATTTGATATATATTCATGTCTGGCATTTCAATTTTTTGCATTGTAAATTCCTAAATTAAGCGCTCAAAGTTTGTGATTTTGGATTTTAAAAAGGTGAATTATGCGATTTTTGTTTTTCATTAAATGTTAATACAAATAGACTTTTACTGAGACCTTTATTCAAATATAGTATATACCTAATGTTTTCACGTCAAGCAATTCAATAAATTATCTGTGAATTTTCTGCGCAGCTTGTAAAATGTTGCACTCGTCATGGTATTATACAAAAAGTTGATGCGCGCACAGCAATGCTAACATTTGTCATGCGTCATGATTATTACTTTGCTGTAAATGTTATTTGACATTGTTAAAGCAATTTGAACGTAAATCGGTTCCAAGTAATGGAAATGCAACGATTAAATTGTGATATGTTTGTTTGAAATGATATGAGAGATTATTAAAGAAAATTGTAATGTTATTCATTCTTAATGTCATAATAAGAAGATAATAGAAGCACTTTATATAGATTTAAAACATTTCTTCTTTAATCCTTGAAGGACTTTTGTTAAAGTTACAAATTCCAATAAAGGTCTTTACTCTTAAACACTTCCCACTTGAAATAATTTCCCAGTAGTCAAACGCGATATGCTGCTAAACCAACGCTGCTGCTATTTATACCCCCGCCGAGGCAACGCTCTCATGCGCGGAACGCCGCTATACCAACGCTCGCATTACCGCTAAACAAACGCTCGCTACCGCTTGCAACCGCTTAACCAACGCTAAAGCAACGCCGGCTTCAGCGGTGCACCGCAAAGCCAACGCCCGTGTTTTTGTTTTTTTCCCCATTTTGTGCGCGTTGACGAGCGTTGATGAATTTTTTCAACGTTCAAGGAACGCTCCAGCAACGTCCGGGCGGTGTGACCGGGCCTTTAGACATTAAACTTAGGACCAGTATCCATACGTTTAAACACTAAATGCACCCCATGCAGACAGATCGCCTAAAATTACATTCGTATGATGCGAGACTCGACATTCAACGGGAAACTGGAAACAATTTGTCAGCAATGTAGCAAATTATTTTTTTACTGACTAATAAATTGTGACAGTCACATTAACTTCTACAAGTATGAGAATAACATGACATTTTGATATTTCAAGGTAACTCGTTTGAAAAAAGATGGCGGTGATTGCATGAAATTACGATGTGAAGATAAGACCTCAACGAATTTTTTGTAGATTTCTTTGAAAAACTAAGAAATATACATCAGATATCGAATTTTTCAAAACAGAAAAAAACATGTATAAATAGTATGGCCTGCAGGTCAAATTGCTCCTGGTAGCAATAACATTGGTCTCGTATATGTCATGCAATTAATATTTGAAACACAACTATTATTCGAGCTTATGATCGGACATAAGTATGATGTCACTTTTACTTTAGTACCTAGAAATACACATCATACTTCTCGAAAGATTTTAAGGAACGTACCATTTGACAACATAATGTGATAACACGGTGGTATTAGTAATAAATTGTTGAATTTGGCAAGGAGGACATTCCATACGATACGCACTTATCTTTGTTTCTTTATGTTTGTTTGCTTTTTTGACGTTTATATGAGTTTTTCTCATGTACGTTGCATTAACTTCCATTAAGGTGCGTTACACCCCAGTCACATTTGTCGCACGGTGGCCGCAAGTCGACCGCAGATCAATTAAATCGGTGAATTTCTGCGGCGAGCGTAGAAAAACTACGCTCGCCTTGCTGCCTCCGTACGGCGTATGCAGATTTTTACAGGCCGCAGGGAGGGCGTAGAAATTATAACTCGGAGTTATAATTTTTGTTCATTTCTGAGGTCGCCGTAGAAATCAACTGGCTCAACAAGATTGAATCATTATTTGTCAATGTTTCACGATCACTTTTCATTTGATATTACATCCTAGCACTATGAATAACATTTATAAATTGTCCTGATGTAAATAAAATGAAAAAAGTATTATTTATCAACAGAAATTTAAAATTCACCCTGCGGCTGCCGTGGGAAATATGACTGCAAAAGTATGAGAGCGCAGAAATTCTGCGGCGAGCGTAGAAAAGCTACTGGCCGCAGAAATGATAGACCGCAAGGTCGCCGTAGGAAATGTGACTGGGGTGTAACATAGAGTAAGAAATAAATTGACAAATCAGCGATTCACGCTGATATACTAAGTGTAGGAGATCCCACGTGATCTCATGATTCGCCGTACTTCATATGCACTCCAAGAAACAGAATGGGACAGCATCTTTTCCAATCAACCGAGGTTGGGCCATGCAGCCGAAGGTAAGCCATACAACCGAAGGTAAGCCATACAACCGAATTTTGCCGATTCAATCTGACGGAGAATGCCGAGTCCCTATTTTTGACCAATTAGAGACGTCCTCTTCACATTTGTGGTTCCCTCGGCCAACTTCGTTTGCAAAGAAAAGCTTCGGCAATCTTCGGCAATCTCCGGCTTTTCTTGAGGTATCTTCGGTTGATTGGCAAAAGTCGACACCCGAAACAGAATATCTTCCTTGTAATCCCTAATAATACTAGCAAATAAGTGGAGTACGACACTTATATATTATTTGCCTATACGAAACTGACTAATAAAAGATATAGGATAACGCAATTTGGTTGTAAAATGTATGGAATTAACGTTCTTCTTCAACCATGGTTTAGAACATGCCATATAACTCTGGTTCAAATTCACACAAGAACTAGTTTTATAAGGATTGAGATACGTTGCTGTTGATAATGTTGCTTAATATACTTTATTCCCCTATAAATGGTTTTAATTTACCCCAAAATCCAATTTATAAGAAGTTGTTGCATGTTTCATGTGTATATATGACATATAATATTGAAATCAATTAAACAAATGAGCAAATGGATCAAAATATATTTACTGAGCAAAAGTTCAACTATTATTGTAGTTTGTGATTCCATGACAATATAACTGTCCATGGGGTTAATAATGTAGATAAACCGATTTAAATAGCTCCAGGTAGGGACATGCATTTGGACTACATTATGACATGACGTATTGATTTGCTCCCCAACAATGCAATAAATCGTTCCAGTAAGTCTTAATATTAATCTTGTTCGTCCGTGAGGAGGTGAAAACAACACGATGTTTCGATTTCTCTTCAACACTAGCCTGATATTTCATGTATTTTTGATATTGCTCCTTTCATCTGTTTCCGGCCTAAATGCAGAAGGAAATGCAATTTCTTCAGGAAATCGTCCGGAAGAACGCAGCATATCACCTTTGCGTAATATAACATTAGGAGTCTATTCCAATGTTTTGAGAGAGAAAAGGGAAATACAAGAAGAAGTTTGTAATTCGGCTGCCTCAGATTTTAGATGTAGTGATGGAAAACGATCTTGCCGAAAGCGATGTAGGGATAAAGTGACAAGAGAAAATGCGACGGAGTTTTACTGCCATTGTGACGAGTTATGTTCGCACTATGGTGATTGTTGCCCAGATTCTAGGTACCAATGTCGAAATTGTAACGCTACTGAAAGAGGTATCATCGAAACTAATCAGACCCTCATTGATATCGGAAATGATAGTTGCGCGCCTGTTTTTGTTCATAAAACACAGCGCGCAAATTACCAATGCACGCGTGTTCAGGGAGTCGTGCGTGTCTACCTAAGAGCAAGTTGTCATGCGGACTATAAGAATTCTGCACTGGAAAGGAAATGCTTAAGTGAAGATGAGCCCTATTCAAAAATTCCTTCCTATGATGTCACGAAGGGAGAACATTACAAGAATAAATATTGCGCCGAATGTAACTTCGTTGAGGCAGCGCTCTCTTGGAGGCTGAGAATCGAATGCGTAAATAAGGATTCCTTGAACGGTTTAAAACTTGGAAGCTTGAATATTCCTCGCATCATGGAATTCATACATATACATGATTCAAGAAACATTGGCCGTGGATGTAGAATCGATTATTTGGAACCCTTGTTGGACACGAATGAGAACATCCCACAGTTACGCCCATGCATCAGTACTCAGTTTGAGTGTGAATATTGTGAGGACACAACTCTGGCAGCACTTTGCCATACCTACGGGTTAGACCCAGTTGATGATTGGAATGTTTATCACAACCTTTACTGTTTGAAATGTGGTAATCAGTTCGGAAGACCAAGATTTGCACCATACCCTCAGCTATGTCAACTTGTCCAATTTGCAAATAGACAAGACCTGAATGAAGGGCTTCACATACTTTCGTTTCAAATTCTTATGGACGTTACAGGAGACACTATCAACGTAAGAACTGTTGCTGGTCATCAAGATACGAAAATAGCTGAAGTGGAGCTGTCTTGTTCCGGCGACTCGTTTCAATGCCGTTTGAAGCGCTGTCATGGCAATTTGACAAGAGTTGGAGATGAATGTGTTGTCAGAGGGTTTGAGAGATCGAGGAGTTCAACGGTGACCTCAATAACTACAGAACGGAAGATAAAAGCGGCGGCAAGTGCAATGGCCGATATTTCACCGTTACTGATGTGGATTTCGATCCCCACAATCATCATGCAATAATAGTCTCGCGTGTTTGTTTCACCCGAGTGAGCAACTTTAGAATATTGTTGACTGCTTTTTCTCTCTACATTATTCGGCGTGTTATATGAAGCTTAGACAATTTCTAAAGACAAAGTCCTTAAGCTGTACACTTATTAAATCATTTGTATTCACCTTTCCACAAAGTCAGCTCATGAATATTATAATGAGCTGCTTAAAAACCTGTGACGTCAATGAGAGAAACTTTTTCCCGCGAAAAACAAATGCAATTGAGTTTACATGTAAATCCTCGGTTGATTGCTGTACGTTTTACCTCTTCAAATGTGCAAGTAATCAGTTAATTATTGACGGATTTTTATTGAACGTCAAATTGACATTTATTTACGCCTTCTAAGCGATTTAAATATTAAATTTCTGTTCATAATGAGTAAATAATTTGAAGAGAATTACTCCCGGTCAGTTTTCAATCGTGATAGGAACCGGATGTGAACAGGTGAAATTATCATAATCATTAGTTCACCAACATTATAACAAGTCTCCTATGCATAAAAATATATAGATAGACAATCTATTTTAAGTTAATCTTCAGTGTCATTTGATGAATGACCTGTTAAAATTAAAAACATTTGCTCTTATTCATTAAATCATTGACTTCACTACTTCCATAATTCAATCAACTAGACGATTACTTCCTATTTATTTCTGTAAGTCATATCAGATCGTATCTTGAAAATATTATACTTGAAAACATTGGGATATAAAATTGATATCTTGAAGGAGCGTGGCATATATAAAGATTATCCTATATGAGGTTCAGGATATTGGGATTATCCCGAGGCAAATATAATATATCTGCCCGACTATAGGATAATATGTTTATCCCATACCAATCTTGGTCATCTGGTTCACATTGTTCAATCGTGGAAATATTTTAGAATATTCATGTCCAGTTTTGTTTTCTTGGCCGTGGGCGGATTTTCCTGTTATCTCAAATATTCCCAATATACGTCCAAGTATGGGATAAACATATATATATACAGGCCCGTAGCCAGGGGGGGGGGCTGGGGGAGCGGAAGCCGCCCCCCCCTGGGCAGAAATTCTTTCAAAATCATGCAGTTTTTCACCATTCTGAGAATTTGCCAAAATTGTGAAAAATCTCCCCCCCCCCTGGAAAAATAGCTCCCCCTCCTGGTAAAAGCTGGCTACGGGCAAGATATATTCCAATGTATATTTCCCGCTGCGTATCTCCCGATCCAAATATTCCCGGGAAAATGTTTTTTATTCAGTCTAGAAACAGTCAATTTGTTAAAATATCTTGCTAAAGCAAAACTGTCAAAATAGATCCAGCAGACCGTAGAATTTTTCTTAACCAAAATGATGCTGGATTTCTCGAAAATAATGAGAATGGGAACGCTTTATAGAAAACAAACATGGATATGGGTTTCCTGATTTCACTTGTGAAACCTCACTTGTCATTGGATAAATTAGTTATGTGATGATCAGTTTTGAATAATGATCACTGGGAAGATTTCAGAGAAAGAGCGTATATCATATAATGTTTATTAATGATATGTTGACATTGCTGATCATTATTGACATCGCTGATAATAAATAAGACGAATAAATACCAAAAGGTAACGCTTTGTGCGAATGTCACTCATGGTGAATTTCTGATGGAACTTCTCACTACGACATAATAACCATTTAACAGGATAGTGTATGACCACTATCAGATAATTTAACCGAGTTGTTTGTAACTTCACAATTTACATTTTTTGTTCACAATCGCACGAGACATGTGAGCCCGGGTGTGTGAGGCTGATCTCTGAGAAGTCTTAATAAACAATAGTTCTGTCAAAAAATGATTAAATTAGATTATATAAGATTCGGAATGAAAGTGCCCCGTCCATATTTCATATTTGATTAAAAATAATTAGTGCGTTGGGCAAATAGAATCCTTTTTATTGCAGTTAATCCAAAATATTAATATGCTGGCTGTACTAGCTCTTCAAAACTTTCCATCATTGACGTCATTGATTTGACTCATTTGCATACAACCAATCAGCGCGCCGGAAATTATCGATTTTCTTTACTTTGTGGAAAGGTGAATACATTCATCAAAACATTGATGGATCAACATGGCATTGGTAGCCTTTGAATGACTTAACACTTAAAATTAAAGTCTGCATGGCCTTCGAGTGACTCAACATTTAAAATTAAAGTCTGCATGGCCTTCGAATGATTAACACTTAAAATTAAAGTTTGTATGGCCTTTGAATGACTCAACACTTGAAATTAAACATGAACTGTATCAAAATGACACTTTTTATTCATGCAGTGTTATCGAAACAACAAGACAATATTTGTCCAACTCATATTTATTACAATACAACATATATAATAAATGTAGAATTCAATTAATCTGGCTTGTGGTGACACTAATTAGAAACCAGCTTCTCATTTCTGTAACAGCATGTATATTTTGTCATGAGCTCGAGGGTAGATTAAAATCGGAAACGTATACGGATTCATAAATGTTATTTTGGTAAGAACACAGATACAGGCTCTTAACACCTCCAAAGTCCTTAATTTCTGCTAATAAAAGGCGAATGATTCGATGGATTTAATTGAATGCACTCTGACATAAAAATTACTCCAATAATCTTCTAAGAAAATATCTATTAAAACCTTATGATATTGAAACTAAAATGTGTTTCTAAATAATGTTACCTTTGAGATAGCAATTCAAGCAGTTATAATTGTAACAACTCAAAAATTTCAAAAGATAATTTTAAAAAGATATTTATCGTCTTCAGTTCGGATTCCAATCAATAAACATTTTATTTTAAGAGAAAGGGGTTTGACACGCCTAACCATCGCGTAAGCTAGCGTTACCGTACAGCTTCAAAAATACAGTAGTACAGTACTGATTTGCAGCAAAAACTATAATGAGGGTTTTAAAAAATTAATTATTTGAAAATAAATACGATTTTGGGTGTAATGAAAACTTTCTAATTATAATAAAAGTTTTTCGAGCACTGCACGGATTTAACTGACTAGATCGGCCCACAAAACTGACGACAGAGAAAAATGTTGTTTTTCACGTTCGCTTGTTTATTATCTACCGGGTTATCTACCCTGTCATCAGAGAGTGGATTATTTTTTATGAGAATATGTATTTGTTAACTACACATTTTAGAACAGATGAAGATTCGGCATATAATCATTCACTGCATATATTTAAAAAGACGGTGACGCATCGGCTGTACATAACTGGACTACGAATTATGCCAGGTTATATGTAGCATCTTGTTGACAAATATTCAGCATGAAGAACGTTTAAGTTATGAATGTATCAATTCTGTATATTGACTTTTAATGAAAAGGGGTTTTGTTTCTGGTTGCCCCCTCTTAACACAAATGATACGTACTTAATTGTCGATACATTAATATATCTAAATATACTACTTAAAGTAAAACTACAAAACAAAGACCAATGTGGTTTAAACTCTACAGTTAAAGGATAGTTAAAGTGAGTTACGCGATGGGGCACAATATGCAATTTGATATCATTTATTTCCCGCCGTGCATCCATGGTTTGCGATAGTAAAAATAATGTCATAGTATTGTAAAGCTGCTGTCATTGAAACTAAATTAGGCAAAATGACAAGGAATCAGTTTATAATCTAAAATTTGCTAGGTAAAATGGATTTAACGAGACAAATTTGAGTTCAAATAGAAAAATACCACCATGGTAAGATTTTATTTTAACTACATATCTAATTGAAGAAAATCTGAATTAAGGTTTTTGTGTAAAATTTAAGCGAGGCATCTGCTTCCTACCTAACTATATCCATCCTTTTGGCGCACCACCAACAACATAGACCAACAGCACAACGCATTTTCTCAACCTTTAATGATGTAATGTTGCAACAACCTTTTCTCAACCTTCAATGATGTAATGTTGTAACAACGTCTATTTTTTATATATATTATTTATATATTATCTTTGAAAGTGACTCATAATATCGAAATATCGAGCCACAAATAAAATGAAAAAAAAACAACAAAACGAATTCACGAATACCTAAATAACTGAAATATATTCACCCTGATGTATCAATGGAAGAAAATTTGCTTTTTGGTATGAAAGAGCCGTCTGACAATACTGAGTAATGGATACATATCCAACACATATTGCGTCTTAATATTTGGGACTTAGACATTGAGCATAACCAGGGCTACTAATACCGAAACTGATTGACCTAAAAGGGAGGTTAGTTAAGTAAATGATTGTCGATAATGTAGAAATAAGACGACTATGAAGGAATGGGATGGCTATCAAGAAATGAAATGACTATGAAGGAATGAGAGGACTATGAAGGAATGCGATGACTATGGTATAGTACAAATTACATTTTTACAGTATTGTGTTGTAATTACCTGCTGTAAAGTAAAAACCTTATTGCATGGACACCACTGTGCACACTATATAAAGAGGTTAATGTTATCGCAAACGCATTCAAAACCGGATTCAAATCAGTTGTATGTGTAACAAAACAGGTTAAAACTAACCAGAGGCAGTCAGGGGGCGGTATTTCGAGGTTGGTCACTTAAAGGCAGTGTCATCTTCCTGATTGTGATTTTGCCTCGTGCGAACACTGGCATAACAGCCTATCTACGATTCAGGGAGGGGTTCAACTTGGCATTTTAGTCTGTAAGTATATTTTATCATATTTTAGACAATCATTTTCTTTTAAACGTGTCATGTACAGACAATGTGTGGCGAAAATCATTTCATCAAATATATTAACGTTAAGCACAATGGTGTTTTACAGAAAGGAATAGACAGCGTAAAATAGTGGAAATTTTAAGCATCCCAATGCTCATCCCTTTCAATCTCTATTTGCAATCTTTATTCTATCCTCTGTCAAAATTAAGATAATGCATATGGCGGAATGGATTGAAGCGTAGAAGACAATTAAAGAAATCGTCATTGACGATGTTCTCGAGAAAGAAGCCTCTGGTCGAATAATGAAGTATATACGATTTAAAGCATTTAGCTTGTTCAAAATAAAAATTGAAAAATGCAAAAGTATGAATAAGTTCTAGAAAGCTACTGTCAACATAATTTTTGATTACATTGTATTGTAATTACTTCAGTATGAATGAATGTCCATTGGATACTCATTTACTAGTCCTGGATTGTGATATTGGCTCTCAATTGGAGGTGGAGGGGGGGGGGGGTGTTAGACATTATATCATGTGACAAATTTAAAATTAGAGTTCGCTTTTCTTGCAAGGTTTCTTTACAGTTTTTTGGAACTTTGCCTTTGGCACCGGTGCTTATATATTTAACAAAACCCGGTACAAGTGAATTGATTGAAAAAAAATCAAATTGAAATCTAAATAGTGGTGATCAAATAATTACACGCAGGCTTCTTGAGATAAGAAGAGATTTTATTATTTTTACATGATACATACAGATCCCCTTCCTACATCTATGCAGTATATAAAATTCGAGGATAATACGAACTGAGATACAACATTACTAATTAATTATCCAAAAGAAAGAACAATTGCTTGATTTTCCTGTTTAGTCAGTCTTAAAGGTATTAACCTATCAAGCGAGCGACTTAGCAAAAATTGTAACTTCACCAATTAATACCATCATGAGAATATTACGGATCTTTTGACAGATAAACTGCATTGCTAGCTCATTTATAATACTGTATTGGTTGGAATTTTGTCACCAAGTATTTTTATCTTTTCAGGAGCTGTACCTCGATAAAAAATGTCAACAGACGTGGGATTACATGACAATGTTGAAATTGGTTACTCAACAGCCTTTCATCATGGTGAGAACATTGAAATGGAGGAACGAACAAACAACAATTCACCTGTTGAATCGTCTGATTTAATTCAAATTAACGTTGGTGGGGTCAAGCACGAAGTTCTCCGATCAACATTGCAACGATTCCCTGGAACTAAACTAGCAAATCTGAGCAACGACAATGCACGTAAAGGAAGTGACTTCATAGTCTCACGGGGTGAATTTTATTTTGACCGACATCCGGGTATCTTTACAACAATCCTGAACTGTTATAGGACAGGAGAATTGCATATGGACAGAAACGCATGCGGGTGTGCTCTGGCTCATGAACTAGAATTTTGGGGCATCAATGAAGTAGCTTTCCAGAAATGTTGCACGACAAAGTACATGGAGTCCGAATATATGAAAACACAACTGACTCTATTTGAGAAAACGTTCAGTTCAGAACAGTCGCACTATAACCGTGAGCCTGGATGTGGAAAACTCCAGGAAAAAATCTGGGCATTTCTCGATAATCCATTTTCTTCCGTTCCAGCGAAGGTGAGAATGAGGTTAAAAAGACCTTGGTTTTTTAAAGCAAATTTTTTGAATGAAGAAAACTATTTAACAAGGATGGAAAAGTTTCTCAAGTTTCGGCATACATACTACTAAGCCATAATTAGATGAAATACCAAGCATCTGACTTTTACCCAACCTGTATACTATGCATTTGACATTCTATAGCTACTTTCGGTCTTCAAAAGCAGGTGACCATGTTTTGGTCTGATTACTCTGGTTAGGAATGATCTTCTTTGCAGTGTTCCTATTGGTGGATATTGGTATGAGCCATGACACGCATGGCTCTCATGGTATCTGCTCCTGATTTCATTTGTCCTCATTATTTCTGTTAAAACTGTACTTGTCTTAAAATTGCTCATGGGTTTCTGCAATTTTCTGATGAAGATTCGATAATTTTCATGATTGTATATATTTTCAGGCGTTTGGTGTTTGGACTGTACTAATGATTGTTCTCTCCATCATCACACTTTGTCTTGAAACGGTCGATGGTTTAAAAGAGGAAATAGGACCACCTGAAATCTCTAAAATTACGGGGATTCAGGAAGGTGTACTTCGTAGCAATTACTCCGTGGTCATCCACGAAGGGCTTAATAACAACCAAACAGGGACAGTCTCTTGGTGGATCACAGACCCGATGGATTCAAACAACTCCAAAAAGGTTATACATATCGGCGAACATTTTCACGTTCCAAATTCATTTCTTATCTACATTGATTATGTGTTGTTTGCTTACTTTAGCCTGGAACTCGTCACTAGGTTCATTTTCTCACCACACAAAGGGCGTTTCTGGCTGAGTTTCTATACATTCTGTGATGTCATCGCACTAATACCAGGGGTCGTTTTATACGTTACAAATTTTGTCCACCCCGTGAATAAATTAAAAACATCAACACTTGATATTGTCCGAGCCTTAGGAACCGCCCGAATCCTGAGGCTCCTGAGATTTATGAGATTTTCCATGGCATGTAAGTTGCTGTTATACACATTAATGGCAAGCATCAAAGAAATATTTCTCATGCTTGGACTACTTTTACTCGGAGCAATTACCTTTGCATCGCTCGTGTACTTCGGGGAACTCATTTCTGACTCGGATGAAGTTTTGATAACAAACATTCCAATTGGCATATGGTACGCTATGGTTACCATGACAACTGTAGGATACGGCGATTTCTACCCAAAGAGTATCGGAGGATATATCGTAGGAAGTGGATGCGTCATTTGTGGTGTACTCGTCATCGCCTTTACTGTACCTGTAATCGTCAACAACTTTCTGATGTTTTATGCGCACGCATCATCGATGGACAAAAAATCCGAACGACCTTTTAAGAATCGAAATAGGGATGATAAACAACAAATAGATTAGTCTGAAACAAGAAATCATTTAAAAAAAATGAAGGCTCGTGTGAAGGAGATGTTTGCAGTGTTGTAATGAATTGTATTGATAAATAGGGATGCTTCCTTGGTTGTAATTTACCGAACTGCAAACGTAGAAAAAATCCGAACATTTTGAACTGATTAAGATCTTTAATTGTGAAGGTCTGAGTACCTGGACCTCTTAGAAAACATCAAAACATATCAAAAAGTGAAGATGGGTCAATTTGATTCTCGTTCTCCGAAGATATTAATGAAATAGTTAAATGTTCGGATTTTTTTAATGCTGCAATTGTTCACAATTCTAAATTAAGAAGTCGCTCGTCTTTCTGTCGTATTTAGGAAATCATGTTGCCGAAAATCAGTGCACAGTTTTCATGGTGTTGTAAAATGTGCGTATATGTCGATTGAAACCCTCTCTAACGCAATTTTATTATAAACTAACACCTTAGGGTTAAACTTTTGCTCGAGGAATTAACTCATTTTCATCAATAAATATTAACCCATCAGGTTTTCTACTAGTAAACAAACGTTTAAACCTCAGTCCATTGTCGTTATCACTTACTACTATATCCAAGTGAGATATGGCTCTTGCCTCAGCACGAGCCAATAATTGAAATAAAAGGTATGGGATCTCATGCTGAATTGCATTTTACCATGCAAACAATTACTTCTAAGATGGAAAATAAGTGTTAATGACAAGTGTGATATTTGCAGAAAAGTATAAGACTATAAACATTTGTTCTTTCAATGTCATAGAGTATTTAATGTAATAGACCAACTTGTAAATTATATTTTAGATCATTTTAAAATTGAATTAAGCTTGAAAAAAGTATCAAACTCTTGGCTTTGGCTATAAGGTACACTAACTATACTTATTTTAATGAATGGTTAAAGGCAGAATCTGATCTATAGGGGTGACAAAATTACAGGCAACATGTATAATTGACCTGCCAATCTATTCCTTACAATATCAAATACAATATCTCCTAAAAGATTCACAATATGTTATAAGTTATTAATGATTAAAAGTGCAAAAATGAGTGAAAAGTGTTTAAATTCTCCCAAATAAATATAATAAGAATGGTAACCATTCTTATAGAAAAATAATACATTATTGTAATAATGTTCAAGAATTGAAATTGTATCATTTTTCACAAACATTGTAATCCTGTAAAATGACCTGATGTACACAAATGAAAAATATATACATGATTTAAAAAGAAAAAGGATCCCATGCTTTAAAATTCAGTCTCACACCAGCTTATATATGTTTTCAATATGCTACATTATCACGCCAGTCCATGTTTCAACATTCCACATTGTCTTCTACATTCTACAACGGCGTTCAACTTAATGAAAGGAGTTTATGGAAGCCTTTGAAATCTAGAATAATATACAGACTGTCAAAAAACACCAGCACCCCTCTACAGCAAAAACTCCTTAATGTTACACGGCGTGTCATATATCATTTGAAAGATTAATTCTGGAGTTACTCATCAAGTTTCATTTAACAAAACTTTATATTAAAAAATGCTACAATGTTTTAAAGTTAGCTACTTTAATACTTTGTTTGCCGCTTTGTTACTGATTAAGGGTAAAATTTTCAGAAAGTGGAATATGCAGCCCAGATCTAATTTGCGCTGAATGTATGGGGTCAATTGTGAGCAGGGGAATTGATGGACAAGGGGCCTCTTGAAAACAGAAACAGTGAGGATATATTTCTGAAGAATGTGAGGAATTATGCTGTGAGGATTATGCAATGGTACACCTCTATTTGAATCGTTATTTAGCCATTTCAATCAAAATTAGCTGATAAGTGGTGCCCATACTGACTACTAATAATAGGCTGAAAAACCACATGATACACAGCAGAAATCTTTCAGGTAACTCCAGAATTACATTTATCTTTCAAATGAGATATGACGCACTATGTACCATTTGGTACTTTTTGCTGTAGAGGGGGGTGCCGTTGTTTTTTGACACACTGTACAATTCTTCCAAAGTTTTACAAGTTCTCGAAATGATAAATAATCTATGGAAGCTTTCACTCTAAACCACCATTATCATTAAAATAATTCTTCATAATTGGTACTAATTTTAATATCCAAATTTATAACTACTGTCTATCCACATAAAAGTATTTTTATTCGGGAGAATCGGAAAGCGGACACAAAATTCTCCAATTCATTTTCCCACAGAGATTGTTTTCTTACCCTGAGAAAATAACATGTAACGTTTTATTTAATTTCCGATTTTCTTACATCAAAAATAACTATGTGGAACGATGTATTTAACCCCTCCCTCATTCTTGGAAGTGCCACAGCAACCGTCTGCATCATTCTCTTGTCTCTATTGCATCTATATTTGTTTAAAGTCATAATCGTAGTCCGTAATCCGTTGCATTTGATTATCCATTCTATCTGTACGGTGAAGATTTCCTCCCCACCAAGATGCTTCGGGGTGCTGTCAATAGATGGCATTTTGGAATAAAAAATGGGTCATTCAATTTAACACGTGTTGCCCTATCTAAAGTAAGATTTGCCTCACTACACCCCTTTGTGGAATCCTAGCTCCGGCACGGGTCTCATATGAACTTTTTTGGGGTATCGTTGTGTTCATTTTACGTATGATGGCTTCTGTCAGTGATTTGAACTCGTCTCCTTATAGAGCTCTCCAGAATTTATCCATGACACCAATGTAACGATCAGTTAAGACGATTTCGGTCTTGCCTATTCTGACCTCGAAAACAAAAATGGTCAAACTATCAAAAACTTAAACTGATTGCAACCCAGGCGGTACATTTCTGTGTGAGAATACTTCATCTGGTGAAAAGAAATATTCTCATTATTGAGTAAAAAGTGAGCTTCATCGGAAACCATGACATCATTCAAAAATCCGGCTTATTTTCAATTTTTAAAACCAATTCAACACAAAATAGCTCGTTCTGGGCTATCCTGTATTGTTATCAATTAGAAAACTTGCCTAAACTAAATCCTACCTTTGGACTATGAGTCCATTCTTTTGAGAGTAATTTTGAATCATCGTTAATGCATTTTTATGCCACAACATGCTTTATATAGAACCGAACTGCTTCCTTAACTTCATTGACGTCGACGTTCAGTTTAAATGGACAACCGGACTTTGAATAAATACCATGATAGTGGTGACCGAGAAAGATTGTTAACTCTCTAAAGCATAAATTCATACGAGGACTGTTACATACTATCTCAATGACAAACAAACCCGGATTAGAAAACAAAGTGTTGGCTACTCCAGCTCCATGTGGTGCAACCACGAGTCTGGCTTGATTGAAAATCTTTTTTGTGTCATTAAACGACGGAAGTCTCGCATCTGAAAATACGAGAAACTCCATATCATTCTGTTTAGCAATATCGGCCAGAAATGAAGCTATTTCGTTGTGTTGAGCAAAACTTCTTTTCCTAGACCTTTTTATTAAGATGATATAGTTTTTGGGTGGAACAGGTATTCCTGGAGTAATATATCTCCTGAACTCCTTGGATAATTGAGATAATCCTGATTGAGTTGATTTGAAACACGGCGAGCCTTCCGGGAAATACACTCTTGTTGCAATTATTGGTCCGTTTGTTTCACATATTACCAATTCAGATATATTCCTAGATGGAAATAGAGTCTCGAGTGACGACTTCATGAATGATTGACAATTGATATATATTTTGATATCCTTCCTCTGGTCTATAAATCGTATATACCGCGATAGTCTTGGGAGGGATTCGACCATTGCATGGTAAAACCCTATCGAATAGAATTGTGTTATAACAAATACTTCTCCGTGACGGGGCAACTTATTTAGGTTATCTTTTATGTTTTGTTCGAAATAATTTCTCGCTTGTTTTACTCGTTTGGGTCGGTCGAGACAACTATTCGGTATAACCATCAGGCCACCGACAAAAACCACACCATAGTAGGAGATGATTCCGTTATGCATTACATGGATGAAACTAGATACTGTACCCCATTGGAATAGTTCATTTGTAAGTGTGTGATTAACCGGTAATTTGAATCGTTGTTTACGTACAGCTGCACTCCTTGCAACCAAGGTCTCATTCATATTTGTTGTACAGGTGTTGGGATATCTAAGACGACCTTTGTAATTGACAAGTGCCGTACACAAAGATTTGCTTCCTATCCATTGGAACTCACCATGTCGATCTTTGTCAGAATCCGTGGTTTGAAAGAGCAACGTTTTGATATTGTGCTCTGCAGCAATGTGAACAAAGTAATCGTTCCTAAATGAAATAACGTCTTTGAACTTGCCCTTTTGTTGAGTATTAAACGTTACATTTGGACTAGATCTGTATTTTTCCAAATTGTTTTCAATATCAACCTTATTGTCAGGAATCATAATGAAATTTGGATGTATACCGCCGAGTTTATTCTTGTATGTAAGTTCAACATGTGCATGCTTTCCAGTAGATTTATTCTTGTCTAGCGGTTTGAGAAACTTGCCTTTTTTATAATCCAAACAGGTGAGTATTACTGTTAAAATGACTATAGCGCAAATAACGTACACTAAGATGCCCTTGAAGAAGTTCTTCATTTCGTATAAGCTTTTTAAATGACACTTGCAACTAGATGTAATCAATCAATATTTGAAAAGTGTTGCGCTTCAAATTTTACGCTTCAAATCAAACGGGTTATCAGAAAATTACGTTGACATGTACATGGATGGCACGTGGCATTGATTGACGTTATAATTCACGCCCTCGAGTATATGATTATTAGAGAACCACATAGAATTAGGACAGGTTTTTAGGACAGCTTTGTTTTTGACTGGGAGGGGAGTATGGGCAACAATGTTATCGTCAACGTAATCAAAACTAATAATACAAATGTCAATTGGATCATACCGGCGTGAAAGAAATTATAGTCCCCTGGGGATTATGGTCCCCTTTCTAAACGGCCCTTACTGACCCTGATTGTGTATAAGATAATAAGGGAAAGAGTTGTATTTAGATCACCATATAAATCAATGGAGAGTAGGACCATAATTTGATAGGACCTCCTACACTTTTACACCAGTATATCATGGATTAGTAGCCCATCTGTTTTCAAAGATGTTTTCCTAATAAGAAAAACGAGGATCCAGTTTTTTGATTTTGGGAAAAAGAAGATTGCAATAAAAGGTATCATTTATCTCATTTTAAAAGAGGGGTGTAGTAATTGCTATTTATTCCTGTTTATGTAAGTACCGAGGACGATTGGCCCTCAGAGTGCAGAATCGATATCCTGTCCCATATATGGCCATGCCTTACTGTTACGAAATTCGAATTCAAACAGCCGCCATTTTGTTTACTTCAACATTTGAATCGTGAATTTTGGTCTTATTTCCTAACGAAAAATTCCAAAACTCACAAGATATTATCGAGATACTAGTTCGAATCTTTTGAACTGTTTATTTGAATTTATAGTCGGTTATAATTTTATAATAATAATATTTATAATAAATCTAATTTCATTATTTTTGTATGGGGACAGCAGCTTGTCAAAAGATGCTAATATCAAAATCTTAAAGCTCACTTCAGTTTTATTGAAAGGTGTGCAAGTGTTTAGGTTTTTCCTCCACCATTATCTCTATTATCTTGTATAAACATTATTCTTTTGCTTGTAGCAAACACATTTATTGCCAATTTTCTTCTTACAAACTTGTTTACTTATGGCTTATAATGCAGTTCTGCAAAGCCGCAGACACGTGTATGTTATATGTTTGTTATACATGGAAATAAATCATTAATAAAAAAGAAAAATAATAATTTCAGAAAATAACGACATTTCGACGACGTTTTCATTGTTGAGAAATATCGAGTTTCGATCCTGGGAGCCAATCCTCCTTGTGTAAGTTCATTAAAAATACTTTAAAATTTCGCAATACTCAGATGATACTGCACTATTTCTAAAAGATAAAAACTCAATTATCTATGAAAATTAAAACACAATGTGTATTTCTTTGCACATATATAAAGTACTAATAAATCAACAGCAACAAACATATTACCTATTTTGTGAGAATTTGATCATGATATGCAACAAGCAAGTAACTTACAGCTTTCAAGCATATGAATCGTTAATACAATTGTATCTTTTTTTCATCTCCAGCTGTTTCCAGCCTCTGAACATATCTAAAATATTGGATTAGGTGTAAAATGCCTATGAAGCAAGCCTTGTTCATGATGATATTGCTTTCCCTTTCAAGGCCTGATTCTTCTTTACGTAGGATCAACAAAGGGACTTTATCAATATCATCATGCGTTTTTGTATCTAGTTTGTATTTCTGTATGCTATGTTTTGTTTCTTTTGCGAAAGTTATATCACGCCCGGTGATCGTGAATATGGGACGGAGGGGGGGAGCAGGCAATTTCTGCTAGGAAATTCAACAAATCTGGAAGATTTATTTTTTCAAGAAAAAGTTTACCATTGCATTGCTAAATGGATAGGCGCACGGTATGGTAGAATATGTTAGGTTTTCTGGGATTTTTTCTGAAACGATACGCATCTAAGGTATGAGATCTATTAAAAAAGGCGCAAGGCCATCAACAGGCACAAATCAACGTTTTTGCTATAAATCAAGCAACAATGGTCTGGACGACCTGTAATAAATACTTGTAAGTGATGTTATCATAACTAAATTAATGTCATTGCTGAATTTATAAAATAAGTTTCCATATGTGAAATAAAAAATAATCAAAAATAATGAATTTGGGATGGAGGGGGGGGGGAGGGGACGGAGGGGGGGGAGCAATATGTATATAAGACATGATTAGAGATGTTTCGCGACTTTAAGTCCTTTTACTCCAAATGTCCCCATTTTTCAGTCTCCAGGGGTATATCATCCAGTTTCTTACTAAGTTAATGAGTTAATTTTTCAAATACAAGAATTCGTGTGAAGTTGTTTCACTTTATAGAATTATTACTCCCCCCCCTCCGTCCCCTCCCCCCCCCCCCTCCGTCCCATTTTAATTATTTTCGATTATTTTTTATTTTACGTATGGAAACTTATTTTATAAATTCAGCAATGACATTAATTTAGTTATGATAACATCACTTACAAGTATTTATTACAGGTCGTGTAGTCCATTGTTGCTTGATTTATAGCAAAAACTTTGACTTTTGCACGTTGGTTGCGTTGCGCCTTTTTTAATAGATCTTATATCTTAAAAGAGTATCGGTTGAAAAATAATCCTAGAATACCTAACATATTTTATCATACCGTGCGCTTATTCAATTTGCAATTCAATCGTAAACTCTGTCTTGAAAAAATAATTTTACCAGATTTGTTGAATTTTCTAGCGGAAATTGCCTGCTCCCCCCCCCCCTCCGTCCCATTTTCACGATCACCGGGCGTGTATATCTTTTATTTCTAGGCATTTTCCATTTTTCCGAATTTTGACAGATACCGCGAAAACAATATGTCCGAAACAAAATAAATCCTGGAAATGAAAACACTTTTTAAACATCAAAATCCTGGATTTATCAGCGAGCGATCACCTAAAACGCTACCTGAAATAGAATCCTCAAAACTCATTTTATACATAAGACATGCATTTGTAACAGCTCCGGTCTCAATCCCCGAAACTGCCACATACGGGCTGCTCACTCAATCAATTAATAGCAAGTACAACAGAGCAACCCGGCCGTTCAAACAACAAACAAACAAACCGGACCGAACAAGCAAACAAATGGTAGAGTGGTAAGCTGAAAGGTCATGGCACGTAGTGTATCGGATTTGAGGTGAACGTGATTGATTGCTTGACTATATGTAAGGTGCTACCACCTTTAAATAGACACAAGAATTAAAACCACCAATTGAACAAGAATGATTTGAAACAGGATAAAGAAATCAATTCAGTAACACCCCAGTCACATTTGTCGAACGGCGGACACACGTCGACCGCAGATCAATTAAATCAGTGTATTTCTGCGGCGAGCGTAGGAAAACTACGCTCGCCTTGCGGTCTCCGTACGGCGTATACTTAAACCTTATTGGAATTCTAGCATTAAAGACCTTTTGAAAGCAAAAAATAAAATGTGGTCAGAGTGGAAAAGAAGTGGTATGCATCGTGGTAACAATGTTTTTTGGTTAAGTTACAAAGATGCCAAAAGAGCATTTAGACGTGCCTTGAGACAGGCTGAGGTAGAATATAATATTGATTGTCAGAAAGATATTGATGAAAGTCAAGATATAGATGCAAGGTACTACTGGTTTTTGGCCAATAGGCACAAGAAATCTGGGAAAAATTCAAAGTATTAGAAATGACCACGGTATAGTACTTCAAGAGCCAGATGCTGTAAGGCAAGAATGGTCTAATTATTTTAGTCAGCGTTTTACTCCTAAGGAATGTGATAATTTTGATATAGATTTTAAAGCACATGTTAATGCAATGATGGACTTCATGAAGCGTGGATATTCAGAGAATAATGATGGCTCTTTTAATGAATGTTTTGATGAGAATGATCTGGCCATGGCTATTAAATCCTTAAATTGTAATGAAATCCTGTGCTTAGGGCTGATGTGGAAAAGTCAGTCCACCCCAGTTGGGATCGAACCAACGACGCCCCACTTGCCGGGCGATTGCTCTAAAACTGAGCTATAGGACCGACTGGCTTTATCACATCAACATTGCATATATAGCATTGCAGCCATGTCTTACATGCCCATTTCCTGGACCCCGCATAAGTTACCTGTCTTTCCAGGTTGTCAATCATTCTATTCATGATGTCACGTGGACTTTCCCACGGGTCATTCTCCCTACGGAGAAGTAGTATGAGTAAATGAAAACACAGAATGAAATCCTGTGCTTAGGGCTGATGTGGAAAAGTCAGTCCATCCCAGTTGGGATCGAACCAACGACGCCCCACTTGCCGGGCGATTGCTCTAAAACTGAGCTATAGGACCGACTGGCTTTTCCACATCAACATTGCATATATAGCATTGCAGCCATGTCTTACATGCCCATTTCCTGGACCCCGCATAAGTTACCTGTCTTTCCAGGTTGTCAATCATTCTATTAATGATGTCACGTGGACTTTCCCACGGGTCATTCTCCCTACGGAGAAGTAGTATGAGTTAATGAAAACACAAAATGAAATCCTGTGCTAAGGGCTGATGTGAAAAAGTCAGTCCACCCCAGTGGGGATCGAACCCACGACAGTCACCAATTACATAATTCTGTCAAAGAAAGATTTTGGGCTCTCCTGGATCACCAAATCTAGCTCATTATATCATGGCATCTCAGGGCTGAGAAGAAACGAGATGTCATGGTTTATGATTTGTTTAATCTGTCATCGTATATCAAACTGAAAATTTCACCATATTGTTACACATGTTGCATTTGTCACATATGGATTGACTGTTCAATTCTTGATGTTAATTGACAAGTGAAAAAAAATATCAATGAAACCCGTGGATAGACAAAACTTTATATGTTAAACAGCATAGAGTAGTGACACGGTTAAAGCAAAGTCTAGAAATGTATCCAATGTCTCGACAAAAAGCATTTTTATCAATGATGTTGATACTAGGCGTTATATCAGTCATCAATTGGTTCGTAATTACAAAAAATATGGGGAAGTCAAAATTGATTTTGCCTCAACTTAAAATAACAGCTAACAAGTTAACAAGGATAAATCGAGTACCAGTTGATGGAAACGATACTGTTAAAATTCAACAAATAATTAGCAATGATAAAATTGCTAACGTGAGTAATAAAATCGTTGAAAGAGGTTGGGTTTCTGTACGTAAAATGGGCAGAATAGGAAATAATATGTTTCAGTTTGCGGCCGTACTTGCAGTGTCAAAACGCAATAACATGACACCTGTTTTCCCGAAGGAAATCCTCGATGGGATATTTAACATTGACCGATCTGGGATTATATTAGATCGGGAAATGAAAAATTCTCTTCCGACAATTTCAGTGTCTGAGATGAGATATCGCAATTATGATAAAAAAATCTGGAACAATTTTACAGAAAATACCAACATTATAATCTGTTGTTATATGCAGTCGTGGAAATACCATGTTGAAATCCAAGAAGAGCTAAAGCGGCACTTTCGATTTAAATCATCAATTGATAATATAGCTACAAAGTTTATTGATAGCGTCTACAGAGACATTGGAACAAGACCTAAGAATAAGCAACCCGCATTGGTTGGAATACATGTACGGAGGACTGATATGGCAACAAAGCAAAAACGTAAACCACAATTTGGATTTGTTGTTGCGCCGAAACAATATTTTGAGAATGCGATAAAACATTTCAGAAGCAAATATAAGCAGGTTCACTTCGTAGTATGCTCTGATGATATAAAATGGGCACAAGATAATATTCGATCAACAAATATGACGTTTTACACAGCTAGTGAATCACCTGGAGTGGATCTCGCAATATTGTCACACTGTGATCATATCATTATGTCAGTCGGAACATTCTCATGGTGGGCCGCGTGGTTATCTGGTGGAGAAGTTGTCTATTACGCTGGATACCCCAGGCCTAAAAGTAAAATTGGACGAAACTTTGTTGCTAGTGACTACTACTTCCCACATTGGAAGCCAATGTTTTGAATTTTTTATCCCATACTGCATCATTTTAATTAGCGATTGGCAATTGAAGGGATATATATATTGTAATATCTTGATATGAAATAATATCTCAGATAAAAAACTAATTTTCTAGATCTGCTTGATGAGAAAACGCTTACAACCATTGCTCTCTGAGAAAAGTAGTCTTTAAAATTCAAATTGGTTCACAGTGAAATAAACTGGATCTTTTTTAATTAACTTTTTTGATTTAACCTTTGTATAGGTGTAAATGAATCATTCTATAATGGAAAATGAATCAACCTAGTTTACTGTATTTTACTATATTTACTGTGTGTGGTGTCATATTTTTATAGTCTTCCGGTCCATCTTTTGTAAACCTTGTTGGGCGTTTGGCGATCAGCGTCTGTAACAATTCTTTCAATTTCCAATACCTTTCATCTTTTACTGTCAACGTTTTGTAAGAACATTTCTAACACATTTTTGCCAATATATCTGTCGTATTTATATATGTACTTTTTATGTGCGTCTATAATAAGACAGTTACATATTATATGAATAATATACAAATAAATTTAATTAAAGGAAAATAGTTTCAAAAGTCATGTAGTAAGAAATATCCTTGAAATGGATCTCTCAATGTTCGCTTGTGTTTTATGAGTATTCTCTGAAAGTTTGGATCGAGTAACTTCAACAGTATTACCGTAGTTGATGATGTTAAACTGAAATAAACGCCATTTCAACGATTTCAAACTTTACTTTGTGCATGGGCGACACTGAGAAAGCACGTGCTCCTGATTGTCCACGTGATCACATCCTGCAATTTGATTGGAGATCGTATAATAATAATAATGGGGAATTCCCGAATACAATAAAATATGAAAGAATTTTGGGAGCTACTCACTTCTTCTGGATGCCGCGGAAAATATTCTAAATCATTTTCCTCTTGTCACAAAGAGGACAATGTATGTTTGGCGGTGTCTGGTGATGAGCCTTTCATGATCGAATGCAACATCAATATGTAGCAGATATAATCCGAAAATTCAAAACTTCATATATTGTACAACTACATCAACCTGGTAATGGTTTGTTCAACTGGTTTGGTTTAAGTATTAAGTATGGTTACATTGTGAATCCACTTTCACCACATCAACAGTCTAGTCAACATTCAAAATGGCAGCAATAATCATGTGCTATTCTCTATACAGTCAAGTCACGTAACTAAGTCAACATTGGAAAATAAAAAACCTCAAAAATCAAACATCTTTGATTTCCAAAATAATTTGTGAGGGGGTAATTAAGATGATGATACACATTTTAACCTATTAATTTTGAGTACATCTCGAATCAATTCTCAACAAAGCGTTCGCTAAATAAGTATTCGAAATGTTTGAGTTCGGGATGATAAAAGTACGTTAAGATATACCGCTCCTTAAAAATCCTTTGGGAACAAGATATAGAATCAAAAGCATATTCTTCTAATTTACTCCCTGACACATGCCAACGAATGTTACGTAAGTAAATATCTCCGTTTTAAATACTTTTGTAAACGTTGTTCTCTACAGGTGACATCTTTTTATCATAAAACAAAATTGAACATTTTGCATTTCTAAATTGATAAGTTTCTTGGAATACAACAGAACTGTTAACGATTTAAGTCATTAATAATATTTCCCTTATTAGCAATCCCATGATAAATAGACAGTAAGTGGGTCAATGTTTTATGTTCAACCTTGTTTTCATGACGTTTAAACATGAGTCGATAATTATGTAGGAAATTTCAATTCCAAATGTCAGCTTGTCAACTCGTATTGTTTCACAATATTTAGCCCTTTATCACGATAGATCGCCAAAATCTGCATGTACCTCTAAATGAAGCAATATGTTTTTAAATTTAGAGATGTAAGCTATAAACTCAAACAAAATTCAAACTACCCGCTATTATTTTGATTGCACAAGACGAAATTTCCACTCCCGGGGAGCACTTTGGTAACATTTTGAAGGAGGATTCTTGAAAAATCGTTCGAATTTTCACAAAAGGTTTCGTGCAGTTCTATTGCTTTGTTTAAGCCTCAACTAAAATCATACACTTATCCGATACCAGGTTATATGATAAACCGTTTTTAGCCTCGATGATTTGAATTAAACTGTGAATATTTAAATCAATGAAAGTCGGCATGTGTTCGACAGTTTATGTACACATATGATGCATGAATGTTCAATCTTCTGTAAATATTGTTCAATCCTGTGCTCATAATCAGAAATCTCATACTGTAAAAACACATTTTAATGATGTGCAGTCGCTTAATGTTAATGAGCAATCACACGAGATGCAATCACACGGGGGTAAAGCAGACCCGATGATGCAATGAGCTTGCTCGGCGGTATCATGACTGTGTAACGGGTCTTAATGTATAAGTGAGCTCGGCGGTAGGTTCAAACAACGCGGATCCTCAAAGCATGTGCTCATGGTATATTCGTGTTTTAACACCCGTGAATCATGTATAAGTAAATGTTATTTGCAATCTGGTATAGAGCAATCTAGTGTGAGAAGGAGCCAAGCAAATGTTGATCAAAATAATTATAAAACCAAAAAACGCTAATTAAACAGTTCCTTGAAAGATCAGGGTATAAATTGTTTATTTTGGAATATTAATAGAATATCAGATAAACTACAAAACGACAATGCTATGAATGCTTTTCAGCAAGTATGCGATTTTTTTAGCAATCCCGATTTTGTTCCAATTTATTTTTAGTAATCTTGATTTTCTCCCGATTTTTTGGAATTGTTGATATAGTTTTGTACCCCCGATTTTTCTCACGATTTCTTTCTAGGAATCCCGATTCTTTTTTCAAATAAATCCAGATTTTCTCTCGAATTTTCTGGAAAAATCCCGACTTCTCCCGTTTTAAAAAAAAAATATCCAGATTTTTTTTTCACTTGACAAGTATGAACAACACAGCCAGTCTGTCAATTACAGTTGTTGGTATTAAAACATTTTAGGCTTGAAATGATCGGATGTCATACGGTATTATCAGATGTTAAATTCAGAAAAACTTGTTATACGATTTTCATATCATCACTGGGGATTAACTGGAAACGAAGACAGGTTGTCTTCGTTCCAGCATGGCCCGTCTTCCGGTAGATAGAATTACTAGAAGCATTTGCTACAATTTTTAGTTTTCTCGATTATTATATCACATTTGTTCTTAAAATTGCAACTGAATATTGAACACATATGTAGTACTAAAATTCTGGTTTCTAAATATTACACCTCACCTTTCAAGAAATACATATATGAAGACAGTTTTTCAGAGGAACAAAGACATAACATTAGTTTCTGGAGCGTGACATGAAGACAGCGCTTTTCAATGATATCTCATGTTAAGTTAAGTCACGCAGAGTCATAAAAAGCGTTCAACCCCTCCACATTTTTTACAATGTGCTCTATTTGTAAATGTGTCCCTCCATGGGGATATTACTATATTGAAATGTACAATTAAGATGAATGTAATATGTTTCAAGTAAAATACGTCTTCGCATCATTGACATAAAACGGAAAATTGTCTTCATTTACTAAGGGAAAGAACTGATTTGTAAATATGGAAATAATTACTCTGTATCTATTTCTAAGATGTAATCATATTTCAAAAACTGGAACATACGCACTACCCATGGACCAAATGTTAAGTTGAAATTTGAAGAATTAATAAAATAAAATCAAAAAAACAAAAAAAAATTTCATCAAATTCTTCGGCCATGCTGAAACGAAGACAATTGTTTTCATTTCCAGTTGAAGGCACCATGTGCGATCGATTACTTCACATTCCACGCGACAACATTGATATATTTTATCAACGTCAGTTTTGATTGAACATCATCGCGCATCGATGCCACGTCATGGGTTTCAGTTGAATTCCATAATATCGCCCATCTTAAATCCGACGATGAGGAGAAAAAGTATCATTGGTAAGGATAATGCATATTAATTATCTTTTAATTAAAGCTTATCTATTTTTAAAAAACAAGCATTCACAATTTTACTGTAAAGAATAGTATTAAATTATTTCAATATAATAGTATTAAATTATTTTAATAAAATAGTACTCAATTTGTGAAATAATATCTTGGCTGAACAGAGTTCATACGTTCACAGTTTGTAAATATTGTTAAAAATTATGAAAATTGGATTGACGAAACTCTTAGTGAATAAATGTAATATATAGAAATCTGTATTTTTGTCATTTTGTTACCATGGTGTAAATTATTTTAAATGGTGGATGGCAATCAAATTAAGTTCTACAAGTATGAGAATAGCACTTACATTCTGATATTTCAAAGTAACTGACGTTAAAATGACGATAAAATCGCAACGAAATATTTGTAGATTTCTTTGAAAAGAAATATACATCTCATATCGAATTTTTCAAAACCAAAACAATATGCACAAATAGTAAGCCCTGCAGGTCCAATTCCCCTGGTAGCACTAACATTACATTCTGATACTCATAGCACCTTTCTGTTTCACCTGAAACATGCTCTGATATTATGAGGCATATTCCGTGATCTGAGCACATCAAATGGGAAGAGTTATGACTGTAAATAAGTGTGAGTCTAGTTATAGTGTAATCATCTACCTAATGCTAATACATTACATAATTGTATTTAACAGGAGATATTAGCTTAGGCACAGGTACACACGTTTTATGACCCCAATTAGATGAAATATGAGCTGGGATGAAAGATCTCAAAAATCCTCAATTTTGGGCTCTCCTGGATCGCCAAATCAAGCTCATTATATCATGGCATCTCAGGGCTGAGAAGAAATGAGATGTCATGGTTTATCATGATGATAACATTATATTAATCTCGTACCAGTCAGGTTCAGTAATTAAGTCAACATTTGAAAATAAAAATCTCAAAAATCGTACTTCTTGGATTTCCAAAATAATTTGTGAAGTGTTTATTAAGATGATAATACACATCTTAACGTATTATTTTGAGTACATCTCGAATCCATTCTCAACTAAGCAGCTTTCACGAAATAAGTATTCGAAATATTTGAGTTCAGGGTGATAAAAGTACGTTAAGATATACCGCTACTTTACAAATTCCTTTGGGAACAAGATAATCAAAAGCATATTCTCACTGACACATTCCAACGAATGTTACATAAGTAAATATCTCTGTTTTAAATAATTCTGTAAACGTTGCTATCTACAGGTGCCATTTTTTATTGAACAACAATATTGAATATTTTGAATTTTTGCTAAATTGATAAGGTTCTTGGAATACAACAAAACTGTTAACGATTTAAGTCATTAATAATATTTTCCTTAGTGATTCCATGATAAATAGACAGTAACCTAACTGGGTCAATGGTTTATATTCAACCTTGTTTTCATGACTTTTAAACATGAGTCGACAATTATGTAGGAAGTTACAATTTCAAATATCAGCGAGTCGAGTTTTTTCCACAATATTTTGCCTTTTATCATGATGGATCGCCAAAAACTGCATGTAGCTTTCAATAAGATGATATTAGTTTTAAATTTAGCGATGTAAGCTATAAACTCAAACAAAAATTCAAAATACCCGCTATTATTTTGATTGCACAAGACGAAATTTCCATTCCCGGGGAGCACTTTGATAACACTATGAAGAAGGATTCTTGAAAAATCATTCGGATTTTCAAAAGAGGTTTTATGCAATTTCATTGCTTTATTTGAGCCTCATCAAAAATCATACTCAAATCCGATACCATAATTATGAATTAAAATGAAACATTACACTCACCAGGTATGATAAACGGCCGTTTCGAGCATTGATGATTTGAATTAAATCAACGTATTCAAATATGCGTTTATTCTCTTGTAAGTTCTATAATATCTTTGGTTTAAAAACTTTCAATATTTTCAGGCGTTACTCTCATTATGTTTACACTGGCCGTCATAACGTGGATGCCGAGGTGGTCTAAGCTGAACAATTGGCTTGACAGAAACGTTCAGCTAAGCGGAATTCTTAACAACCTAGATGTAGTTCTAAACAACCAAAATGATATTATGAAACGACTTAGTGTTAATCGTAACAATGAAGAAATACATAACCCAACGGGAGAAAATAATGGACAGAATCGAAACAAGCATGTCTCGAAAATTGACAATGAGCATGCGCATGCAAACTTGGTTGACACCGTTAACTCCGTAGTAAAAATCGATACAACATTCCAATGCCAAAATGTCAGCTTAAATACTTTTTTCAAAAGACCCTTTCCTATATGTACATATAGAAACAAAGAGGACCGTGTGGTATCTGGCTACTTTTCTGGAAAGCACGGTCCTGCCGCCTATTGGGAAAAGAGGATAGTAACTCGAGTTATGAGTGAGCTGAAGAAACATCCCACATGGGGATTTTTTGATGTCGGTGCGCATATTGGTGTATACACTATCCCTGCTCTAAAACTTGGAACACAGGTCGTGGCTATAGAGGCTTTGACACGAAATATTGATAGATTAACTCGGTCTGTTCAACTCAATAATATTCACGAAAACCTAACATTATTACACAACGCGGTCTATGATGTCCATACACAATTCACTTTCAAACCGGAAAGTCGAAACGTTGCAGGCACGTCAGTAGTGAAGTTAAACACACCAGATGGGGCTCATCAGCTTAAGCTTGTTAACGAGAAAGTGACGTCTATAACTTTTGACGACACCCTCCAGTTTGTGAATTTCAAAGAAGCCATAATGAAAATTGATATTGAAGGATCTGAGGCCTTTGCATTTAAAAAAGCGGACAAACTCTTGAATACAATAACCTTTAAAGAAATTTATATGGAGTGGGGGCATACCGTCAAGGTCGATGAGGAAGCTGGACAGCTCGTGCAACGCAAGTTCAAAAGAGGTTACAGTGTATATGAACCACGTAAGCCCACGAGGAACATTTCATCAGTACATTATAAAAAATGGCCCTGGGACATCATATGGAGGTTACACTAGATACTTTTCCTATACGAAACCACTCGATCAAAAGCTGTGAACTAGATGAGTGGAAACTTTGCAAAAATGAACGATACTAGGCCTATGTGGATGCTATCTTATTTTGAATACACGTTTAAGAAGTACTAGATGTATAGCATTTGTATGATAAAAAGGATTGAATCTTTTTAGAAGAGAATCGCCAAACTTTGCAAAAATGAATCTTATTTTGAATACAAAAAGGTACTAGATGAATAGCATTTGTATGATAAAAAGGATTGAATCTTTTTAGAAGAGAATCGCCAAACTTTGCAAAAATGAACGATACTAAAGTATGCTATCTTATTTTGAATACAAAAAGGTACTAGATGAATAGCATTTGTATGATAAAAAGGATTGAATCTAAGAAAATCGCCAAATATTCGTGAAATCATACTTCACATATCATCTCAATGTCTCCCATTTTATAACTAACATTTTCTCGTCAAAACTAAATCCTGCAAAATCCTAAAAAGGGATTAAAATAAATATAGAATTTTATGATATAGAACTATCATGCTTCATAAACCATGGACTTCATAGGCCCTATGAATTAAACATTATTGATGGTATTAGTGAATTTCATTTTGAAAATGTTGATTAACATATTTTCTAAAAAATATCAGCTATTTTTGTTACAGTATATTTCATATAATCTTATATGATATTATATCATTTGATATTATATTATAATAAAAATGAGACTGCAAGTTTTCAAGTTCAACAAGTGCATGATAGAGGGGTAACAATTTAAGCACTCAAACAGTTAATAGTTAATGTACAAAAATAAACATCTCAAGGATATTAGAGAAATAAAAATACTGCCTCTAATAGGGGAGTCTTCTGAGAGGTATAACCCCTCAATTACGGGCACTATGGCAGTTGAGATGGTAGTGTTAACATCAATTTTTTTTAAGTAGATATCTTGTCGGTGTAAAAATGAGAACTGTATCTTTTAGGACAATAAAGAGAGATTGCTATATTATATTACTATTTTGTTTGTATTTAAAGTCAAAGGGAGACAACGAATACGTTATGGATAAACAATGAGTCTTGAGTATTGGGAAAAATAATGGCCAAGAGACGATAGCCCCCGGCCCGAAACCATTATTTTCTCCCAAGACCCAAGACGAACAGTTTATCTAACTTAAACCACGAACTGGGCATTGAGTCTTATTAAAGGTAAATGATCCTTGACCCAATTTCAGGAAAATCTATTTATTTTGTATTGACTATGAGGCAAGTGTATTGAGAAGTGAGTGGGTGGAATTACTCCACATACTTATTTTGAAGGAAATCACGGTTTATTGCAATCGGACTCTTGTGGTGCACTAAGAACGAGCCGATGTGGTTGATAGACGCGGTTAGCCAAAAGTTTGACACATCGTAATGAGCTAGCGGTTTAAGTGCGCTTGGATGACCTGTTTTTGTTGGAAACGTGTGACCATGTAATTTGCACCACAGGGGTTTATTGTTCTTTCTCGTGATACCTCGGGGCAAAACTTATTAAATATTATCACAAACACAGCCTAATGCCTGGGTCACATATGCTCCGATCCATCGGCCGGCGCCCGCCCGATTGAGTGTTTTGTTCACTATTGTATTCAATTTTGAACAAAATACTCAATCGGCCGGGCGCCGTAGTGAAAATCGGAGCATATGTGACCAAGGCATTAGCTAGAATTCAGTCTGAAAACCTCCAGACAAATCTAACAAACTTACAAACTACAATTTACAAATTGTCATATCAAAGTGGGACAAGGAATACATAGAAATCTATGATAAATCACTTAGCAGGGTATTAGGTTCCCCTAATGCGTTGCCATGGTAACACAAATTTAATTCATACCGTCAATATATATGTCGATATTAAACATTCAATAATCGCTAATTGTTACAAAGGTCAACACAATGCCGAACTGTTGACAGAAAAACAAAGTCAATCAATGCAAATTGTAACATAAGTGTAACAACTGTTACAGATGCCTTGCCTATTATCTAAAGCTATATGCCAAACGGCAGTCAATTTTATACAAATACTTTCAATGTTATAGCCTCAAGTTACCAATTGGAGTAAAAATGCACTGAACAACATAGATGTTGGCCAGATCGTTTTGCAGTAGGATCTCAAAGAATGATATTTTTGGTGTCATCTGGAGAAATATCTATTGAGCTACTGATCCTACTATATACAAAAGAATCCGGCCGGGATCTATGCTGAACAATGCCCTCATTATTTATTTGGATCGAATACATTGAATATTATGACTGTTTAAGATGTGCAGACCACACACGTCAGCTCTGCCCCATCTATGTAGTTTGGACAAGGTAATGACCCACACGATGCTTCAACAGCATGGAACAAAGCACCATCTTCATTACCCTCACCACCTGGTACTGCTTCTGGTGCTACATCCATACATTCAAATGTCCTTCTTTTGTATCGCCTATATTCCGATACAAGGTGCCAGTGTATTCAAAATGCCAAGCATTTGGACACGTCTTCCAAGCTGGGATCATAATGGAAGTTGAGCGAAGCACTTAACAAACAGTACAGGGTACTTGTCTGTCATGTAGTGAGTCTCTGTTTCCAGGAATGGGTGCATTGTCTCATCATCAAAAGGATTTGAATGGTCAGCTGATCGAATCTGATATTCAGCTCCATGTATAAAAGCAGAATCAGTACTTTTTTCACGAGTGAACCTTCCCCACTGTGGGTTTGCAGTTTGTAGGGAGGCATTGGTAGTTAGAACCGCCCCCTGTTTCAGTGTAATGGGAACCCCCAACTATACCTAAATTAAGATAAATCTGAAGCTTGTTCTTAAAAGCAGAAACTGGCGCAGACTTTGCGAAATCAAGATTCAAAACTAAATAAAGCAAATATAAATCTAAAAGTTCACGTGTGTAGTTAGGTAACCCTTATACAATTAACCACGATGTTCGAAGAGGCAATGATGGTTAAAGCATGGTTAAAGGGGTACCTCTGATCTTGATAGTTTACTACATTTGGAAATGTAACGTGTTTATTAATATAACAAGTGTCAAATTCAGACGTTCAGACATTGATTTGTTGATTTTGTAAAATCAATTTTTGATTTGACCAAATTGGTATAATAGATAGATAGAAAATTATTGTAAAATTAGGCCTATTCCAGGGGATAGAAAAAGTTTTGGAACTATAAAATCTATAAATGATTGGCTTCCTTTAAGTTAAGAATGGGCGTGAGTCGACCTAAGATGATCTAAATCCTAGGCGCTGACTAAGAAAAAACTTCTATTTAATACAAGAGCTAGAAGCTTTAAATAAAAAGCATTTTAAAGCTCTTTTCTTCTTTTTCATGATCCGCAATATCTCGGGCTGTATTAGTGAAGTCATTAAGAATTTAAAGTGCGAAGATTGGGGGAAAATGTTAAATTCTTCCACATATTAAAAATGGTACAATAATTATAGAAAAATAATACATTGTAATTGTAAAAATCTTTAGTTTTCCTATTTTTTTTTGGTTATTGCTTGTTCGATCTCAGATATCTCTTTAAAGTGCCCGATAAACTATAAAATGCGCATGCGTCCTGGTGTTGATAAACTATAAATAGCGAAAATCCAGGGTTTGTCACCACAAGGTAAGCCAGGACGTGTTGAGAGAACAGCTAGTGTTGATATTGAATTTATATGTAGGCAGATAAGTTTACTTATTGAAATTACATATGGTTATTAGCAATACTTTGTAGGTGCTAAATAATAAAATATTTAAAGTATATATGAGAGAAATTGGTCATTTCGAACCTGTTGAAAAGTTTGTGGCTCTCGGCTACACCGGGGAATTTACTTCCATGAGTACACACATAAATGTGGGGTTCCCCAAGAGGTACGCGACAAGGTGACCTGGCATCAAATGTGCGACTAAATGCTACTATCGAGAAGATAAAATAACGAATACGACAATAAGTTATTGCATGTGACAATTCCGAGCCTTCATCTCACTGAAGTATTTTGAAGTGAAAATAGGATTTTTGTTTTGATACATGGATTCAGATGAACGTAACTTTATTCTGACAACTAATCAAAACTGAACAACATTGATTGTACGTAACAGACAATTTATTGTTTTACAATGTTTTGATTGGCTAAACTTACTCACTTCGAGAGCCATGTTAGATTTTGAAACTTATGGCTCTCAAACGGAGAAGTGAACAGCTGATCAATAGTGACCTTTGAAATTGAATTAAGTCGATCCGCGGCTTACTTTTGGTCTCTAACTGTGTCTTACATCAGTATCATCAATCCGTGTAAGTATTGGAGCGCTGGAGTACTTCTTTTTCGATCAAGACTTGTAAATTGTTCATCGAGTTAAAGTTTTACAGACCTATTTCCAATATGGCGGTTTGCTAGGTGCGAGATACGCAACGAACGAAATGAATTTTGAGAATAGGTTAGGTTCGGACAACCTCCGGAGATTTACGAAAATGTCCGAGCAGAAACCGCCATATTGGAATTTGGCAGTAAAACGATTCACTCGACTAACGAATTACAAGTCATGATCGAAAAAGAAGTACTCCAGCGCTCCAATACTTACACGGATTGATGATACTGATGTAAGACACAGTTAGAGACCAAAAGTAAACCGCGGATCGACTTAATTCGATTTCAAAGGTCACGATCATTGAGCTGTCCAAATGCTCCGTGGGAAAGCTATTATATCAAAATCCAAATAGCTTTCGCAGGAAGTAAGGCTAAACGAATGAAACCAACAAATTATGACATGTAAAATGACAATTTTGAAATGTAAAATTTAAAAGTGACAAACACAACCTCCCTATCCACTCTTTGGGAGCCCTAGTAAATCAGTAATATGTACATGTAGCAGTGGTAGTGTACAGCTTATTATCACACTACGCTTTGTATTCTAAAGCCTGTTGTTTGTAATAACACTGTTCACTCAACGTATGTTTTGTGTGTGGGCAGTCAACGATAATCATTGTTTTATCCCGGTTATATGACCTCGGCAATTATAACAAAACCGTACTAAACGAAAAAACGAAAATAAGAGAAAGCTTTCACACACATATAAAAAATGAACTAGTCTTATCCGCCAGTATAAAATCTGTGCTATACGTAGCCGGGTCAGGCGCACACTTTAACCTTTTCTTCGATCCCGTTTTCTGGACACCCTGTATTACTGTTACATAAAGTGTGTATTGGAATACAAGTGAAGTAAAGGAAAATAGGTTCATTTATTAAATGCTCTATCTTTTATTTTATTTCTTATATTATTTGATAAAATATACATCGTATACACAAATATGTGTTCATTGTATTTTTTGCCAACAATAGTGGCGCCATGCATTCAGCACGCATTAACAGTAACACTCGGCGATTAACAAGGCTACTGAGTTTTAAAGTTTCAATGTGGCCTATGTCTATTAAGACTACTTTTGCTGCAAATATATTCTTCAAAAATTAAAATTTACATGATTGGCTTTCATGTAGTCAAACATTTTACTTTCATTTATAAAATCCATTTAATGTTGAAAGTGCATTTTGGTCGTACAATTTCATCAGTTAAATCACGAAAACTACTTGATTCAATAAACATACTGATATAAATGAGCCTGTTTAATGTCATACTTTAATTCATAATTTTTAAAAGGTTTTCCCAATAATTTGAGAATTGTTAAAAGAAGTATTAAACAATTTAAATAATTTATTTTTACATTTTTTATTCTTACTTTTTATTTGATCGGTTATATTTTTTGTTAACGTTTTTGAATGGTGCTGCAATTTCCCTCCCAATACACTGGATCCTAAAATACATCAATTCAAAATGACAACAGCTGTTACAGCTTGCAGTTTGCACCATCAATAAGGCTGATAAAACCCCTCTTTTGTGTTTCAATATTAAAGCTTGAAAAATACATTTCTTCCCAAAAAGCAGCATGACACATTTCAAAAAATCATTAGACATTCTAATCCTTTACTATTTTTAATTTTATTTTATTATACTTATCACGTTTCTGAAATTTCTATTATATACTGAATTTTCAGCATTATTTATGAAGATTTTTGTCAGTGAAAATGCTGATTTCCAAAGGTAGCAACCAACACTTCCATTATATAGGGAGGGGGATTTAATCATAACAAAATCAATTTCATTGTTCAAAAACTGTCAACAATTGGACCTTCCCAACACAGACAGCTGACTTTGGGACGAGTTGTCTTAGGGACCAGTTGACAAGTTACATCGCCAATACCATTGAAATATTACATTGTAGTGGAAGGATACTTTTATGCCACTTATAACAATACAACCAAAGTGTAAAAGAACACAAAGAATGTACATTAATGCGAAAACCAAAAGTTTGGAGGTAGGTATCCTTCAGGCTGTGGTACTTTTGAAGTTCTCATGCTTTTCTCAAGAAAGTTCATCAACCTTCCTACTGGACCCCCTGATCCTTTTGGGGTCACTGCATTTATCTTTTTCACATAGTCTGTACAAAGCACAAATAACAGTTTATGAAACTGAATTTTATATGCCTGCATGAATGCATTGCCGGCAACGACAAGAAAGTCATACAGTAGTGTTGCTGTGACGTCAGGCCAGGGGTCCATGTTTAGTAATCGGGTCAACCAGAGCCAACCCATCTCTAAGCCATATGGGTGAGGGTGCTGCGGACCCCTGGGAGGGGTGGAGACTATGATTGCAGCATAAAGTCGCATTAGTCCTGACATTCGCTTTAAATATTTATCTTGTTTTTCAACATTGCCTTCCTCATCGTATGTATATCCTAGTGACCTGGAAGTAGTTTATATATAATTTTGTTAAAATATTTTTTTGGTCCATACTGCAAAGGTGTAGCACAGTGACCAAAGGGAACAAATAAAAAAAATATATATATATGTAAAACCACCCAAAAAGCACATCCAGTTAAAATAAACAAACCCCACTATCCAACCAATCATTAAATTTTGTACAAACAAGCATTTTGAAATTACTCCTTTTTCTCATCTTGAAGGCACTGCCTCAATCAGGTCCTTATACATGTATGTACGAGATTTCGGGAGGATACCACTATACTATACCCTTTTTATACAAATATCACAAATAAAAAATGAATGAAAAAAATTCTATTGATGGGAATCGGATGGAATTTCTATGTTCAGGATTTGCTTCATATGTCTAATAACATATGTTATTGACAGACTGATAACATTATAAACATGCAAAATGTCACTATCTGCTTTTGTTACAGATGTCAAACCTCGAACATCAAACATCAACTATTAAACACCGACCTCCGAACAGTGAATGCTGTTCACAAAAAGGTTGGAGACGATAACAATACTTCTGGTGGTAATATAAAAATAATCAACCTACCTATGAAAATCTTCTGATGACTGGCCAGGTTGCCTCGAGGGATGATAAGGCACCAAATATGGACATTTCTTGTAAAAATGTCCGCAGATGAGCTCGGATAGCTCAGGGAACTCACACATGACTCCAACTGTAACGGCTGCTATAGGAAAGGCCGATTTATGATTAGCACTCACTTCCTCATCTCCTTTACTCTGCAATTGTACACGATCAGGGCTCTCATTAGCAGTGGGCAATAGGTCATTTTCACAGATGGTTTTACCAAAATTGACTCGTGTTTTGAGGAATTGTCATGTTGAAATTATAACTTTCAATATTTTTCAGTTGTTTTTGTCAATTTTCTTCAGTAGTTGGTCAACTTTTCAGATCCCAATTTTTATTTATTTTCAAATACTCACAATAAAATGATAATACTCAAGACAAAATGAGAAAACTCCCTATAAAATATTAATACTCATAACAAAATTAAGAGTACTCACCAAATAAAGAAACTACTCATCAAAAATGTGAATACTCACTACAAAATGAGTATAATCACACAAATTGATAAAATGAGAACACTCACCAAAAATGAAAATATTCAGCACAAGACTAGAACAAGAATTTTCATGTGACTGTGTGTAAATTAAGTTTTTTTTCACACTGATACACTTATCAAAGTGTCAAGTGTTAGCACACACCGTATTCTCTGTAATTAGCACCCAGGGTGTATAGAAAATTGAAAATACATCATTCAGAAAGAAATCAGAAATTCCTTCATTCATTATGGACTATTCTGAGACAATATTAGCATAGTATGGTGCGGGAAGCACCCATCGATAGATATTTATCGAGAGGATGCATAGAATTATAATACCCTTCATGTTTACAGCAGTTTAGGGTAAGTACTCTATTATCGCCCGCTCATGGATTTTTCGAGATATGATTTTTCTAAACTACAGAGAATACGGTATGTAACCTTAAATTAAGGGAATAAATGTGTTTTAAAAAAAAAAAATAAATACTAACCACGATTTTCTTAGCAAATAAATCTTTACAGAATGGAACAGCCATTGGATGTTCGCTGGGGTTGACTCGTTTACTTCCAACTTCAACTTGTTTACCAAATAGAATGGAGTGTATTTTCTCCAGTTTGTCCCGTAAATGTGACCCACTTTGTGTGGATATAGTGTTCACTGGAAGCGTCACTGCTTTTTGTAGGTCAAACTTATATTTCTTCAACTGAAATGAGAATAGTCTCTTTAAAGTAAATGAATATAAATGGGATAAGCATGCAAAACCTCCTTCAATTTGTTAGAGATGCTGACCACCAAATACCAACCACCGAACACCAACTGCAACATGCCAGAGAGTTGGAGACACATTGTTACTTATGGTGGTGACATAATAAAGGGATTTTGAGTTTTTCATTAGTTTGTATATGGATATTCATGGTAGTGTCTCGGAATAGACACTGCAACTGAACACAAAAACATTAGTTCCAATTTGCAACAATTCAACAAGAGTTGGCTTGGCATTGATTTCATTTTTACTGGGAATTATTATGTGTACAATGTACATGCTATTAATATTTACCCTAGGATCAGCTGATAGAGCCAAACCAGCCTTCTCTGCCTCTGACACTCTAGCTAGGTGGGACTGATACTGTGCCAAAACTTCTTCTGCCAATTTTAGAGGATCTGAAAGATTGAAAATTTGAAATAGACATTTTTGAAACTTACATGTTTGAAAATGACAGGTTTGAGAATGTCATGCTTGAGAATAACATGTTAAAGACTGACATATTTGAATCTGGAAAAAGTTTTAAAATAATGTGGCAGGTAATGATTTTAGAAAGGCTGGACTGGGGTTCTTTGAAACATACTTAATTTTTCTATTTGTTTATAATTTTTCGTTGCAATTTATGCCAATTTCGACCCATGCTGGTATTTGTAAGCTACTGATATTATGGATAAACAAGTCCAATAGATATCACAATAGACCAACCAAAATCTTAAAATAAATCTTGTTACCTATTATATTTGCAGCTGGAGCTGCAGCTTCAGCCGCAGCTTTTGCCTCAGCTGCAGCTTTAGCAGCTATTTCTGCAGCTGCTTTTTTCTGCTCTTCCTCATTAGCTGCCCTGTCAACTGTATCTAAAACAGGGAAATATAGTGCGATTATTCTTGCCATTTCCCATTGCATTTTTAAATTTTGAATATGTTCTATTCCCTAGCTTAACAGAAGTTCTATAACTAATTCATGAAATAGAGAGCAATATATAAAAGGGATTAATTTCAAAATCAGTTGGCTCAATGATATTTATGTCAATAGTACAGGGTCTTGTCCTGCAAATCCATGTCTTTGAAACCTGTATGCCCTTAAATGGCTAGCCACATACCAACAAATCGTCCATGATATGGAGCTTATAATGATTATATATGTAGTAAAACCTGAGAAAGTGACCACCTCTCTCTAGTTGAACAGTATTACTGTTATACATATACATATAGACATATAAAAACAAATGCTATATTTATTGAAACCTGTATGTCCGGACACCCCTCTAATCTAAACACCTTTATATGTAAACACTTTTTGTCCCATTTGCTATAGACTCCCATGTTAAAAACTTCAAAATGTGAACACCTGCTAATTTGAACACAAATGGCTGATTCGAGTGGTGATTGGCTTAGACAGGTTTCACTTTAGTCATATACCTATGGCTGATGTGACAATTTCCATTGAATTGTTGACCTTCTTTACAAGCTGTAGCATTTGTTTTACTTAAATCATATACCTATGGCTGATGTGACAATTTCCATTGAATTGTTGACCTTCTTTACAAGCTGTAGCATTTGTTTTACTTAAATCATATACCTATGGCTGATGTGACAATTTCCACTGAATTGTTGACCTTCTTTACAAGCTGTAGCATTTGTTTTACTTAAATCATATACCTATGGCTGATGTGACAATTTCCATTGAATTGTTGACCTTCTTTACAAGCTGTAGCATTTGTTTTACTTAAATCATATACCTATGGCTGATGTGACAATTTCCATTGAATTGTTGACCTTCTTTACAAGCTGTAGCATTTGTTTTACTTAAATCATATACCTATGGCTGATGTGACAATTTCCATTGAATTGTTGACCTTCTTTACAAGCTGTAGCATTTGTTTTACTTAAATCATATACCTATGGCTGATGTGACAATTTCCATTGAATTGTTGGCTTTCTTTACAAGCTGTAGCATTTGTTTTACTTAAATCATATACCTATGGCTGAAGTGACAATTTCCATTGAATTGTTGGCTTTCTTTACAAGCTGTAGTATTTGTTCCATTTGCTCTGGAATGACATCTCCTATCTCTGCACAATTCTGAAGCATCTAAAAATTAAACAAGCGATTTGTAAGATTTATATTTTATTGGTTTCCTGGCACTTCTAATTCACCATTAATGGAGACTTAAATATTACATATTCTAGAGGGTGAAATTAGAGATTTCAACTCTCAAGAAAAAAGTCTTGCCTTTCCATTAAGATGGGTTCAGAAATAGCATTTTTGACACAATTTAGACCAGAAGTTATGCCCAAAATGAATAAACTGAACAAACCTTAATATAACATCATTGATTCTAAATTTTAATTAAAATTATTACTCACACATGCATCTGAATATAATTGGTAGTACAACTGATCACTTTCAAATAAGAGAAGTGTTAATCCTACCTCATTGATTTTGGTGTAAATATTCAGTACAATCTGTGGACAGGTGACTTTGATATTCTCCTCTAGTTGAGACTGGTGTCTGCAGTCTTTTATCTTTCTTTCCATGGTCTGTTTGATCCCTACAACTTTTTCTAGACTTGATACGAGTGCCTCAATCCTTTTCTTAGCTTCGGCATCCCTGGAGTAACAGACATTAAAGTGGAATATAGTTAGTAACTTAGTTTATTTATTTATTTATAGTGGTCAGTCTTACAATACAACAAAATATAAAACAATTAATTATAATTTTACCCAGCCCACCTTGGGCTTTACTACTTACTTACTTATTTACTACTGTTAACAATAGGAAATAACAAAATTGAGTACAATAAAATAACTGTGGTAATCAAGGTACCCCTTGTAGAAAATTGCACATAAAATTCAAATGTCATCCAAAAGAACAAAACTTTAGTCAGTGATGGTTAAAAATATCATGAAAATAAAACTTCAATGGAATTTCAAGCGACGTAGCTAAGTCTCTATTTTATCAAATAAAAAAATATAAAATATCACCCTAGACAATATGAAAGGTGATAACAGGCTTGCACTTTGAAAGTTGAAAGCAAGTTGGTTTTATAAAATGTTAGCATACTTGCGGTTCTGCTCCAACTCCATCTGGTGTTGTTTCTCCTCAGCCTCTCGCCTCTTTACATCAAGAAGCTGAAAGATAAAATAAGATTAAACTCTACACAAACTGAAACTGTCTGGAGAAATATGTCTCTCTACTGTAAAGATCACCTCTCGCCATATGACATTTTTCAAAAGATAACGAACAAAAGCATTCCATATTACACAGGTTCCGCAGTATAAAACTATAATTTGAGATATACTTTTTGAATAATTTGGGCACCAACGGATTGCTGTCCCCTTAAATAGGAATTGTTTCCTTATATGGCACAATTAATTATGAGATTCTTTGAGAAAATGTATGTGAATCTAGACATCCGCTTAGTCACATTTGGCCATTTTGCCCCTATAGTTGACTGAAGCTTTAGTTTACTGTGGAATTACCGTCCAAAATCTTTTCATATGTACAAAAAATACTTAATAAAGAAACATGACCTACTCTAGCATGCATTTTATGATGCTCTTTCAATTTCAGTTGTCTCTGTTTGACCTCTAAGAGTTTCTCGCGGTTGAGTGCTTCCATCTGCGCCTGTGTCTTGTTGTTATGTTCCTCTATCTTCAGGTCTAGTTCCAGTTGCCTTGTTTCTGCTTGTTGTTGAATCAGCAACAGTTGACGCCTTAATTCCTCTTTCTTCGCATTGACTTTCTCCTGTGTTAAAAATGTATTATAGTTATAATCAATAGAGTGAGCCACAGGAGTACAAGCAAATAAATATGCTTATTGAGTGATGTTGACAAATTCTGAATAAGATTAATGTTACTTCTACAGAATGCAAAAAAATATCTGATGAAGAGTAGTTACAACAGTTATCTTGACGAAAAGAGTTCATCAGTCATGGAAATATAAAATTAATTTTATTATGATTTGTCCCACCTCCCCTTATCGAATGAAATTTTAAATGTTGATTTGTCTTTCACTTGTTAAAATAGTCAATACAATTCACTACCGATATCATCATTTACCCCCTCCCCCTCCCCATTATTTTAACAATCACATAATAGGCTCATGTATGAAGTGGCAGGAGATTTAAATTGACTTCAAAAAGCAAATGGGATTTCGCCTAATTTTGTATACAAAAAACTTTAAAAACAACTTACGATAATCAAACTTACCTTAGCTTGTTCCTTGCACTGTGTTTCACATTTCTTAATTGCACTTTCCACCCAGTTTGATCTGATTGTCTCTTGATTAGTGCCCCGTGGGCTATTATTTTGAAGTGGGCTCTTATCATGTTTATTGAAGGGGGAATTATCTTTAGCTGTCAATCTCATTTTTGGACTGGTTTTACTGGAATTCCTGCAAAACAGAAAACTCACTTGAAATACAGTAAAACATGTGTGAGTGGAATACCTTTGTTTCCACTAAAACTGAAATGTGTTCCACCTGGGAGGCATTTCACTTAGATTTTATCAACAATATATCAACAACACACATTATTTATGGTAAAACATGTGCAAGTGGAACACCTTTGTTTCCACTGAAATGTGTTCCACTTGGAAGGCATTCCACTTAGATTTGATCAACAGTACTCAGTAAATCAAAATCTCACATGAGATGTAGTAAAACCTAAGTGTAACACTCTTGGTTCCACTAAAATGTGTTCCACTTGGGGAGGCATTCCACTTAGATTTGAACACACTATCAAAATCTCACTTGAGATGCAGTAAAACCTAAGTGGAACACCCTTGGTTCCACTAAACTGTGTTCCACTTGGGAGGCGCTCCACTTATAGAGATTTGATCAACATTATATCAATGGGACACTAGACTGAAAATGTGTTCCACTAAAAAAGGGGTTCCCATAAAGAGGTGCTCACTTAATAGGTTTAACTGTATTGGATATAATATGACAGTTTTACCAATTTTGGCTCAGTTTGGGCTATTTTTTGTGCTGTGTATTAAATTGCATAGATCTTTAATATTACTTTGATTTAGACTTCTCTGCTGGGCTTTTTAACTGTATTGGATATAATATGACAGTTTTACGAATTTTGGCTCAGTTTGGGCTATTTTTTGTGCTGTGTATTAAATTGTATAGATCTTTGATATTACTTTGATTTCGACTTCTGTCCTGGGCTGATGTTATGACTGCCGCCAGAGTCTGTTGAAGCGTAACTCATGTTGGAGCGTGAACGGAACCCATAATCATCATTGCAAGAGTTGTTCAAGTTACGCAGATCCCCGATGCTAAAAAAGACAAGCATATGAAATATGAATATAGGAAAAATGACAAGGCGTTAACAAGCAAAATATCACTACCTGCCATTTGTTACAGATACCGACCACCAAATGCCAACACCACCCACAAAAAGCAGGAAACTATGACAATGTACACTTGTGGTGGCAACATAAATATTAGAACATTTGCTTATTTTGTTAATGCTTACTTTGAGAATTTTTATCAAAATATGCCAATTTTTAAGATATTTTTTTATTTCAAGTGAGTGCAAATAGCTATTTGCCAAAAGCTCTGGTGAGTTAAGTAAGTAACCCATTTTCTTGAATATACTACTGCACATATTATTGAAAGTAAAATGTATGCACAAGATTTAGTCTCGCAAAAGACTAGTCTCAAAGAAAAATGTATTTGCTACTGGGCCTCTCACCTTCCTGTCTTTCTCCCAGAGCCGACTGATATAATACTGTTGTCAGCCTCATCATTTTGCACCTTCAAACTAACATTGGGGGAAACTGGACCAGATACAACAGGTGTTTTACAGCATTCCTCTAAGATAGCCTGTAGATCAAAAAAGATGAATAATTGAAAGTTAAACGAGACTTATTTATAAGTTGAAGTTTGACTGGAATTCTACCGAGTTACACTGCATCAAGAGATTACGTGCCCACTGCCCACCCTACATGACCCAACCCTTCACGTAGTTAACTTCTAATCTTTTGAGAACTTATGCTGTGCACAATATTTTGCATTTAGATATTTGTGCAAGTCTTTTCAAATGCAAACTCATTTGTTCCATTTGATTACCAAATCCACATTAATGAACTTAATTTTCTTATGATGTTTGGTAATTACTTTTTCATCTGGCTACTTTAGCTTAGTTAAAGTACTGATATGATGTATGTCCGCGCATGCGCAATACCATCTCTTGTGATCATTGATGCTGTAACGAGGTAGAATTCAGTGTTCCCATGAACATTATCAATCCTTGCGCTAAGTCTAAATCTTGATGAGTCAACATAATTCAAACCTGATGCAAAAACTGGGCATCCCTTGTCATAACTTCATATTTTTCAGCATCACAGGTATATCTTGAGATTTATGTAAATTATAGCAGTTCAGACATTGAAATTATCCAGTTGGTCAATTTTTATTAGTCTCCAGAGTTTATCAATTCATGCTAAATTGTGCAGCCATGAGTTTTATGCATGTTAAGAACTAGTCTCGGTTTGGAGAACGAATGTCATCAGTCTATTGCACGGCACACCTGCTTTGCACAATTTTGATATTTTTACATGTTGTAGATTTAAATGTCCTCTTTTGAATATCCATAATTTAATTTAGGTGATATTTCTATATTTTACATAAAAAGATTATTAGCGAAGTAGACTGATAAACTTTGTTCTTCAAATCGAAACTTGTTTTTTACTGAATCGGTATCTGCATGTTATGCCTGCTTCGGACAATTTTGATATTTTTACATCTTGTAGATTTAAATGTCCTCTTTTGAATATTCATAATTAAATCTGGGTGATATTTCTAAATTTTTCACAAAAAATTATTAGCCCAGGAGACTGTTCTCCAACCGAGACTTGTCCCTTCTCGATAATTTAAACTTCTCCCACCATATCTAATTTCATGATTGTGACTCATTTCATGATTGACGACATTTTTATCACAAAAGTGTCTGTAAGTATCAAAAAATTTTAAAAATGTACATATTAGTGAATAAATGGTTCAAAAGACAACAGAATTGTTGATTTATTACCTCAATATTGCATTTTCAGCACTATAGTAGGTGTCTTTTGTTGTAAGGCATTGCAATTTGAAAGAGGTTTAATTTTAGAGCCTACAGAGTACAAAAAATATCGTGTTATTTCAATTTGGTCAGTTTGAAATTTCAGCCTATGTTTCATTTTTTACAAAACTAATTATCAACTGCCACTTCTATCGTCAAAGAGTATTCACGTAGCTATAAAGACTTTTTTGTACGCCATGATTAGGCCATAAGAAGTAGATTCTTTGTTTTGCATCCCCTTGCTTGCACAATTTTGAGTAAATCAGAAAAAACAAACACATCCAAATAGCAATAACAAGGGTCTGAAAGTACCATCACATTTCGTTCAATGAGAATCGAAGAAATGGCGGATAATTTGATGTGCGTCAAAATTGACAGTGTTATTGATTACTTTGGCATACATTGCGTATTTTCTTATATTTTACCCTTGAATAATAGCTATGTTTAAATATATTGTATAAAATGTATAGAATGATATGTGTTTGTAGTCACTGCAAATTGGTATGTCATCCTTTTTATGCCCATAAAATGTATACATTTCTCAGCAAACAAGTTTGTGTTTTTTCTTGAGTTTGTGTTTGTTTTCCTTGTACCCTTGCATGATTTGGATTTTACCAGGACGCAAAACAAAGAATCTGAAACTAGGTACTCTCGTACGGGAATATGAACGAATATATCGTTTGAAAAACAGGTTTGAAAATCCCCATGTTAAACATATGAGGGAAAACAAGGAAGTATAAATTTGTTCCTCCGTGAACTGCATCATGGGAAATATTTTGACCTTATAAGGAAAGATTTTCGCGTCTCCTCTTTTGAAGAGGGAACAACAATTTCGAGAATTGCATGTTTCAGAATTTGACATCTTTGTGTGAACTTTGCATCGTCGGTTGACACCCTCAGTCACTACGTTCTATCCCAAGTGAGGATAGGTCCGAAGCTCGATGAAGCAAGATGTGAAGTTTGTGTGAACTCTTTAAGTCTGTCTCCCTAAAGTAGCTTGTTTTAAAAAGATGCATATGTTTCTTAAAGATGTGTTAAGATTTGCCCTTAAACTTAGCTAAATATATGTTAACTCTTGATTTGAATTTCATTAAACAAATGTAATATTAAAATCATGATCATGCCTTCAGATTTCAGGAAATCTATTGAGTAAAAGATTCACCATTTTAACATAGAAAATCAAATTGTCTAACTTTTTCAAATTCAATTGTATTTTGCGAAAACAAAATGGAGGTATCGGACATGATGTCAATTTACTTTTTCCAGCACTAAAACAGTTTTTTCCTTTACACTGTACATATTATACAAATAATAATTCAAAGGAGGCTTAAACACTCCATGGGGGAGTTTACGGTTGATGCACTTTTGGAAGGGGTGTAAATTGTATGTAAGAAAATTACAAAAATGGTTTTATATGAGGCAGAGGTCTAGATAAGCTGTCGCCATTTGCCAATTGAGAATATTTTTAGCACCCGGCGAAGATATTGATCTAAATATTCGCAAAGGTGGCGAATATCTTTGTACAGAACCTACCTGAGAAGCAGATAAATTATCGGGGATTCTTTGTTTTCAACTTTTGTAATTTTTGTAATTTCACCCATGAGACGCCACAATTATTTTTGTTTCAATTGAAATTTAACACGGGGCACCTTCACAAGACCTGTTGCGTTCGGTATTTTGATGAATCAATTGAGATACCAAAACTTATTTTCGAGTCAATGAAAATTTAACATTAGCTCATATTCGCAAACCTGTTTCGTTCGTTTTTCTGATACATTCAATTTGTGTGTGTGTCGAGCTAAATATTTCAAAATTATGCCGGGACCATTGAGGTCTTTCCGGCCAGACTGGAAGGCAGGGCAGCCTTGGCTTAAATACAATGACGGAAAGATGATGTGTGGAATTTGTCTGAAATATGGAAGTCAAAGTGACACTCGGAAAAGTATCAGTAATAATGATTATCAGAAAAGACTATCAAGAATACAATCTACATAATCTGTAAAATATGTTTTTTGTGAAAATATAAGTAAACATTGTGGCTAATAATTTTTCACAATGGCTAATATTTTTTAGAAAACATTAGCCACATTGGCTAATAACTTTTTCAACTTATCTAGACCACTGTATGAGGAACCCAAATGAAGGTGGAGATTTGTGGATAATATAAAAAAAATGAACCTCTGGTCACCAAATCTTGGATACGCCACTGACTCGTTGTGCACAAGTGAGAGATGTAGACATTGTGGGGAAGGAGAGATCCAAATTTGAAAAATAAGACTTGAGTCATGAGTGGAAACAGACAGCCAGCCCACCCTTTGGCAGAGGTTCACATGATCAACTCTTGATAAACAGGCATCATTACTCATTAGTTACTTTTGGAAAACATGTGTTTGTGATTGATCACGTGATCATACCGTGCTATTTGATTGGTCTGATGTACATAATTCTGATCAAGTCATCCATTGCCAAAACTCTGACTACATCTTACCACTCGAAAAGAAAGAGTCAAATAATGCTAATAGATACACTTATAGTTATAATTTCAAGTGATACTCTTGTAATACAGCTGTGCAAGTTCAAGTCACCAAGATGAGCTACTACTTTTTTCAAGGCCTGACTGCGTCGCTAACATGCTAAATATAAGAGTTAGCTGACGTTTGGGAGTCTGACTTACCTTCTAAAGGTTAGAACCCGAATCTTAATGAAACCATATCACCTTTGTTGCGTCGATGATGATGCATAAACATAGCATTTGATAGAAATTAGCGTAAATGCTTTTCCGACTTTTTCATTTTTCATCAATGTTGACTTCCGGGAAGGCGTTGTAGTTATCACGAAATAACGCATTGACCCTTGAACTTTACTTTGTTGACGTGTCAACCAAGCATGTCTGGTGTGAAAATTAAAAGAATATTAAGCAATGTTCTACATCCGCCAAGCTAAGTGAAGTAGTCAATATTTAAAATTACCAATTTCAAGTGAAGTACGCAATGAACGAAACTGCGTGATCTACACTCCCACTATTGGTCTGAATGAAATGCTACGTAGAAATATGAGCTGTCTGCTGTATTAGTCTATTAATAGAGTAAGACCTGTTGGTGATGCTTTATAATTTAGACCAAAACATTGAAGAACAAACGAACCTGTAAATCGTGAAAACAACGAACAAATATTCGGTTTTCACATATGTTCGGTAATTTTTCGTATTGAAACTTCCGGAACTTACAAGGAAATCATTCATTTTCTCGATCCATGATTTACCTCTTGGATGTTGTGGCAAATGCTCCATGGTCGACGCAACAAAGGTGATATGGTTTCATTAAGATTCGGGTTCTAACCTTTAGAAGGTAAGTCAGACTCCAGAACGTCAGCTAACTCTTATATTTAGCATGTTAGCGACGCAGTCAGGCCTTGAAAAAAGTAGTAGTTAGGCGAGAATTGAGAAATAAAAAAGGTAACCTTATTCTTTAAATTCCTGTTCCCAATCCTGGTATATTTATTAGGAAGTAAGTTTCGTAAGAAATGTTGACCAAAGTCTGTGACTGAAACCATGGGCTTTCAATTATAGTTGAAAGCCCATGCTGAAACAAACAGTTTTGGTAACCAGCGTAATCAAGTGGATCAACACCTGTGTGGACGGTCACATGCAGTGACGAATCAGATGACTTTTTGAACACGTATTATCAGGAGTATTTCCCAGAAATTGAAATATTCCACTTTAAATTTTGGAATTGGAACAAGGAAGAAAATAAATGCAGTGGCTGGGCGATAATAGATAAATTACCTGTAATCGTCCGTCTTCAAACCACGTTTTATCATATTTCAACTTTCCCTTCGAAGTACTGCCTAGCGCGTGTAGGATCTCTGGACTACTAGACATCTTTAATTAATTAATTTAATATTAAATAATAAAGATCAAAGCGTCAACTGATGTAATTTGAGTGCAATTTTGTTTCCATTTTATTTTTATTTTTGGAAATTTGGAATTTAATCTCAAACCAATGTGTAATTATTATTTTCATTTTCCTTTTAGAGGAAATTAGGATAGAATACCACAAATCTGTCTCAAATATAGTAGGATTTCAATTGGGTGATATAAAAACTGTCTGGATGTGCCGGGCAACATAAATGTACATGTGATATAATATATTACGAAATTATAGATGGCGCAAAATGTTAAATGTTTTGGTCTGAGAATATCGAAAGTAGGTCACCTATTGAGGCTGAGGCTAGAGGTCGATTTCTCGATACACGTGTGGAAACCTCTAAAATAAATACTATGGCAGGTATTGAAGGTGTCGAAAATGACCAACAAAATGATACTGAGCAAAGACGAAACCCTGAAGAATGTGCAGACGAAAATTCAGGAGAATCTACCGAAAATACAGCCGATGGTGAGTACTAAAAGTTCAGTCACTTGTGATATGTTTTGCAAGCAATCCCACGTGGAAATATTTCATCAGGGACCAGATACCTTCCAAAATTTATGACAGAGCTTTGTGATGACATGAAAAATTTTATATTTCATTTTAAAGCTAAGATATCAATGTATTTGGTGTAATAGTTATGACACTTGATGCCTTTCCATAAGATACAAATCAGTGTGTGAAATTTGGACATTTTTTGAAGAAAAAATAAAGGTAAACTTGGAACACACCTCCGAAGGTCAAAGGGTACAATCCACAGGCACCCACAAGAACTTGTAGCACTAACTCTATGAGTTGCTTATAGATCAGAATGAGATGTAAGCTTAGTAGAATTGACCAAAATGAAAATCCACCCAGCTCTACAGTGACAGTCTGTCTATTTCAATTCAGTTGAAATGTCAATAAATGTCTAAACATTATTCAACTTGAACATGTAAGTTAGACATAGAATAAAAAACCAAAACTAAGCAATCAAAAGACCATGGCCCTCACAGATTGCCCTAGATCTAATTGGTTGCAGTTAGCTGGTGATTTGTCATGATTGTGGGTTACTCACAAAATGTTCCTGCTATGTTTACCACGGACTATAGATCTACAGACATTGGAGATTTTCATTTTGGTCTTTCCTACTACAATCAAATTTTTTATTCTGTCAATCAGTTCATATGGTTAGAATAAGGAAAGAATGTGATGTAACCACGTGTCTACTTACTAGCTTGTTCTATGTCATCCATCGGACTAGGTTACATCGTGGAACGCAGCCAAACACGACAATGAAGCCAGTATTCTGAGGTTATAAAATCTAAATCTAAATAATTTCCCATTTGCAGCCCCTTGGAGATTTCCAGAATTGAACAAAGTAGCGAACGTTGCGATCTTTCAACTTTAGTTCGTTGTTTTTTCACCACCTTATGTGTACTGTTTTCATTTAGGAGGCGGTCTTATTTGAATGCATCATTACAGGTCTTTATGAATCAATAGATCAATAAACAGCTCTAAAAATACAATTTAGCAGTTTCTTTCATTGCGTACTGCGCATGTTAGGCACGAAAACAATTTAGCAGTTTCGTTCGTTGCGTAATTGGGCCTTCTATAATCAGTAGCAAATGCTCGGAAAACATTTTCCAAAATATTTACTTCCGTTTTCCTTGAAGACATGATTGGGTGACACGTCATTGACACGTGATTAAGTCACATGATCGATACAGTAACTAGTCACGTGATCAGACATGTGTCACGTGTCAGTCACGTGAGCTTGCAAAATGGACGATCTAAATTTCCAAAAATTCGGCTAAGATCAAGATAGATATGCTGTTGCCTTCAGCGTCCTGTTCGGCTGCGTTCCACGATGTAACCTAGTCCGATGGATGACATAGAACAAGCCGGTAAGTAGACACGTGGTTACATCACATTCTTTCCTTATTCTAACCATATGAACTGATTGACAGAATAAAAAATTTGATTGTATCTGATTATATCTGTTCTGGTGCCTGTGGTAAAAATGCTATATTTAAATTTCAAGGCTCTTATACTAGAGTCCATTTCACTGCTTCATTTCGTCAGTAGAACGGCAAAAATAAGAAATTGGGAGACCATTGTGCAATAATATATTATGAGGTTATATAATGGTTCATTCTGTATATCGTGTTTATACTCGAGTGAGTATATAATATATTCACAAGTGAGCGTAGCGAACGAGTGAATATAGTATATTCTCACGAGAGTATAAAATGCACGATATACAGAATGGACCATTATATAATCTTATTACGCCACTCTAAGTTCAATTACAGTTGATCCAAACACAATCATAACAATTATAAAAAACCATAAAAATATCCCATAGCCAACTCAGTAATGCCGATGTTGACCTCGATCCATTTATGACGTCACTTGATTCTAGCAAATCATGTGGGAACCATTTATGACATCACTTGATTCTAGGAAATCATGTGTTACAAAACATACACCTCGTTCTTCGGTCAATATTCATTAGTTCCCAGAATGCACTTCTACAGTGGTATACGCAGGAGTGTATACGCAGGAGTTGTATACGATGACGATATACCACTCTCCACTGTATATCGTTGTTATAGACCCATGTTATACAACTGTAATCGGACTTAGAGTGGTATAAGGAAAAGTATATTCATAATGTACATGAATGACATTTGTATATTTCAGATTTTTTAGTTTTTTGTGCAATAAGCCTGTGCCGTCTTGTAATTTGAAGAATTTCAGCCATGTTAATCTTATTTAAAATAACATGGCAGAGAAACATCCAAATATAAGAGGCCACACACTTTATAAGCCAAACTAGAAGCAATCCAAGATATACAAATGTCATTCATGTACATTATGAATATACTTTTCCATATATTATTGCACAATGGTCTCCCAATTTCTTATTTTTGCCGTTCTACTGACGAAATGAAGCAGTGAAATGGACTCTAAATTCTTCAAATGATGGAAACTTCCTCTCATTGACCTCAACATCTATGTCTTTTGATATTCAGAATAGAACACTTTCTCTCTATAGATTTCTAAGCTAAATTCTTCACTTTTATCTCATGGAGGGGGGGGGGGTTATGTTCATAAAGGAGGCAATTTTCACAATCAAAATTTGTGTTCAATTAGAAATATTTTAGAATATTGAAACTTTGGAGTTGTCCCTTTCATACTTCTGCATCAATTTTTGTTGAGATTTACTTGAATACTGATACTAGAAACTCAAAATCCAGTTACATTCCCAAAGCCGAGTGATGAGACAAGTCTAGAATGAGGGACAAAATTGATTTAAATAAAATTTCATTTTTAAATGGCACTAAGGACAGTGTTACTAGTATATGAATGGGGACAAAAATTAATAAGAAAGGAACCCCAAATCAGTTATTCATGATTTTTACAACACTCTTTTTATCTGAATCTAAAGTTCAATGATATACAGATACTATTTATGTAGTATTCTTAGGCTAGTGTAGAGTGCATAATATGAGTAGACGTTGGATTTTAGCTAGCAGGGTCCTTGAACATTAAGTTTTGATGTTTTGCAGGTAACATTATCTTTCAGGATGGCCTAGCTTAAAAGGTAGAATATCACCTAGACATGCTGAATTTAGGCTGTTGAGTCTGGAGGGTTCTGTTCAATTACTCAGATGCGAGTAGGTAGTTACCAGTTTCGCCACCAGGTGGCTGATTCGGGGGAAATAACATTGCAGGGTATTACAAAATTCCCTTAAACTTGAATATTCATCAGTTTTAGTGGTTCACTTTTCATATTACCCTTATGTATCTGATAGTTATACAAATTAAAATATGTCCAGTAAAAGAAAATATTATCTGCCCAACACAAGAAAAGATATTTCCATTTTTGTGATTTTACAGCATGGGGGCTATGGGGAATCTCCCCGACCTAGAAGTCACATTTTCAAAGAAAATTAAATTTTCAAAGTTGATAAACTCTTTTCAAAACCATATTTCTAGATGTTTTAATGACGTAAATCAAGATTATTTCTACTCGCATCTAGGATATTGACACACATTGTAATGCCTTCCAGTTACGTATGGCAAACAAGAATTACAAGTAGAATACCCTTTGCATTCTTTCAACTTCACTTCTTAAAAGAGAGAGCTTCGTCTTCACTCTTTCAGTTTACAATAAATCTCTGATCTCACTGAGCCAATTAGAGATCGTTGTCGAAATAGGGACGACTTTCCATATGGTAATTTGCTATTACATCACCGCTTAGTTAATGAGCACGTATTTAGCATGCGTTCCTTCCACTTCGCTGATTGGTTGAGAAAGGGTCAGCGTGGAAGATTTGGAATGATTTACCTGGGCTGTCACAGGCACCAATCATTGGGGTGGGACTGCTAAAATGTAATATAGTCTATACTAGGCAGAGGGTAGTTTATAACTAAACTCTTCGTGCAGGGTACAAGTGGTATTGCTTGATGACCTATTGAAAGTAAATCACTTTTCAAATGTAGACCTTTGTAATAAATCTTGAGGTTTATCCTGGCCTTGTTATGTTTTCTACTTGGTCAATAGAGTCATTCCAGTTGAATGAATTGGCTGGAATAAAAATAAACTATGTTTCATATTTATTTTAAGAAAGCTTTTAGATTAATTTAAAAACCAATGTTTCACTCATCTTTATCCCATTTATTTCAGTATCTATTTCACCTTATTGTGATATGCAGCTATAATGGCACATAAATTATTTTGTTTACAAAAGGTAAATACCTCAAGGTTAGTCTGACCTTTTGCTCAAATCATTGAATCTTAGAAAATGTGAAGTTTCAGTACAGCTGTGTTTTTGTTGTTGAAATTTTGTTCAATCTCGTTAGAAGTCTCATATTCTGAGATTGAAGTAATGTTGCACTCCCGGTTAATGAAATATAGGTATTCAAGAAATATATGTCTTTTTGATATTAATTATTTATCTTTCTTATAAAATTTTTTCTAGTAAACTAATATCAGAACTGACACATATTTAGTTTTATTGCCTTAAGGGAGTTTTAAAATCTTCTGCGCCGTTCCGATACTTACTAGGATCACCTAAGCCGTAGCTGAAAAAACTCGAACAAGCATATGAGCAGTAGGCTCATAATCCTGATTAACATAATAGTTTAGGTGGGGCTTTATAAAAAATGCCCAGCGAAACCTTGCCTCTTTGGAGGATGATTAAGGGGAGGAAGGAGGGAAAGCAAAATTGACTTACCAATCGTCGATGAATCGTATATTATTGCAGAAAATACCAGCGGCAAACACACAAAGTTTTCAGCGAGAATCTAGGGGACGCTATCTAGTTGACCTACTTCTGAAACTTTCTAGCCCTCTGATTGGGTGACAGCCGTCCTACATTTCTGGCGGCAAGTTTGAAAGTATGAAACTGGCACAAAAGACTAAACTCCCCTCAAATTATATTGCAATATAAATCCATTATTTTAAATAATGGTAATTTATCTTTCTTATAAAATTTTTTCTAGTAAACTAATATCAGAACTGACACATATTTAGTTTTATTGCCTTAAGGGAGTTTTAAAATCTTCTGCGCCGTTCCGATACTTACTAGGATCACCTAAGCCGTAGCTGAAAAAACTCGAACAAGCATATGAGCAGTAGGCTCATAATCCTGATTAACATAATAGTTTAGGTGGGGCTTTATAAAAAATGCCACAAAAACATTAAGGTGAATGCCGAAATGTTGCCCCCACCAAAAAAGTTTTAAGAAAGGTGATTCATAATTTCTTCCAACTACATAACTTGTTTGATACATAAAAAGATGAAAAAATGTGTATACTATAAAACATAATATTCTTTTATTGCGATAACTTCAAGAGATATTATCATGTGAAAAACAATCTCAACATGGTTGGTCAGTAGCTAAATATATAAATAAATATTTTATCTAAGTTATATACAGATATATGTTTCTTGTAAGTTGATATTGCAGACCATTTCTTGATGCATTGACTGGAATTGCGAAATCCCTGAAACAATCTATCTCTTAAATATAAAAAGTTGACAATTATGAGATCTTTTACCACTGATTAAATATAAGCATTCATTTTAAGACAATAGCAACATATCTCATTGATAAGCTCTTACCAAGTGAAAACCTTTGTATTGCAAAATATTTGATAAGTAAAAATATAGCACTGGTCCAATAAATAAGAACTATGACTAAGTTAACTCAAACTAATTTCTACTACTACACTAAAAAACTGCGTAGTTGAACGCTACGTTCAAACCTCTCTTCATGTCTATATCACTTGGCAAGACAATGAGTCCTATGATGAATACTATAAACAACTACAGTTCCTAAGTGTCCCTGATATATTTAACAAAAGCATTAGATTTCCATCTCCCAAGACGTCGTATCACTGAATCAGATAGACCTCGAGCAGCCGCATATGTGGCTCCCCCTATCCTAAAGGAATGTCCCTTGTAAGACTCAGGATCGAGGTTGTTTAACTTTAAGAGGTTATTAAACATTGCCATAAATTGTCCTCTTGTAACTGGCCTACCGTCTGCTTGGACGAATAACTGTGCTGTTTTACACATTGTTCGTTGTTCCAAAAATTGCCGTAAATGATGCACCGGGCAAATGTCAGCTGCTTGAGTATATAACGATACGGATGCTGAAACACCCGGTTTTGAATGTTTGTGTGAACTCAAAGTTAGAACTATCCTGTTCTCTGAAGGAATGACTAGTATATTATCATGTGTTAAAGTGTGGCCTGCTGTGTCAGTCACTATCTCTCCTATCCTAAGCAGCGCAAAAAATGCGACCAGAAACATAGAAGAAAATAATGCTACTGTCCACTGGTCCAAATATGTGCGTTTTAACGTAGATACCAACAACCTCAATATTGGAATAGTAATTGGGCGACGTGTATCCTTCTGCGGTCGATGACGAGTGAAACCTACGAGTGTCTCTTGAACCAAGAAGTGTTTTGTATTATCAGCGATACCTAGCATTTTTTGTTTATATGCCAAAGCTGAAAGCATAGTTCTAATAGTCGAGGGGGCTAATGTTTTCGATAAATATGTCACAAATAAAGAAACTGTTGAGGCACCTCCTGTCAACGCGCTGCTGTTAAACTCTGCTTGAAATTTATCCAAGTACTTATCTAATTGGTTGTACGTCCTGTGGGTTCCCTTTGTCTTTGCGTTATTCAACCACGTATCACGTCTTTTAATAAGATCTCTGGTTTTGCTTCCCAAGGAATTTGTGTTGGTGACGTATTGGCACCTGGGTGTTGGAGCCGGAAAGCCTGTAAATCGAAACGAGACAATGCGTCACAACCGATATTATCTTTCCCTCTTATATGCTTTGCTTGGAACAAAATATTGTGTGACATAGTCAATAGCATTAGCGGGCGCACTAACAACATCAAATTTGGGTCTTTTGCTGAACACTTATTAAGCACGTGGACCAATGCCTCATTGTCAGTAAAGAAAACCACCTTTTTATTGGCCATTTTAGACTTCCACGTGTGCACGGCCGCTAATATTGGATACAATTCTAGCGTGGCTATATTAATATCCGTATCTTGCTTTTCCCACGCTCCGTCGAACCATTCAACACCAAAAATCGCCCCATAGCCTTTACTTCCCGCTGAATCAGTATAAAGAGCTAATGTTTCTGAGTTATCCCATTCCTCATCATGTATAAAAGCCTTGCCATTGAAACTTTTTAGAAACGACACCCATGTCCGCATATCTTCGCGGCTTTCATGATTAAGGCGAATATGATGCCATGACTCGTTAACCCCTCTAGTTAGATCAATAAGCCTGCGAGAGAAAGCTCGAGCGCATGGGATGACCACACAGCAAAAGTTTAAAGAGCCCGCTATTTTTTGTAATACCTCAAGCGTGATTTTTCTCTTTTTCCTGTTAGATTCTAGAAGATCGATGTATTTAGCAATTTTTTCTTCTGGCAACCGAGCTTCTCTCCGAACCGCGTCTAATTCAATTCCCAAAAAGGTCATAACTGAACTTGGGCCAAAAGTTTTCTTTTTTGCTAATGGGACCCCCAGGTAATTGCAAATATCAATGAAGGAAGTTAGATGTTCTTGGCAGCTCTCGTCGCTTTCCGATAAAATCATGAAATCGTCCAGAAGGTGCACCATATGAGGCACTCCCAATTTTTTTGAAGCAACCCAATGTAACGCTTGACTAAACATTTCAAAAAGCTGACATGCATGAGACAAACCCATAGGAAGTACCAAATCCTGATAGTAGCCCCTTTTGAACATGAAACCCAAAAGAAAATAAAAATCAGGATGAATAGGGACATTTCTGTAAGCACTTTCTATGTCGATTTTAGCCATTTTTGCCCCTGGACCTATTTTTAGCAGTATTTGGATTGCGTCATAAATGGTTTGGTATTTGACAGTAGTAAATTGTTCTGCTATCCCATCATTTACCGAATGTCCCTTTGGGTGGCTCAAATGATGAATTCTGCGAAATTTTCCTTTTTCTTGTTTGGGCACTACCCCTGTTGGAGAAGTAACAAAATATGGAGTGGGTTTACAAGCGAATGGACCTGCGATCCGACCTAATTTAACTTCTGAATCTATTTTTTCTTGTAAGGCTCGAGGGTGTTCATATGCTGAGGGTAGATTTCTGTTTGTTGATTTAGGTAATTCACCGTGATATGGTAACTTAAAACCTTGACGGAATCCATTTACTAAAAACATTTTCTTATCATTATCATAACCCTCTAAAACTGTCAATAAGGCATTGGCATTAATTGGGGTAGGTATGATTTTGGGAATTTTCAGAGACTTTCTGTTCGCAACTATATATGAAACTATAGGATTAGTTTGATCTCTTGTTAAATCTAGAGGAGTTTCTACCCCGGCCACTTTGTTTTGAGAATTTGTTTCCTTGGTATTTGTTTCCACCATTTTGGTTGGATGACCCGAATTTCGAACATTCTGTGGCTCTATGAAATTTTCCGCAATCTGAGCAATTGTGTTTGTATTTGCATTCTGAGTACAAGCAATAGTGCCCTTTATTCCACCTAATACAGATTTGCTTTCCATCACGAAAAGAACTAGATTGGGAAGTCTTGTTACTTTGCACTGAAGATGAGCTTTGTCCCGATGATTTTAACAGGGTTGCTGAGAGCATGAGTTCATTGTTAGGATATCCCCAATCAAGGCCAAATTTCTTATTACGGCGAAAATTTTCATCGTATTTAGCCCAGTCTGCCCCCGGGGTTAGGCTTAGATTCAAAATGTGGGACCCATATTTAAAGAGTTTCAATGCCTCATTAGGATGGAAAGGTACTTAAACTGACATGAAGACATAAAAGGCACTCTGCCACTCAGGAAAAGACCAAACTTTTCTTTTCTTAGAACTTGGAGCCAAAATGACTGAAGTAGAGCCATCATCATTTTTTTGGTTTTGACATTGTAAGATTTGTTTGTCTTCTTCTTTTGACAGGGATGCAAAATCTACATATTCATCATTAATAATTTTTTGTTTAAGGGTGTTAGAAACATGGCTATCAAGTTGCATACCTTGAAGCTGAAGGTTGTTTTTTGACTGATCCAGAATGCCCCCCGGCGCAATCATCATGGGCTGGCCCATACCAGCTTGGTTCACCCCCATATGTTGACCTATCCCGAACTGTGGTCCAACTCCGATGTTCCCCATACCGTTGTTTCCTGGCTGGCCCATACCAGCCCCTGCTATCATATGTGCGACTCCTGGCTGGCCCATGCCAATTTGATTGTTTTGACCTATGTGCTGATTCGCTAACTGAGGTTGGAAACCCTGATGACCCATAGCGGCTGGTACCATACCCTGCTGCCCCATAGCAGCTGGTATCATTCCGTTGATCTGTTGAACGTGACCAACGCCACCTGGAAGATTGTGATGTTGTCCTATCTGGCCCATACCAGGAGGATAAATTTGTTGTTGATACAGCTGGCCCATACCAGCCTGCAGTCCCTGTTGTTGCCCCAGCTGGCCCATACCTGCTGGCAGAGGTTGCTGATTCTGGATTCTTTGATCCTGTATCATTGCATTGATTGGCATTTGTTGTTGCTGCCCCATTTGACCCATGCCTGCTGGCAATGGCTGTTGATTTTGAATCATGCCGATTTGTGGCATCTGTTGTTGTCCTAATTGACCCACGGCTGCTGGAGCTTGAGGTTGTTGTTGTGGATCCATCACGGCTGCGTTTTGCCCATTTTGAGGTACTTGCTGCCCTTGCACGCCCATGCCGGCTGGGGGCACTTGTTGATCCCCATTTTGATTCCCATTGGCCGCCTGACCTTGCTGACCCATGTCTGCTAAAGGTTCTCCTGGATTTGGAATTCCATTGCCCACATTCTGGCCTCCTTGTCGTTGATCTGCTTGATTCAAAGCTCCTTGTTGTTGTTGATCTTGGCCCGCCTCTTGGTCTCCCATCTGGCCGCCTTGAGGAGGAATCCCTGGCGGAGCGTTCATGCTGTTTAGTAAGACCTACAAAGAAATATTTATCTAAGCAAAAAACTCCCTGAGCAGAGTGAAACACTCTACCAAATTGTAAGCAAATACAAACTCCATTAAATACAGATCTTATTTCACAATTTAATCTAAAATTCCTTAGAGTTACTGAATTCAAGTGTTTAAGATTAAACTTGAGACTGAACAAGTTAAATTATTGAAAACAAAATAAAATGCGTTCGTGAACAAAGATCTGTTATTTCAATGTGTTTTATTAAATATCATATTTTGTGATGATCATATAATAGACATTGCGACTAAAAACTAGTTAGCGTTTCAATCAACATAATATCTGTTTAAAATATATGTTTATAAAAAACCCAGATGGCGATAATTTGACAGTAGTAAAATTGCGACCATATATAACATGACTGCCATTAATTCCCAACATGGAGTTTTGACTTTCAAAGTGCTATGTAGAAGCATTGCGACTGCGAAAAGTGTGTTAAATAATAAGCATCCCCCTAAAAAAAATTGCGACTGCGAAAAACAACCAGGGCTTATGAGAATAATTAATCATTTAAACATAAGCATGAACGTCTATTTAACAGTAGTAAAGTGCGACCAAATAAAACATGACTGCCATTAAGTCCCAACATGAAAATTTTGACTTCAAATTGTTATATATGTAAAAGCATTGCGACTGTGTATTGTTAGATAAGTAAAGATCCCTCGAAAACAAATTAATGCGACTGCGAGAACCAAACAGGCTCATGAGTATAAGTAGACATCTAACTATAAGCATGAATATCCAAAAATTGCGACTGCGAAAGCTGAGAAAAAACCCTTGGGTTAATAATAAGGTCTGTAAACACAATATCGTCTTCATCATAAACTAAACAATTGCGACTGTCAACATCCACACAGGGTATTCTAATTAAAGAACAATTGCGAAGCATTGAATGCGTATTACCCGTTAATCCAAAAATTGCGACTGCGTATTCCGGGAATTGATTAACAAAAAAAAAAAAACCCATGGTGGCTCCTTAGAGTTAATGATTATTAAATCAAAGCATTGCGACTACCCTCGGCATAAATTAATATTCAATTTATCCCTGCATTACGCCTTGCAGTTAGTTTGATCGGCAAGAATAGTGTAAAAAGAATTATAGCCAGCTAATTTTCCAAAAGATGTTGAACAACATTAATCTTAAATATTAAATGGAGGCATTGCGACAGAAAGGACGTTAAATGTCATAATAACTCATAATATGACTTATGAGTGACTGGCCCATGTTCGTTCTTTATACATAAAGAGCGAATTAATTCATCCACCTACTCTTTTTAGCTTGTATGGTCGCCCCTCGTATTGTCCGCCAGAGTTTTTTGTGGCCCCTTCTGTTGAGGTGAGTACCATCTTCTAGAAGAAGATCCCTGGCATACAACGTGACCCCTTTTGTGAACCATAAATGTATATTTGGATGTTCCTGAAGTTTTTCTTTGAGTAGACGATTCACCATTGATACTTTCCTGTTGTACAGTTCAGCTTGGCTGTCTGTTCTTAACCTACAGGATGGTTTATCAGACACACCTCTATAGAATAATTTGCCTATATACACCTGTTGGATTTGTTTATTCATATTCTTTGCAAGCTCTAGTATACTGTCTGTAACTTCTTTCACCTCGCCTATAACATCCTTTCCTGTCAGCTGATTCCCCCCTATTTGCAGGAAGGCGCCATCAAAATTTTTCAAATTGAGAGCGTCCAAGCGATCCCACAGGGTTGTAGTTGAAGCTCCACCGAAAACTTCATAGGTTATGAAAGCATCATCTAGCTTTAGGCTTGGGGGCAGATTCCATTTCCTGGGTGGGCATTCAACCCTCTTGACGAAGCTGTGCCCAGCCACTAACATACGCACCGGGCGCATGGTTAGACACATTCTGAAAATGTGATTAAACGTTAGATATATTCGCGAAAACTAGAGCTCATGCCTCTAGTGTACGCCTATCCCGTTCCGGGCCCGTGATTTGTCATGCGTATGAATCGTGATCACCAGGCTCAAGCCAAATTACCCCGTTTTTAAATTAAGAACAAAAGCCCTCAAAAAGTTAAATCACGCAATCATATTCGCAATTGCTGTAACCCATAGATAAAGGAAGCGTTTTGACTTGGAATATTCACCTCTGATGTCCCCTTATTGCTCCAAATTGGTGTTTTGACTTGCACTTTATGACGAAAATATTTCTGCCATTTTTGAAAAATCATTTCGTAATCGATTTAATTTCGTAATCCTAGCCGTTAACCTGTATCGTGGACGATAAAAACGATGTATATCCCAAACACTTGACTGCACGGCCTCCCTGATCGAAGAAATATAATTATGCTTTTAAAATAACGGGGAATGAGACTCGAATGTTCACTGGCTTAATTTTTTCGGAACCCATCGAAATATTTTGGTCTCCGAGACTGCCCACTACTAAGACCGTAATATCTCGTTAAACCAAAGGCTTATTGCGTCAAACTTGCACCATATGTACATGCTAGGGTTCCTGAAGCGATTAAAGCAAAATTGACTTACCAATCGTCGATGAATCGTATATTATTGCAGAAAATACCAGCGGCAAACACACAAAGTTTTCAGCGAGAATCTAGGGGACGCTATCTAGTTGACCTACTTCTGAAACTTTCTAGCCCTCTGATTGGGTGACAGCCGTCCTACATTTCTGGCGGCAAGTTTGAAAGTATGAAACTGGCACAAAAGACTAAACTCCCCTCAAATTATATTGCAATATAAATCCATTATTTTAAATAATGGTAATATTTCATTGATAGATGGTTTCATTAGTTTCACCTTGGGTCTCTAGGTAGGGGGTCTATCAAACTTGCATGACATCTCACACAGGATACAGGACTGAGAAGTGTTTTATATGAAGGTGTTCTATTTGCAGTCTAGGTGTTCTGTTTTACAGGTTTTACTGTATGTTTAACAAGATCTTTGAAAGGGCAGCCAAGGAATATATATAGGGAGTTGGGGGTCATAACCAGTGATTTTGTATATTCCAAGGGTATCTTACAAAGGTTCATCTTATATTTCAAGTCTATGAATAATGGGGTCTTTGATGGTTCCAAATGTTTTATTTGTAGCTCTCAGATGTTCTATGTTTCAGGTTTTACTGTATGTTAAACTTGGTTCATTCATCAAGACCTGTGAAAGGGCATCCAAGGAATATTTATAGGGATGTGAAGGTCATAACCTGCAGAAACACAGGCCCGTAGCCAGGGGGGGTTCGCAGGGTTCGGGCGAACCCCCCCTGGCCAAAAATTCTTTCAAAATCATGCAGTTTTTGACCATTTTGAGCACTTCTCAAGTGATTTTGGCCTAATTTGGGCCAAAATTGTCAAATGTGAACCCACCCCCTGGAAATTTTTGAAAATTGAACCCCCCCTTGGCAAATCCTGGCTACGGGCCTGAAACATCTATATGAAACTTCAGATCAATGTCTGTTAAATCTGATCCATGTTGTAAGATATATCAGTAAAATATACCAATCACTTATAATGCTGTCTAAATTGAGGAGTATGGAGAAGATGCCAAGTTATCTCGTCCAGATATCAATTGCAAAGGCCAAAGTTCCCTGGTCTACTTTAAAATGAGCATCTCTAAATAGGTGTTAGTATGCATTACACCAGAACTTCTTACTGCTTGTTTTTACCTGTATTTCTTCATGGTTTATGGTTAGATAGAGGATTATCAGAAATTCATGGTATTTTTGGATTGATTTTCTCCTATTATAGAATTTATTGCAGTTGCAGTGATTTAACTAGGATTGCTTTTACCCTTTGTTTTGGTATGCTGGGGGTCAGAGCCTTTTAGTTCATTGGGTAAATAAAAATAAAAAGTTTTTACTGGGAAAAGTTTTGGTCAAATAAATTGATATTTCACTCTTTAAAGGGCAGGGTGCATGTTATTCTCACATTTTAACAGGGTCCAGAGTGGTAATCGTAACACTAAGATACATCAAGATTTTTGTTTAAATTCAGCATCAACAATATAAAATCATTCTTTACTTTAATTTAGACAGCAAGTGGTTCTAATGAGATTCTTGATTTGAATCTCAGTAATTTAGTTCTGAAGTTTTAATTTAATATTTGCTTTCTGATAATGAGTTAAAGAAACCCTTAAATTTTGGACTTTGTTTGATTTGTGGTCAATAAGTTACACATATAGTTTGATAATGAATGTGATAAATTAATATTTAAACCCTTGCACAAATCTTATACTTGATGTTCTTGCAGTTATATACAGTATATATCCAAATGATAACAAGATCCTTGTATGCTGATAAATGTCTCATATTTTATTTACATTAATTAAAGACTAAAGGGATATGGTCAAATTTAAATCCCTAAAGTTTAAGATCCCACTACTATGTCGTTTAACATTAACCACTTGATAGAACTGTTTTTTTTATGCAAAACCTGATTTTACCCCTCCTCACTCTAACATGATTAATTTTCAGACAAAATAGTTTCATGAAAATATTCATATTTGGCTTGGCCGTCTCCTTATTACCAAAGTGAAATGTAGTGAATATATTTGATGTCATGTCCATTTAAAATATTTAATTCCTGTTTTCATGATAGCTTGCATCTCAAATAGCTTGCAAAGAAGGTCATTTGGTGAACAGTTTTTGTTGAGAACAAGGTGATGATATTGGATTAAAGTAGATTAACTGGGTTAGAATACCTGGCTCTTTGATGAAACATAATCACAAATGTGCTAATCTACTTTACAGGTAAAATCACAAGAGGGTCATGTTAGCTTTAAAAGAATGTGTTCCGCACTGTGTCTTTTAAAAAAAATTTAAAGTCGTCTAGGAGCCATTATTCATGACGTGACTTACAAAATGTCAACACCTGGTTCAATTATAACATGCAGCAAAATTGTTATAGATTTGGAGGTAGAATGCGGACTGGTATAGCTGACTAGTTCAGTAAATGCTTCGGGGGAATTTTCAAATAGACGAAAACTATCTGTATTATAAGTATTCATTCTTGATGTTTTTAACTATTGATGGTGGCTCTGAGTCTAGCCTAGTTTTGAAGAAATAAGTTTTTATACCATCAAACCCACTAAATTCCCCTGAACAAGTGAAAGGGCAAGGGATGAGATTGCAGAACTAATATATTGATATTCTTCAGTACTATAAGACTTAGTATCACCATGTGGCTGTCATTATTTAAAGCCCCTGAATATGGTTTTTTGAACAATAGATACTGAAATACCTGTGTTGTTTACACTCACTTGTTAAACCTTTAGCGTGCTGCCGGCGGACGAGCCGCCGAGACTAAAATGTCTCTCACAACTGCCGGCGGACCCGTACGCCCGATTTCAAACTTTTAAAAACTTTACTTTTTCGCGCCATTCGTATTGTCCAATTAGATTGCCCGATTTATTCAGTGCCTAACATGACTTCCTGTTGACCTAGAAATGGCGATATTTCGAAAAATAATTCTCAATTCAACAATTTAAACAGTGTTTTAGTCGTTTTTAGTGAACGAATCGTACAAAATGGTGGACAAATACGATCACAACGAAAATGTGGAGGAAATGGATTACCATTTCGAGCTCTTTAGGCTCTTGGAAGCCGATAACGGTCATCGAAAATAGAAACTAGAATATTTTCTGAATTGAAAAATTGAACATTCGATCGCTGCAAATTCAGATTTGGATTCTGACCAGACGAAGAGGCGGAGCGGCGGATTCCGGAGGAGTATTCATGGTATATTTATGCCCAGTCGTGTTAATGTACGAAAAAATTCATGAGAACATTTTTTTTCATGAGCCAGGCCACTGTATCTTCCCTTTGTGAAAATTTTATCCAGATTCATTCAGTAGTTATTGAGATATTAATTATTTAGTCCAGGTATATCATTTTTGCACTCTTTGAAAAATAAGCCAGTTGCGTGGGATATATTTGCTGAAATAAGGCAGCATGGTAAAGGTTAAAGAAATATACTATTCACCAAATGCTTCTAAAGCTCGCTAGAGGTTAAGAAACTCATTTTTCTTTTTTTGAACTTTAACAATACTGTTACATTTTGCTCCGCTGGTGTTTTTCATTATGTTTACAAATAGAGATGAAATATTTTCAGAACTGCACCCATTGTAACTTCTAGTGTTTACTTACTGGATGCAGCATTGGAAAGAGAAACTTATATGAAGGAGTCTATGTCAACCTTACAGTCATGATCTTAATGTTGCATCTCGGATCGGATCTTAAAAAGAACTTTAAGAATAGATTCTTGCTGAAATCTTCATTATTAGACTTAATTACTATCCTCCCCTGGGCTAGGACATCTCTCAACTCTCTAGGGTCCTGGAATTTTATTTCTGTGGTATCTTTGAGTATTCAAGATTTAATACATAAGTCTCCCTTTGATAGTGTAGCAGTGATGAGTGAAAATACTTGAGCTCTGTGATTAGCTTGATATTCTGACTTGTATTGCGAAATCCAATTCACATTTGCATCAGATATTTGCTGGTATATATTTACACTGAAATTTCACTTGTGATACTTAATAACACTTTAGTATTTCCAATACTTGCACAATAGTCAATAATTTATGATTGTGCCTTATTAATGTTCAGTTCAGGGGAATTTTTTATTTTGAAATTCAGGTACAATAAGTAAACCATTCACTTGAATTTGATTTGACATATTGATGGTTTGTGTTTAGAAAATCTTAATGAAGTATCCCTTTCAATGTCACGTTTCCTAAAAATGTATTTGCTGATTTTTTTTATTTGCGACTTAATACCAGTATGCTACAGCTAGATTTAAAGGATTATTTCTAGCTGGGAGTGTAGAATACATGAACTCAAACTACATGTATATGTGTATCAAAGAGTAAACAAGATAACTTAATAAGTGCAAGGTATTGATGAATACATAAAGTTCTATGAATTCAGTTCTGGTTGGTTATCTGGACTTTGACTCTTCAATTTCTGACTTATTCAGCGAGATATACCTCTTCCTCAGAGTATAGATCACATGAAATCAAACTATTTAAAAGGGTAAAGATAATTTGTAGTAAATCTGTCTTGAGATTCTCCTTTAGTAATTAGGCTCATCTAAACCACAGGATAAGACAAGATGGAAACCAAGGCTGTGAATTGATTTTCAGTTCAGTTTACCCTTGCAGTGAAATGACTTTTATGTTCTCAATTACTGACTGAAAAATGACTCTAAGTGGCCAATGTTCCATTCATTTCTTATGTCTGTTTTCTTTGCACTACTTTATTTCAGAGACATGTATTTTGATTGAGTCTATTTTAGAAGGGATATTAAACTGGTATCTTGAATACGCATTGAAATTATATAGGAAATCTATATAGCCAATATGCTTTAGATACTTTACTGTGCTATTCTTTCTTTTTTGTGGGCGTCTCCTCTTTTTTCTTGCGATTTTTTGTCACAGAATGAATTTGAACTTGTTGATTGAGGAAAAGACTCATTTAAGATACAATCCTTCTACTTGCCATATCTCTTCAAATAGTGGAAATACTGTATATTCCATGTCTTACCGATTTTCCAAAAATTAAGTAGAACAAAGAACCTTTTAAGGTGTAATATTTCTGTATTTCCGAATCATAATTTTGTCGTGGAATATTATTTTTTCGGTATTGTTTCAATATCTGCGATTGATTCAGATACATCTTTGATCATTCAAGGAGAAACTGATAATCATCACATCTTTCAGCTTTGTATCGACTGCAGTTCAATCTAAGACTGAAAATAGGAATGCTCTGGATCTCAGAGGCTAGTAGGTGAACTGAAGCCAATTCTTGTAAAGGGTAGAAAAGGAATAGAGCTCCTTTGTCTCTTGTCCTGTAGCCAGTAATTCTAATTAATAAACCAGTTGTTTGAGAAAGGAAGTAACTCCTAACTGATGTCTGTTGGGCTAATTATAACTGTCACATATGGTCTTTGGTAAGTTCAAGGTATATATGACATATCTTGGTCCATGTGGAGAAGATTCCATCTGTTGGTTTTACTTCAGGCTTCTGGTGCTTTATGTGGTTTTGAAATCTGAGGTCTTTGGCCATGTGCTAAGGCTAGCAGAAATTATATATTTGTTTTATCTACATGTATGGTACTGGGGTTTCTTTTAGCAGTAGGTGAGTTGTTTTGTTTGGTGCATCATATTTAGTTTTTCACTCTCCATTGTTCCCAGAGAAATAATAATTTTTAAGCTCAGCATTTTAAGTTTTTGTAATTTTTTTTATTGAAAGTTCTGAATTGATTCTAGCTACTGTGACAAAGAACAGTCATTTTTGGAGAGCTCTCACCATATGGATTCAGTTGTAAAGCTATGAAACAAAGAACTAATTTAATGGTTATGATTTTAAGTGTCAAATCTTGATTCAAGTGTCTCCGATAAACACATTAATTTCCCGATTAAGTTATATGTCTGGAAAACAGAATAAAAATATAAATGGATAAACTGACATGAAGGTGAACCTAACATCATTAAAATGTCCTTAAAATCAACTCCTAATGCTTTTTTTGTGGTTGTCATGCCCGAATGTATTTTGTAGGTGACACTGGAAGACATTCAAACAATGTAAGGTTGTATCCTACTTGTTTCCCAAGTCTGAAAATGTTACAGTTACTACGTGACTATCACATCTAAATTATTCACATTTAACGGCTTACGTGACATTGTTACAACATAAAAATTCCATAAATATTTTTTTCTTTTGAACTATATTCCATTTAAGATGTGATGTTTTATTACCACATGTCTGGTGTATTCTCGTATTACATTACAAAATGTTATAACCTTGAAAATAAATGTTTGTTTTCTGCAATTAAGAAAATCAATGTCAGAGTGAACAGTAACTGTAACACAGATCTAGTTAAAGGTTATTTATGACTCGGAAATATGGTTAGAATATATGTAAGTGTTGTACTTGTAGTAGAATCACTCTGGGCATTGAAATAATAGCCATAAGGAAACACATAAAGAAACACATGATAGAGATAATAGACCGGCATTCAATGGTGTTATTTGTTGTGGCCTTATTTGAAGGCAAGTTGCAGTGAGTTCATGTGAATGACATTGCAGTGTTCTTTGGCATATCATTTGTCCTTCAGGATCCAGTATACTGTTACCCTTTTCAATCTTTAAATAAGAGATACACTGACATAGGTCTTTAAAAGAGAGATTCACCTACATGAAGTTGTCATCACTGGCCTCTAGTAGCAAGGTAGCAAACAAGTACCCTTTTGAATCTATCTTTAAAAAATATCTTCATTGGCCTCTACTCTAGGTAGCATGATAGCAAACAAGCATCCTTTCTTTAAAAGAGATGTTCATCTGCAATTTTTGTATTATTTTTTATGATGGTACCAGTCATTCTGAGTTATCATAGTTTCTCTTTATCTAAAGCAAGGAATAGTTCTGGCTTTGGATGGATTACACTATTGGTACTGGTAGTTATTATGATTATATATCATGCATTGATATGAGGGAGATGAAATGTAGGGGCATGGTGATACACAGTCATTATACCAGATCCAAAATATCTAGAGATACCTAATTTATTGGTACTATAGATAGAATGAGGTTTAGCCTTACTAAAATACAATATTATCTAGCATTAAGTATATATGTGCTCTTGAAGGTTAAAGAAAGAAGGTGGTCTAAATATGCTCTATGTGATTATTTTTGAGTGCAGAATTCTGTTCAGTTTTCAAAATACTTTCGTAATACTTTCATAATTGTTTACTTAACTGGATTTAACACAAGGATATTGTGAAATAGATGCCTGTTGGTATCCTTGCACAATAAAGACTGTATTAAATCTCAATAAAGACTTGTATAAATCTCTGCCTATACCGCAAAAGAGTTGGTACATGATGGTTAGAGTAGAAGAGGGGGAGGGGGGGCATCCCAGTGACTTAATACACGATAAAGCATGCAGTGCCCAGTGCCTTCATTGATTTGGGGATCCCTTCAAATACATATTTGATAAAGAGTGTCAGTCTGTAAACAAAATCCACTTTAAATTTATTTAATCTTGTAATAATTGTAGAACTTGAAAAGTGAATAAACACAAGGGGGTCTAAAGATGCATATATTGAATTGTAATTTCAGTAGAATAAGCTCGTAACAGTTGCATTAAATCAGAAGTTACATGTTAATACTAATCCTCCCCTTCACTATTTCCATTGATTTATGTCGTATTCTAACCAGATTTTGGCATAAATCAATTTGTCTCTCCTCCAGTCTATTAGTTTATCACTAACAAGTTAGAGACAATTTTCTCTTTAAGAGGGATATTCACGTTAGCCTAATTCATAGCTTGAAGGATGGGACGTCAGTGAGTATTATATTCAAAGCCCGTAGCTTACTTCCTTGCAAAAGCCCCCCCCCCCTTGGTGAAAGCTTGCTACAGGCAAGTAAATTGTGTAGAATGTTGACTAAATAATGCCTCGTCTCGTAACAACGACCATAATAATGTTTATGTTACAGCAAAGTGACAAAAAAAATTTACTGGTTTATCTGTTTTGGTTATTTTAGTTTCAAACTAATAATATGACAGGAACTGATATAACGCAATAATCTTTTACAAACAGTGGATGTCCCCCACCCATTCTGTTTCTCCTAAACATGATGAATAAAATGGTGGAAGACTAGTTTCCCATCCTGCTTCAAAATGTTTGATTAACACTAAAGTTTAAAAATATCATAATATTAAAACATCGAAAAATAGCAATTTGTGTTCTATGCCTATATTAAAATACCAAGCCTAATTTCCATGATTGAAATGATAACATGCAAATTTGCATCCATGATATTTATTTCCCTAATTATGTTTTAATCAGATATATTTTCTGTACTTCCAGAAGACATTGAACCTATGCAAGTAGACTCACCCCCCTCTGAACTGAGCGGCCAAAGTAGCGATGAGCCCTCAACACCCCCATCTGATTGTGATGACCCCCCTATGGAAACCCTTACAGCCCCCATAATAAACAAAAACACAACATTAGGTGATAATGCTGACTCTAAAGATGATGATATAAAGACAGTCAGCAATGATGGCAAAGAAGTTGTAATGATACAGGACACTGGTTTTACTGTGCAAGTACAAAGCCCAAATGCTGAACCATTTGATCTACCAGTAAGTAGAATGTTTTCTTTTTTACCAACTCTAGTCACCCCCCCTGCATTTTTCACCTCAACAAGAATGTGAGGTAGAGAAGGGGAGGCGGGGAGGGAAGAGTGGGTGCTAAAACTCACTATCTGGCTGAATTTCAGATTAACTAGGGTGTTTTTTCGTTATGTGTAAGGTTACATACAGATAGTCTCGCCTTAAGCTCTTATTACTCCCTCTATACATATTACCTCCACAAGGTTGTGAAGTAGAGAAAGGGGGGGGGGGGGGGTTATGGAGGCAGAGACTCACTGTCAGACTAGCTTCCAGAATCCAGATTATGCCATGTGGTATTTGTCTTAAATTGTGTATCTCCCACATTCTGTAAGAGGCCCTTAGAGGGGGTGAACAATGACTCTGCAAAAATGTACATGGCATAATGTCTGTTCTTTTTGCCGTGAATATTTATGGAATTACAAATCTCCATTACTGATTTAGAAAATCTCTAATTCACTCAAAGCCCAAGTTCTACCCCCCCCCTCTATTATGTCTCTGCTATAGCCTTTGATAAAGATACATGTTTTCTATTTCTTTCATTGATCGATTCAATGTGCACTTCATTTAATGTACCAATTATCTAGTAGTAAAGCCTAATATAGTGTACATAATAAATCAAAAAGAAATCTAGAATAGCAATTAGTCTAACAGTTCCACTTTGGCTATCTTATGTAGTTCAATATGTGCTATATATAGTGATAGACTAGTAATTTTGGGTTATTGCATAGGGGCTTGCGTAATGCAAACATACCATCAATAACTTAGTTAAGAATGAAATACTTCACAATGTTGAGATATGACGAGGGTATACCTGTTTCAGGGGCATGTGGATTTTATCTACATTTTAAGTTATCCAAATATATTAAATGTATAACAAAAAGAACCCAAACCGGTTACTGGAGGTGAATGTTATCAAAGCATATTAAATGAAAAGGATATAATCATGATGTGTGACGTAGGCATAAACTCTTCGCCTGACTGCTAACCCCATTCCACTCAGTAAAGATAAATTGGGAATGGGGGGGGGGGGGAGACGTACCCTTCTTGATGCAATACAAATCTGCTAAATCAGTATAGGGCTACCTGTATTTATTTTTAACAAACTTTGATTCAGAGGATTGGGCAGTTGTATATCAATGCTCTATAAATGGACTTGCTAGCTTAAAATATAAATTGTGTCAATGAAGGCTTGACATGTGTTCAAAGTTTAAGAACCCAAAGTTGCAAAAATGTTAACTCAGAGTCTACTATGACCTTGTAGTATTTGAGACTGGCTGATAACCATGTTACCTGAAGGACATTTAGTACAGATCTAAGACAGCGTTTTAATAAATCAAGATGATAGAATTGTCACTATCCTTTTCAATAGTCAGGTTTTGCTTCTTAAATGAAAAGTTGCATCTATAACAGGGGTAATCCTGGAAATCAAGAGGGGGAGGTCGGGAGGGGAATAAAGAAAAGTTAGGTTCAATTTAAAAAATAATTCCCAGTTATGTCAATCTGTTAACTAAATACCCCTGTGGGAAGTAAGATAATGCCATGTACTTGTAAAAACAACTTGACACTGGTCAAATGCCTGGGCATGATAACAATGCAATCGGACTCGTGGACAAATCGTTGCATCCCCAGCGATGCTTTGTGTCTGTTTGACTTCACTTTTTTGAATAGTCTGCAAACATTTGCACAGAGTGTTTTGAAGGTGTATGGACAAAATCTGACAAAGTATGGATGGGTAAATCTTTTTAAATTTACCTCCCTTTGCACTCCAATTCCTCTCCATGACAACCAATAGGAAATTAAGATGAAGTGTGGGAGGAGGGGGGGGGGGGCTTCAGTCACTAAATGTTACATGAATATCTCTACACAATTCACACACTACTACATATAAAAATCTTAAGTTTGTATTATTTGCATATACAACTTCACTTTGTTTGAACAGTGATAACTATTGTGAAATTACACTGATATAAATCATATTTTATATTGCAAAATATTTATCTGTTATTCAAGACATAAGTTGTCAGCTGCAATAAACACTTTTAGATTAACAATAAATGAAAACTATAATAATGTTTATTGCTGAAATACTTGAGTAAAATTGTTTGTTCTGAGTATGTGTTTTTTGTGGATGGAATTTGGTGGTTGATGTTCGGCAGTTGGTGTTCGGCAGTTGTTGATCAGTGGTTGACGCATCTGTAATGAATGGCATGTGGTGACATTTTGCATGTTAATGCCTAGGCCTTGTTATTAACTCAGAAGGCAAATTATTTATTTGTTTTTAAGTCAACATGAAAAGTTGAAGAGTGAAATATGATCTGTATTACTCCAAGGTAATCTGGTCTTACCTGGAAGTACATAGGGCAATATGAAGTGTTAATGGAAATACAAGATTAAGATATATGTGCCCTTAGTATAAGACATAGTAGTATTCTGTTTACTATTGCTTAAAGTGAAATGAAAAGATATAAGGAACAGTTCCAGGGCTAAGGTAAAATACCAAAATTAGAAAAACAAAATACAGTAAAAGCAAAAGCAAGTCCAATCACCTAAACATTGCATGGGGGTATAGCCCAGCTTTCAGTCAGGGGGGGTGTGATCGCCCAAATTTTTTTTGATTTTCAGTCCGGGGGGATGCGATCATTGCATAAGCGAGCAAAAAAAATTGGTTGTTCGCACCCATTGCACCCATTCGATTGAATTTACTACTGGTCTTACAAATGCTTTAGAATCATGCTGACTGAATTCCAGAACACCTTGTCCATTATTTCCTTGTCTGATATCAAGGTATTTTGTAAACATCTCTAAATGCGAGTGGACACCATTGCCAACACTGATAACTTTAGAGATGTTTAACTTATCAAAACCTGGCACATTATATTATTGACCTGATATTGTTTTGCAATAATGTACCTATATTCTGAGGCTGTTGCTACATAAGTCTGAACTAAGTGGGCTTTTATAATCTATTGCGTAATGATTTATGTAACATTACAGGGTATGAAAGTCAGATAAGGTCACTTGCTAGACTGCTTTTATAACTGAGCAAATCCCTTGCAAATGTATTATTTAGATCCAATAAAGGAACATAATGTAGTTTTGCATCAGTTTCTGGTTTTTATGGCACCCCCATAAGTGGCAACATATTGTTAAAGTATTTTTGACCGTGGTCCACAGTTGGTGTTTGGTGTTCAGTGGTTGCTGTTTGGTGTTCGATATCTGGGACAAATGGCAGGTGGTGATATTTTGCATGTTAATGCCTTGTATTTCTTTACTGTCTATAGTATCCTCAATGCAAGTATGAGGGAGAGAGTAGAACTGAAGGGGGTTGGAGGGATGGGGTAGGGGGCATAGTGCAATATTAATCAAAAGTATAATTTAAATTAAAAAGTACAATTTAAAAAAGTACAATATTCCCAGCAATGAATATGTTACATTTTGGCATAAATCTATTTGAATTTTCATAACTTTTGTCTCTATCAGATATACACATGGTTGCACCAGAGCTTTAGCAATTAATGACGTGTTTTTGTATTTTGATTATAAATCATATTGATTGCTAGGTTAGTGCTAGAGAATGGCATGTTTTCAATGTATGGGTAATACCATATACATAATTCACAGTTAGTGCCAAGATGGGTAAGCACACCTAGAAGAGAACAGAGAATTATTGAAGAAGTTTCTGCATTCAGAACATAGTCCAGTGAGACCTTGGAATTCTATCCCTCTACCTGTAAATAAGGGATATTGAACTGGTCATATGGTTTCTCAAAACCTGAGTTGAAATCTGAATGAATGGAATAAATTCTTGTATTCTATGTAGGAAAACATACAGTGAGGGTATTCCCTTATCGCCTTTGATCAATTTTCTTCTTTTACCTGTAGTTTTTCATGTTTTCCATGAAAATTGCTCAAAAACTTAGTCCCATGTTATGTTACTTTATTTACAGGCAGTATGGGTCTCATCTGCTTCCATACATCATACAAGATCAGTTCTGGCCCTTTTGTAAAATGTCATGGTTCCCATGCTCTAACATGAAAAATAGAGTGAAATGAATGAAACCAGCAAGGAATTGAGAAAATTGACATGTGTACAATTTGGAATTAAAAAAATAGATATACATGTATATTGTTATTAAGAAAGGGGGTTAAAATCACTTGATCAAAATATTATTTGAGCATAGATGTCTAACATTTGACTATGATTGACAGAGGAACTAATGTACATTTGAAAAATGAATACCAAATGTATTCATTAGTCCATCATCACTGGTAATAACAGGTCATTAACTTTAACAGGATTTTTGGAGTCATTTCTGATTTTAAGTAAAGTGAAAATGATTTTAGTATTTGAATAATAAATATAGTGAGGAATTTTTTAGGCTCCCTGTTATTCGCAACCAGGTTGTGACATTTTGTCACAAAAACCTTGTCTTCTTTTTCTGTAAATTGAAGTATTTGTATGTTATGATTCATGTTCAATATGCTTTATTTTGAATAAATGCAATGCCTCATTGTTATTGTTATTGTCATGCCCATCGCATAAAATGAGTTTCCCTATATTTCCAGGTCAGCTCCATGGAGCTCGTACAGGAGATCCACCAGGTGCTCATGGACAGAGAAGACACATGCCACAGGACTTGTTTCTCATTACAAGTCGATGGCGTCACAATGGACAACTTTGCTGAATTGAAGAGCATTGAAAACCTCAATGAAAAGTCACTTATAAAAGTTATAGAAGGTGAGTTGTAATTTTCTAAGCCATTTGATATATTTAAAGGAATAACATAAATGATATTGAAAATTGCATCCAAAACTGGTTGACAATCATCAATATACCATTGCATTCAGACTTGATGAAGGGAGGCGGGTATCATAATGTTGGTTCACATAAAGATCAATGAAGAATGAAATTCTAGCCAAGGGCACCGAATCATTAATGTCTCTGGCCTTTGTCACCATGCATAACTGTTGACATTTGGTATTTGATATCTGTACCATATTGTTACAATCCCAACAATTTACACTTACACCAGGTGGTTACACATTATCTTATTAATGCCTTTGATCCATTACCTTATTTTCTAGAGCCTTACACAGTCAGAGAGGCCAGGATACATGTAAGACATTTACGTGACCTGCTTAAGTCAGTGGACAACGCAGACTCTTACAATGGAGTTGACTGCAATTCTCTCTCATTTCTTAATGTTGTATATTTTGACTTTATTTTCTAGAGCCTTACACAGTCAGAGAGGCCAGAATACATGTAAGACATTTACGTGACCTGCTTAAGTCAGTGGATAACGCAGACTCTTACAATGGAGTTGACTGCAATTCTCTCTCATTTCTTAATGTTGTCACAGATGGAGATATTCTAGGTAAGAGGAATGTTTCCAATGTAATACTACATACAGGCCCATTTAATAGGCATTTGTGGATACTTGAATTAACACTTCTCATTCTCAATTTTGAAAATACATGTATAATTCTGATTTTCTTATCTTTTTTTAAAACAGTTTCTGAATACATGTAAAAAAGATTATTTCTCGAATTCAAATTTAGAAATACCATATCTTGATTTTCCAAGATAAAGATCTGAGAGTTATTAAATGGGAGGGTTTGGATAAAGGGTATATCCTGAAGGAAATCCAATATGTCTATATTCCTGCATGTAATTCACCTATAACATATATATTTGCTTTTTCACATGTTACAGATAAGAAAAAGGCGAAGCCAGATTCCATGGACTGTACGCCACCAGATTACATTATGCCCGGCAGTAAAGAGCGCCCTCTATTACCATTACACCCTACCATCAAAGATGGCAAGGTCAGTAGCAAGAAACATTTAATGGTTATTCTTATGCATATAATGATGGTTGAAAAAATTGATCATCAAAATAGCTAGAAAAATTTAATGAAATTACCATAAATAAAAGAATGTGTTATACAATATTATTAAATTGATTTTTCAAGTAAAATATTTACTGTTTCCAACACGGAAATTAATTAGGGATTAATTTGAACATCAGATCAGCTCTGTTGTTCATTTTCAATGCAATTTCCTTTGAGCTAAAGATGCTGGTTTGTAAATTAATAATTCTTTTACAACACCCTAGGTCCCAGCATGCCTTAAAGTATTGACATACAGTGGATGGAATCCCCCACCAGGCAACAGGAGAATGCATGGTATGTAGTTCCTGATTGATCAGTTTAATTTACCTCTCAGCTTTGATTAGTAAGGGAATTATAATTTTAAACTATACCCTTTCGATTTCATTTCAAAATATCATGTAACTTTTTATTAAAATGAAGTCTTCAGAAAAGCTTTTAAAGACTTTTACTCTATTTTCTATTTTTATTTGTGCATTGTTTCACCACTGTGGTGACATATTGGTAAAGTCTCCAACTTTTTTGAACAGTGTTCGAAAGTTTCTGTTTGGCAGTTGATGCTTGGCAGTCAACAAATATAACAAATGGCAGGTTAATGTCTTGTTATTAATTGAAATAAAACACTCTTCCAGGTGATCTTTTATACCTCAACATAGTTACATTAGAAGACAAACGCTATTACATCACAAGCTCAACAAGAGGCTTCTATGTCAACCTGTAAGTTGGATTCATTTTTTGTAATCATTTATCTCATAATAATAGATACACTGATTCAAATAATAAAGTTTAAAGATGTAACAGGACACTTGGTCATGAATTCATACAATTTTGCACCTGTGTTCAAAGCTGTAGCTAGTGGCACTTTAAGAGTAGACTTACAAAACACATAACCTGTCTATTACAATATTATAATGATCATGGCAAAATCCATTTGGAGAAACCCACATAGGGCAATATTCGAAAAAGAGAAACACAGACCTTATGTGCCACATTTTAATTTTTATCACACTGCAGCGATCTCCCGAGCATTAAAGCAAGTGGGCACAGCACCCCCCTGACATTTTAAAAACAGACTTGCACCCACCTGAAAATCCAATTGCACCAACTTGAAAATGAGAAAAATCATGAAAAATTCTCACTTGTTGCATATCTTGACCAATTTTTGTATGAATTGTGAAAATGAAAATTTTGCACCCACATGAGAAAAAATTCTGTGGAGAACATTGCTTTGAAAAGTGCTATATTGTCATCATTTTGTGCTGCTGGTTGTGTGCTTACATCTGGGTGGGGGGGGGGGGGGTGACATAGATCTTAATTCAAGGAAAAATGTTTATCCATTTAATAGTTTTAAAGATCCAAGGGAATAATTCAAAGACTTCACAGTGCAATAATTTCCACTCTGTGTCTTGTTTTTTCCCTCCATATAACCTCCATTATAGTACATTATATATATTTGTTGTATTTACTTTTCTTGATAGGTCAACAGAAGATGAATTCAACCCCAAGGCAGCCCCTCAGAAATACCTCTCTCACTCTCTCATAGACTTACTCAACCAGGTATGTGTTCTTATAGATAAAACACAAAGGGCAACAATTGAAAAAAATTACAAAATAAAACCCAATTTACAAAATAAGGCCCAATGTAATGTAACATCCAAGATCAATTTAAATATGTAAATAAAACCAGATCAATGATTAAATAGTTAAAATAATTGATTTTCAGGTTAGTCCAGGTTTTAAGAAGAACTTTGCAGTCCTACTGAAGAAAAGATCACAGAAAAATCCCTTTGAGCGTGTGCCCACCCCATATCAGGTGTACAGCTGGATGTCGCCTCATATGGACCACCCTGTAGATGCTATCAGGGCAGAAGATGGTGAGTTTATATATATAACTTTTATTGACATCTTGTATCATAACATGATTACATTAGTCATAACTATGAAAAAACTAAATATCTAAACTACAAATACTAACTAAGGCAAAAGTACAAAAATATATACGAGATATACAAAAAAAAAACAAAATAAAGGTAGTATACATCATGATGAAAGGACAAGGTTACATTTAAAGTGTGGTGCACATACCCTGCATTCTGACTACAAATTCTTAAATGAATGATAAATGAATTTTCCAATGTGTCTTTGTAATGTTAAGTTTTTACTTGAAATGAGATTGACAAATAAATTTTCACTATTGAGGTCAAAGTTACTTAGAATTTCACGAGCCTTAGTGTACAATAATTGTCTATGCTCATCATTCTTTGTACAAGTTAAAAGGAAATGACATTCATCCTCTATTTGTTTACAGGTATTGCATAATCTTTCCTCTCTAGGTTTTGGTTTTGGCTTTGCATGTCTTCCAGTCTCAATCGCCAATCGATGAGAACTCATTTAAAGAACATACTTTAATTTGCATGTTACTGAACCCTTTCTGGTATTTTAAGAACATTTGTCTACAACATGCAATTAAGATCATCGTAGATTCTGCAAACACTCAAATTATAAGCCATAATCCCAAAAGTATGGTGCAGTATAATCCAAAACCAGATAATTTTTCAAACTTTTGGGAAATTATTTGCTCAAGTTAACTGACCAAGACTTGATATAAATTGAAAGATGGCTATTACAATTCACCATGTTGAAATTCAGTTCCTAATCGTTTCCATTGTTTTTCAGCATTTTCCTCCAGACTTGGCTATGAGGAACACATACCTGGACAGACCAGAGACTGGAACGAAGAAATACAGACCACCAAAGAACTACCACGTAAAACCCTCCCAGAACGCCTTATTAGAGAGCGAGCTATATTCAAGGTAAGTTCAAGAACCCCTATTGTTGTTTTAGCTTGTAAGGGAGACACTATTTTTTTGAACTACCACGTAAAACCCTCCCAGAATGCCTCATTAGAGAGCGAGCTATATTCAAGGTATGTTCTATCAAGAAACCCTGTTGTTTTAGCTTTTCAGTGAGTCAATATTTTATGTTGTATTATTTATAGTAAAATCAGGAGGTCTTTAACAAAAACGTCGTAAAGTTACGAATTTGTAAATCAATTGTTGTAACCATGGATATAATGAGGTCATTATGGACTTTACAAATTCCTAACTTTTTATGATGGCCACCTGTATAAATGGAACACTTTTGGTACAACAAAATAGTATTCCACTTGGGAGGTGTCCCACTTATTTACAGAGATTACATCAAGTTAATAGATTTGGGATTTTGTCATTCTTTTCAGGTTCACAGTGATTTTGTAGTAGCTGCAACTAGGGGAGCAACTGCAGTAATTGATGGGAACATTATGGCAATAAACCCAGGAGAAGATTCAAAGTAAGTCTATACTTCTCAAGTTTGAAACCTTCAGAATGGTTTTATCTCATCACTACAAATGGTGACATATTGTTGTAGTTTTCAACTTTTTTATGGACCATGTTCAGCTGTCTGTGTCTGGCAATAGTTATCTGTAACAAAATCTGATAGAATGGCCCCCTTCCCTGTTCATTTGATTCGCTAGCTCCGTTCCCCTGCCCTGTTGAGTTCTCCTGCTTTCTAGATGCTAAATTGAAATAAAATCAAAATAAAATCTGAACTTTAGAGTCTAGCCAATGAAGATACTGTGACGGGCGGACTGAAGCCAATGTACAAAGGCAATTTTCATGTAGACCGTCATTTCTGAGGTTATTCTTTTCTAAAGATTCTTTTACCTATGAACATAATGAATTGTCTACAGAGTTTAAAAATATTGATTAAAATGAAATCAGTAGAAAACTGGCATTCATATTTTAATTTCTTTATCTATTTTGTATGTTTTTTGTATGTTTCTGTGTTACAATCTCAGAGACTTGAGTGCACAAATATACATTTTCCTTATCTCTTGATGTTATGCAGTCAATGGCTTTCAGTTCTATTCAAAATCAGAATCACATTTTTGTTTTCATCTTTGCTTCCATTGGTTACTTACCCAACAAGCAACCTTGTCTTCATGTTTGTTCTGAATTATCTGAGCAACATTGTTTTCATGAATATGATTCATGTGTTTCAGAATGCAGATGTTCATTTGGAATGGCATATTCTTCAGTCTTGGATTTGATGTGAAAGATCATTATAAAGAATTTGGTGGCGATTATGCTGCATATGCTGCACCGGTAAATGCATTTTAGCTAAACTCCTCCCTAAATCTATACTATTACCAAGTTTTACGACCCCAAACCTACCCTAATCAACCTAGCCTTAAAATGGAAAATCATCTGATATGTAATGCAACGAATCTGAGAGAGAGTTGGCAAAATGTCCATTGACTTTTTGCACTGTTGTCTAAAAAAAACTAATGGCTTTTCTGAATTAATGTAGCCTTGAAATGATCAGTTAACCAGCCATTAGCTCAAGCAACGAGTATTGATAACCTCAATTATGTACATAAATCGCAATTCTGATTTGTTGTGTTTGTTTTGCAGGCCAGTGATCTCCAAGGTGTCAAAGCCTATTGGCAACTAGATCTGGAGGGACTTTACACACTTGGTACAGTTGTAGTTGACTACAGAGGCTACAGGGTCACTGCACAGTCTATCATACCAGGTATGTCAATGTAGTAGACTGACTAGAGCAGAATCAGTGTAATTTAAAGAAAGAATTTTGTAATTACTCTTGAATGAAGATATTTCAGAATTCTTGGTGTGTTTCTCTCTTAATAACTCCCCATGGGCAATAATTTGAAGGCACTTTTTGAAATATCATGAGAAAATCCACCATGATTGGTAGATCACTCTGTCTAGTTTCTGTTCTAAACCTGGTTGATTTTAAGCTGAAGAAGCATACTTTTATTTGTTGCTTAATATCATATCACACAATGAAAGTCGTGATAACTTAAAGGCCTAGTTATCCCATCGAACGAAGTTCGGAGGGATATAGGGAACGCCTCAGTCCGTCCATACGTACGTACGTCCGTCCGTCCGGACCCTGAAGAAAGATAAGTAACATCGCAATCAAATCAAGACAATGAATGAAGAAACCAATGCAGCAACAACAAATGACGTCCATCTGTCCGTCCGTCCGTCCGGGTAATAACTCAAATACCGTTGGCCCGATTTTGTTCATATTTTGTACACATATACCCTATGGGGGTAGAAGTTCTGCTCGAAAGGCGATTTTCAAAATGGCCGCTCATCTAAAAATGGCGGCCATTTTAGTGCCGATTTTACAGTAATTTAGGTGCAATATGTAAATCTGTAATAGCAATATGTTTTATATGTAAAAAATTATATAGGACATTGATAAAGCTAGAAATGTAGATATTAAAGAAGCACATGGCAGCCATCTTGAAAAATGGCGGCCTTTACTCGTTATTTTATACGATTTTTGCTATAACTCAAGAAGTAGTGGAGCGATTTTGTTCATATTTTGTATGTGAATTCCATAAGCATGGCTCACTGTCTAATGACACTTTTGGAAGGAGGCGGCCATTTTAAATGGCCGCCATTTTGAAAAATGGCCGTCATTTTGACATATTTAACTATAACTCAAAAAGTAGTGGAGCGATTTCGTTCATATTTGGTTTGTGAATACTATAAGCATGGCACACTGTCTAATGATACTTTTGGTAGAAGGCGGCCATTTTTCAAAATGGCCGTCATTTTAACATATTTTAATTACTATAACTCGAAAAGTAGTGGAGCGATTTTGTTCATATTTGGTATGTGAATAATATAAGCATGTCACACTGTCTAATGAAACTTTTGATAGAAGGTGGCCATTTTGAAAAATGGCCGCTATTTTAACATTTTTTACTATAATAGACAGGTTCCAATTTCAGAATATCTCAAGGGAAAGGGTTTTTGAGGCATTTTTTAGAAAAAGCAACAGACCTATTTTTTCTGGATCAGTTTATCATGCTGATAAAGATATTAAAAGATGACAGCTCAACGGGGTGGCAATGACACTGATTTTTAGCGTTTTTACCCCCCTAGGAAATTATTTTAGGGGGTACTATAATATTAGTTCATAACTCAAAGGATATATGAACTATTGTTCTGAGTTCTACAGCATACATTGTTAGTACAGAGATGAACACTATCCTAAAAATTATAGGTTGATATCTTTGTTGGTTTCGGAAAAATACAATTAATTAGAAAAAAATATGCATTTTTTGTCATTTTTTTCTTGCTTATTTTATATTTGTAGCTTCAAGCAAAATATGATAACTTTAATATGACTTTATAGTGCCCTACCCCTGGTAAATAGAAGAAAGTTGGTGTGGTTTTTCTGGATTTAACATTTTATTGACTTCTTAGTTGAAGATATAATCAATTTTGTCAGTTTACCATGAGTTAACCATGCTTTACAATTGTTAACTATTCACATGAATAGAGGGTTGGGACCTCAAAAACACCAGAACTGTTAAGTGGCATCCTTGGGAAACCATCTTCAGAGGTTTTTCCTTACACTCCGATAAAATCTGCAGGGGATACTATAAGAAACCTATATATCTTAGATACTAATGAAGATACTGACTTCAAATTTTCAGGATTTGGTCCTGGTATGATAGGCAATCTGTATGACAAAAATGACAAAAAGACAAACTCTGTTGCCAAAGTAACAAGAATACCACATTATTTGTTTACTAAGAAATGTGTTAGGAGGTTTTGTCATTCTCTTCATATTTTTAATTCAAAATATGTCTACAATGTGGGACGATTAAAATTATGGTAAAATAATCTTTTCTATTGTTCATGCAATGTTTCTAAAACAAAAGTTGCTATGGCGACACAGATCATACAAAAAATCCTGGGATGATCGCTCAATTTGTCAGGAAATTAAAATGGAAACTGAAAAATGAGTTTCTTCCTACTAATAGCAATTTGGTAGACCATGGCTGACACAAGAGAAAACGTTTATCAGTTCTATGTCATTTTGTTGTTATTTCTTTTATTTATTGTGCTCTGGGACTTATAACACCAAATTCCCAACTGCAAAGGAAGGCAAGATTTTAATAATGAACATTCATATATCTCAACAAATATGGCCTAAGATTTAGACAATGAAACCCCCAAATTTTGACCATTGTCAAAAAGTAGCAAACACCATTCATTAAAGTTCAATATGTTTTTTTCACTTCTATGGCATTAAGATATGGTACGATCCCGGGTCAATCAATAAATTTCACAAGTGACACTCTTATGCAGAAAATACTATCGTTTTTAAAGACATGTAAAAAATCTGGTGGAAATAATTTTGTCATTCCTGATTTGACCCTGGAAAGGTTCAGGTAAGTTACCACAAACAATTTCAGACAGTTATATCTTTGATTATGACTACTTTTTCTGACCATGAAGACAGGTATACAGGGATAATAAAGTCAATCTGACTCGGAGATATTTCGCTAGCAATCAACCCATCAATATATTTTTTCAAAGCTGTTGACCTCATTTTCACCAATAAATGCAATCATTTTTTACAATTTTTAATGCATTACTATTCTTTATTTCAATGTATCAAATAGCTCTTGAAAGGAAAACTGAATTCCCCTATGATAAGAGTTCCCCTTGTTATTTCCCAATTGAAAAAAGTCATGCTATCCATTGGTTTCAGTTCATTTTGGCCATCCAAATTCAGTATCTTTTAAGTCCCTGGAGCAATCCACTTTTCCTCTTAGGAAATAGAACATGTCTCAAAGCATATTCTAATTATGCATTCAACAATATAATTAAAGGCTGCATTTTTGGTAAAAATTAGTCAACATTTTTCGTAAAAAGTATGTTGATTTGTCCATTCCCTTTAATATCACTTATAGGTCTGATTAACTTCATTATCATTATATTTACTTTTCTTGAAGATAATGAATAGATCTAAAAGATATGTTCATGGTCAGAAAATATTCATAATTCAAGTTAGAATTGTCTGAAATAGTTTGCGATAACCTACATGCTCCTTTATGTGAATACTATCAAATGCTTTATTCATGACAGTTGAAGTAAACTGGATAATAGAAGTCTCAAGGTATTTAAAGGCAGAATCAGATCTATATAGAGTGAACGAAATTGAAAGCAACATGAACAGTTGACCTACCAATATATTTCTTACAATCTCAAATATAATATCTCCCAAAAGATCCACAATATGTTATTAATTGGTAATGTTGTTTGAAATTCAAAGTGTAAAAAGGGGGGAAATGTTCAAATTCTCCCAAATAATAATAAATAAGTTACACTAAGTTATACAAGTGTGAGGCACCATCTGTGGTATCTGTGCCTGGAGTAAATGATGTTGGCACTGTTTGACAATCTTACCACCAATAATAAGAAGCAAGTATTGGCTGCAATGCTTGTACATGGCTCCACTCCTACAGCTGTGAGCAAGAGGCAAAACTGGTCTGATTTTATGCATATTGCAGCTAGGTTGACTACTGGAAAGTCATCTTTGGTTAATAAAGATTCTTAGCTACTTTTCCAACATGTGACTGTGATTCATCATTGCTTAATGAGGACTCTACTATATGGTCAGATGATGAGAACTAACAGTTTTACAGAACTTTTGCCATGTTTTGCACATTGTAAATGACCCTTCTGAATGGGTTGTAAAGGTATATACCAGGAGGTATATATGGCTCAAATGACTTGTGACCTAGTACGTGGGACACTATAGTACATTACTTGTGCATGATGACCACCAAAGTCTAGTTGCTCAAATGAGATCAATTGATGATTATAATGTTCAGACTTTATGTCAATGACAAGACTGTATGCCAACATATCTGTATGTGATTACACTATATTTCATTATGATACATCTACTAAATTGAAAACTTTCATATAAAATATCTTAAGTCCTATATTCTAGTAATAAATGAATTAGAATGTCACCTAACATTTGATGATGGTTTGAATGTATTGATTTGGTGTCTATCAATACATATTTCTAACTTAATGCTGCAAAATGATAAAATTCATCACATCCACATTCTTCAATTTTCAAGGGGTAGGGCACTATAAAGTCATATTAAAATTACAAAATAGTACTTCATAACTAAAATAGATGTATTACAATATCACACATAGCCTGGAAATGTTTTTAGAATACTACTTTGAGCTGTTAAAGCTGTCATATTTTGCTTGAAGCTACAGATATAAAATTGGCAAGGCAAAATTGCGTATCTTTTTACTGTTTATTGTATTTTTTCTTAGATCAATAAGGGTATCAACCTATACCTTTAGGATAGTATTTATATTTGTACTAGCAATGTATGGTGTAGAAATCAGAACAATAGCTCATATATCCTTCGAGTTATGAACTAGTTTCATAGTACCCCTTAGAATATTTTCATAGGGGGGTAAAAATGCCAAAATTCAGTGTCATGGCCATCTCGTTGAGCTGTCATCTTTTAATATCTTTATCAGCATGAAAAACTGATTTAGTAAAAATAGGTCTGTTGCTTTTTCTAAAAAATGCCTCAAAAACTTGAATTATTCAAATTGGAACCTGTCTATAACTCGAGCGGTGGTGGAGCGATTTTGTTCATATTTGGTATGTGAATACTATAAGCATGGTACACTGTCAAATGACACTTTTGGCAGAATGCGGCCATTTTGAAAATTGGCCTTACTCGGCTTTTACTAGTTATTTTACGATTTTTGCTGTAACTTGAAAAGTAGTGGAGCGATTTTGTTCTTATTTAGTATGTGAATACTATAAGCATGGCACACTGTCTAATGACACTTTTGATAGAAGGCGACCATTTTGAAAAATGGCCACCATTTTAAAGTATTTTACTATAACTCGAAAAGTAGTGGAGCGATTTTGTTCATATTTGGTATGTGAATACTATAAAAAAAAGCGTATTTCTACTTCTGATGACAATTAACTTGGCTAGTGAGCAACCATTTGAAAATGGTGGCCTTTCTTATGTGTGTTATTTTATGATATTTGCTATTTATTTCGTTTGTAAAAATGCCAGCCATTTCTGTTCGATGGGATTCGCTACGCTTTGGCGTTGCCGTTGTTCTGGTTCAGTTTGAGCATATCACGTTACAAATCTATCCATGAGGTGTTAACTATTAGTTGTATTTTAGGAATACTGGAGCGAGAACAAGAACAGTCTGTCGTGTACGGGTCTGTAGATTTTGGAAAAACGGTTGTCACCGATGAAAAATACAAAGAACTATTACAGAAGTCTGCAGTTGGCTTGAAAGTCTGCCCACATAAGTGAGTACTCTATTCTGGTGTAAACTGTTGTGTTAGTGTACAGGGAAATATAGATGTCGTATAGATATAGTATAGCCTGAGTTTTTCTTTCCATAAATAAAACCTATATGATGTCAAACCAATTGATTATTGCTAATTATAAAATATTATTGAATGATGTATTGAATTACTTCAGTTACTTATCAGTTGTAAAAGGATTCACAAGATTGGCTCCTTAAAAAGATTGTAAAAAAGTGTCCAATTCTTATTGATCACCCCTGGCATTTGTATTTTCTAGAGTTATCAACAGTAAAGATGAAGAGATTGAGCTCCTGTCGTCTGTTGAATGCAAGGGCATTGTGGGAAATGATAGACGCTACTATATTTTAGATTTATTGAGAACTTTTCCACCTGATGTCAACTTCCTTGATGGTAGGTTTTCAAAAATATACAAACATGTGTTTTATGTAAATCACTCCATTCTGTGGATAGAACTTTCTTCATTAAGAAATTTGCACTAACTCCTAGCTGTGTGGTTTAACATTGTACCACAAGTCAGCATTCAACATGTGCAGAAATAAAAATCTCCTTGTCGCCTCCTCAAGCTAACAGTGCTTATGGGAGTGAATCAAGGTGAAACAAAATAATCCCTGAAAGCCTAAATGGTTTCATTTAAGACCATGTGACCTTAGTATGAGAAAATCTTGAAGTTTGCTTTGAACATTCTTTTATTATCTTCTAATTACAAAACCTCTGTAGGTAACTTCTTCCAAATGAAACACTTCTCAAGAGTTCCTCTTTGACAATCCATCTGTATAACTTGTACATTTTATTCTAGTGTCTCCAGAGGAGGTTGGTGCAGAAGCTAGAAAACAGGGGTTCCCCCACCCTCACAGGCACAAGATGGTCTGTTTAAGACAGGAACTCATAGAAGCTTTTGTTGAGTAAGTTCCACATATTTTTTAAGTGCATGTTTTTCCTTGATTCATGGTGCACTATGAGGTGTCATCATTTATTATGAAGTCTCTACTGTTTATAACTAAAAGGTTTTAATTTATGTATTCATGTTCAATATATTTTTTCATATTATTAATTAAAATGTAGACAATAATATCTTGAGAACATACTTATTCTCAAAATACCAAATAAACCAACCTAATTGATGTGTTTTTTGTACCACCAGGGAGCGCTACCTACAGTTTGTGAAACATGCAGCGTTCCAGTTCCAACAACTACGTCTTCAGAAACAAACAGCAGCAGCTAATGAGGCAGCTGAAAAGGTACGTCCTTATTTTCCAAAATTGGGTAACTCAATCATTTAAGATCTGCATTTTTGGCACACTTTTAGTAAAAGTTATAAGTGGATTGTTGCTGGAGGGTCAAGTGCATTGCATTTCTTTTTTACATTTACTTTGCTAGTAGATTGAGCAGAGAATTGAAAAAAAACATGTCTTCAGAGAATTTTTTTATTAGATAAAGGCTTTCGACTTGTATCCCTAAATCTTTCTCAAGATTTAAAGAAAAAGACTTGGGGATACAAGTCAAAAGCGTTGATCTAATAAAAAAAAGTCTCTGAAGAAATGAATAAAGTTGGTTTAAATATATATAAACCAGAGAGATGAACTTACATAGAAATGTATTACATAACATAAAAAATGTATATTAACTCAGAGATTAAACGCTGGGGCTAATCAGTAGTTCTTTAAGGTTAACACATTCCTTAGATCCACTTCTGGGAGAGCTGGAGGTGTTTCACCTTCAGTTAATCCAGCAACTTTATTGGTTGTACCATCAGAAGTGCTTGAGTCATAAGTGTGTAAGAGCAATATACCTTCACTTGTAGCATTCAGCTTGTGCATTCACACTTCAGTGACGATTGTTGTACAAGCATAGCTGCTCGTGTGGACATATCATCCGGGATGTTTCTCTTAAGGGCGATGTATATTCAAAATATTTTAATCACTGTTGTGAGCAATATATTATATTCACATATTTCTTCCATTACATAGAGTAAAGCCTGTACATCATAACACTTAAATAAGAACACCTTTGTATGTGGAACACTACATATAGTTCCAGGGCTCATTGACTCTATGTTAATCTTTCCTCTGTAAGTGGAACACCTTAATGGAGCACTTCAGAGCTGAACCAAGGGTGTTCCACCTACACAGGTTTACTGTATGTACATGCTCAAATTTGTGTATGTGTGTGGTTCCCAGGGTCGTAAAAAGACCTAAAAAATGCAGTGAAATGATTATGTAAATTGTATTTCAGTCCCAGTCTAAAGAGACCACCCCTGAAACACTAGTCAATGGCACAGAGTCAAATGAGACCAAACCAATCAAAACAGAGGAAACAAAACCAGCAACCACTGAGGAGAAATCTAATTTAAATGAAACACAAAGCGGAACGAACAAAAATGAAACCTCAACAGAGAAGACTGATGCTCTTCCAACTGATGAGGCCAAGAAAATAGTCGAATCTTTAGCTGGATCAGGTAGGTGCAGCTTTAGCATGTTAACATGCATGTTAACTATCCATATGATTCTTTGTAGGAAAAAAACAATTAATGAGAAGACCAAAGGACAATATTGTGAAAAAACAATAATGGTTCTGAGTTTGATGAAAATAACTATAGAAATTGCCTGCCTAATGAAGCATGAACCCCTGAGAACTTGTATATTCCAAAAATGGGATATATGCACACAGTGAAACAAATCAAATTAATTAAGAAGGAAAAAAATATGTTTGGTGAATACTTTGTTATCAGTAATGTGTAACAACAAAAATTAAGTTGACATATCATCCTGTGTTTTAGGAGAGGCCAGAGAGATTGTAACAAAGGCAGCTAAGTTTGTAGGCTCACTGAGTGACACTGAGTTTGTTCTCACCTTCAACCCTGACCTCCACCAGCCATACGTCAAGCATGTTGACCCTGAGGTAGATATTCACTTAAATGTATTTTTTCAAGGAAACATACACCCATATACACTGTATTATAGGATTGTGTCAAAAGTCTTGCCATAACTTGAAAGGCAGATAATGGTTTACTATGTTTAATAGTACAATAACGTCATTTCAAAGGGCAATATAGTGAAATATTTTACTATTTTGCCCGCAGAAATGACGTTATTATTACTATTATTACCACCGTTAATGACCAGGGCTGAAATAGCAAATTTAAAATAGAAAATCTTACGCACTGAACGATATCACTTTTCCCAGGAAACATAGCCGGGCGGATAATGTCATTATTGCCCGACTAAAGTCATTAACGCCCGACACAATATTGCTCACGTCAATATAGCAATTTAAATGCCTTCTCAACTAGTACTAAAACCCCTAGAACAGGCCCTGCAAGGTGGTAATAATAAGTTTTATAAAGAGGGAGGCAACTGGAATCTGAGCTTTTGTTAAATTACATGAAGTTTTAAAAAATTGATCATTTGACCTCTTTAATCATTGACTCTTGTAAAAGCATAGAGCAAATCTACATGGTCTGAGGTGCACCTTGTAACTGGTCATAAAAGAACAGATTTGATATGATCAAATTGCATAGCGCCAACTTAGTGGGATTTTGTTTTCACATACATCCTTTTGGCACTGAGCATACGAAATGTAAACACTTATTATGAAAAACATACAAATTGTATTGTCATTGTACCATATTCAGTTGATTCTTCTATGTTACAGAGTGAACAGTTTGAACGTCAGAAGAAACTTGTCCGAGATGCAGCAGAATTTGTATTAACCAATCAAATTCCTTCATTTATCCGTGATTGTTTGGAACATACTTCATCACCCATAGATGGCTATACACTCTCAGAGTCACTACATCATAGGTATAAAGCAATATGTAATAAGAAGTTTCAGTAAAAGCTCTTCATCCAGACACCTCTAATTTGAACATCTCTCAATGTTTTCAATGTTTCAACTAGCTCCATTTTTTATATCTGCCATATTCTTAGATGTTAAGATGAAATGTGAACATGCGCCAATCCAAATACTTTTGGCCGTTTCCAGTGTTCATTAGCGTCAGGGTTTTACTGTATGAAAAATATTTTAAATTACAAATGTACCTTCTTAAATGCTGTCCCTGAATAAGTCTTAATTGTACAATATGAACAGTTCTGCTTTGAAATATAATTGAATTTTATTTTCAGTGGCATCAATATTCGTTACCTAGGCAAAGTAACAGAAATGCTGGCTAAATATCCTGACCTTTCATATGTATATGTAAGTTGCTATCCTTATTTTATACTTATATGGGGATATTGAATGAGTACAATCGTTACATGTCTTGCACTAACTCCTAGCTGTGTGGTTTAACATTGTACCACAAGTCGGCATTCAACATGTGCAGAAATAAATATCTCCTTGTCGCCTCCTCAAGCTAACAGTGCTTATGGGAGTGAATCAAGGGGAAACAAATCTCAAAAATGTAAACTGTGTATGCATTCATACAATCATTATCAAATAAAATCTTTTTCAATGTACACAAATAGTTCACAGGGTGTTTTATTTTGGAGCAACTTGAACCTTTAAAGAAGTTCCTAATTTTGGAACATGACTTAGTATGGAGGACTCCATGTAATCTGTTTGAAATCAGTAATCATATATTACATGGCTCTCTTTCCAGAGCATAGCTGTTATGGAGATGGTATGTCGGGCCACCAAGCATCTATTCCAGCCATACATGCATGGTGTTGAGATGATGAGTGTGTCTAGTGCAGTCAGTCACTTTCTCAACTGTTTGCTAGGGTCATGCCCCACCCCCCATGCCCAGGTGGCGGCTGATGAGCTTCAGAGTCGTACCTCACGTAAGAAGAACAAAAAGAAGCAGAAATACACACAGTCTAGTGGTGAGTATTGTATTGAGCTGTGTGGAATTTGCCAAGCAAACTTTTCTAGTTTAATTCTATTTCAATACCACTCTGCTCAAGATTTACAGATATATGAGGTTATGCTATTATTACATCATCACGTGGAGACATTTTTGTATTGAAGCCACGCCTTGTCATTCACTTTGTTAAATATTTACGGTTAAAGTGTCCTTAGTTAGTTTTGTAAAATATATATCAAAACTTAGCTGTAATTTTGGTTTGGTAAAATATACTCTTTTAGTACATGTATACTTATTGTCATCTAAATGTATTTTCCAGATGGCACAGAGTGGCTACAAGAAACTCCTAAATCTCTATGGAAGAAAATCGCACAAGAAGTTTATGAATATTATGACTACAAAGTTGACAGGTGAGTAGAAATGGTATATGCTTTGCAGTGATCTCCCCAGCATTAAAGCAAGTGGCCGCACACCCACTCGAGATTTTAAAAACAAGCCTGCATTCACCTGAAAATATGTTTGCACCCACTTGAAAACGAGAAAAATCATGAAAATTAGCCAAATTTTGACCAAAATTGGTTTAAATTGTAAGATTCAGAATTTTGCACACACTTTGTACTTTGTACATTCTTTCACCTATTTTCTTGTTAAGACAAATATTGAGATGGAATAATCTTTTTATTTGCACTAACTCCTAGCTGTGTGGTTTAACATTGTACCACAAGTCAGCATTCAACATGTGCAGAAATAAATATCTCCTTGTCGCCTCCTCAAGCTGAAAGTGCTTATGGGAGTGAATCAAGAAGAAACAAAATTTTGAAATCATTGAACCATATGTAGTCATGCAACCATTATCAACTTTGCTGATAAAAATGTGTTACTTAGGTCGTTAAAGTATTTCTTTCATTGTTTTCAGTGATTCAGTGGATACTCTTATAGAGAAGTACAATCTGCAGAAAGTGTCCATCCTTCGCGCATGCTGCCATAAGCTTGGTATACAGATTGTTCTGAGGGACTACCACTTTGATAGCAAGAACAAACAGCCCTTCAATGATGAGGATATCATTAATATATTCCCTGTTGTAAAGAATCTTCATCCAAGGGTAAGTAAATTATTTGCCACAGTAATAAATAATTGATTCTGAGTGGGATGATTTTTGAACCAGTGTTCACAAGGAAATCATCTCAGAATGTAAGCCTGCATTTTAAAACTCCCAACGAATCAGTCAGATTTTTCGGTAGCACATTTACTTAAAATATCATGCAAAATAAATTGGATTTATCTATCTTTTTTCTTATTTGCACTTAACTCCTAGCTGTATGGTTTAACATTGTACCACAAGTCAGCATTCAACATGTGCAGAAATAAAAATCTCCTTGTCGCCTCCTCAAGCTAACAGTGCTTATGGGAGTGAATCAAGGCGAAACAAAAACTTCATAAAATGCAAACCTTCTGTTTGTATTTTTTTGTACCAAGTGTTATGATTTCTCAATGATGATTTTTGCCAATAACGATAACTGGGACCCCTTGAATCTTCATTTTTATGTCACCACTAGAAGACATATTGTTATTGTTTGTAACAACTGGCAGGTTTTGACATTTTGCATGTCAATGCCTTGCTTTCAATATGATTAAATTGTTTTATTTCAGGCCAGTGACGCTTACTCATTTTTCCAAACGGGTCAGCAGAAAATCCAACAAGGATTGCTCAGGGAGGGTTATGACTTGATCTCTGAGGCTTTGAATCTGCTGAACAATGTCTACGGCCCAATCCATCCAGAGATTGCAGCGTGCTGCCGCCTATTGGCTAGGTTGAATTACATCATGGGAGACTATCCAGAGGTATGATTGGTCGATTTGTAATAGTATACAGTAAAACTTGTGTAATGTGAACTGTAGTGCAAATCTCAATAGAAATTTTTTTTTGAAAAATGAAAATTTTGTCCATTGAGGTCTTTGAACTTAAGCTGATATTGATAGTGTTCCTGATAGACAAGTTTACTTCTAGAATATGCTTATGTATAATGAATGATAATTTGTATGCTGAAATGAAAATAACAAAAATAAGTGGCAAATAAATTTCGTAATTTTGAGCATATAGAGTCTAGCCAATGAAGATACTGTGACGGGCGGACTGAAGCCAATGTACAAAGGCAATTTTCATGTAGACCGTCATTTCTGAGGTTAAACAATTTTGAAGTGAATACGAGGCACAGATTTATAAATCAAGACTAATTCTCCTTTAGTCTGAATACAGTAAAGTCTCTATATACGAACACCTCTGTAATCCATACTCCTCTTATTAGGAACGCTTTCTCTCAGTCCCAATAAGAAACATTGAAATGTGAACATCTGCTTTTCTGAACAATTGGCCAGTCATGGTAACATTGAGATAGACAGCTTTTACAGTACATGTACTCATTTTGTCACAGTCCATGGACATACATGTATTCACAAATATTTTAGATAATCGAGTTAAATTTCTGACATTCATTTCAGGCTTTAGCATACCAACAGAAGGCTGTGTTGATGAGTGAGAGAGTACTAGGGGTGGACCATCCCAACACTATCACAGAATACGCCCATCTGGCACTCTATTCATTCTCAAACACTCGCATCTCTGAGGCCCTACATCTGATGTATAGAGCCCGCTACTTGGCTTTGCTCTGCTTTGGGGAGAACCACCCAGAGGTGGCGCTGTTTGATGTAAGTAGCAAAAAACATTTCAACTACTATTACCATTTAACTCTGATGATCTTAATATTGTAGTATATGAATAGTAGTGGTACAATATTTGCCAGTCACATTCTAAAAGCCAATGAAGAACAAAATCAAGTGAACTTTTTTTTTGTTGAAACTTTGAAAATAAATTCTCAAACTAGCCAATGAAGATACTGTGACGGGCGGACTGAAGCCAATGTACAAAGGCAATTTTCGTGTAGATCGTCATTTCTGAGGTTATATCTTGCAGATTCAGTAGATAATTTTCCACTCTTGATGGATTAAGGAAGTGTGAAGCGAATATGATCACTCAGTCCAAGGGGGACTAGGAAAAGCCACAGTTTAGTTTTCAATGTACAACTTCTATCTCATTTTGTTTTTTCAAAATTTCAGAGCAACATAGGATTGATTCTACATGCAGTCGGAGAATATGAGTTGTCATTACGCTTCCTGGACAAAGCCCTGGAACTGAACACAAAGTAAGCTAAAATCAATCAAGACAGTAGATAAGAAATATTAAATCAGTTCGTTAAAGGAAATTGTAATATTGAAAAATGTAGATTTGTTATGTTGATGGAAATGGCAGCACTTTTAATGTATAATTTTGTTAACACATCAAAAAGAAAATGGGCCATGTGTTGTTAATTAAATTCACATGTCTTTTCATTCATGTGAATGTGCAGCCAATTTTCACATTCCTTACATGTAGCTTCATAGAAAATTCTTGTTCTACCTAATGCTGACTTATGTATCACTGGTTTAGATGAATGCTTGTATAACAGATATGAAATGATTTCCATAGTGTTAAAACATTTGTCTGTGTGTTGTAGATTCTTTGGTGCTAAGAGTCTAAAGGTGGCCATGTCATTCCACCTAGTTGCGAGAGCACACTCATGTAGAGGCGACTTCCGCACAGCTCTCCAGAATGAGAAAGAGGCTTATGCCATCTATAAAACAAAGGTAGGTTATGCAATAATCATTCATTCATTTGAAATGTAGTCCCTTGCAGGCAATCAATAATTGATTCAATTTTATCAACCATTTAATGAACTTTTGTAAAAAGGGTAAGATTTATAGAACCTTAATAGAGAATCAGCTGTTACATATGAAATATTAAAAATGCATTGAATTATTGTTAAAATCAAAAACAACAACTTTCAAATAGGGAAGACTTTTGAAAGGTATGAAATACATCTGTTCTCTTACAATCAGTTTTAGATACAGGTTTATCCCTGATGAAAAAATACAAACATGTATGTCACTTGGGATAAACTCTATATCTAAAACCTTCTAGGGCATAATTTTTTGTTATGCTAAATATATATTTTCAACCTTCTCTGCATTTCAGCTAGGGGAAGAACACGACAGAACCAAGGAGAGTTCAGAATGTCTCAAACATCTCACCCAGCAGGCAGTTGTCTTCCAAAAGAAGATGAATGAAATCTCCAAAGGCGAGAAATCAGTCTCGTTCCCACCTATACAGATTGCCACGCCATCTTTAATGAATGTCCTGGAGACATTGAATGTCATAAACGGCATTGTGTTCTTACATATTAGGTACAGTAGAGATATAAGCGTATGGAATCATATAATGTTAACAGCAGAAAATGAATAATATTTCCCGTTTATTTTTCATTCAAAGTAATTTTTTTCTTGTCGATTTTGAATGGACAGATTTTCCACTTGTTGATATTCAATCATTTTTATCAATTATTTTCGACACCAAAATTTGACACCGAAACAGCGTCGAAAATCAGATTGCATTTTGGGGGTGTAGTGGACGTCATATTCCTTATTTACATTTTATATGTGTTTCATTTTCAGGCCAGAGGATATTGAGAAATTCAAGCTTGATATGTCCCAGCATGCAAAGCAACGCAAGGAAATAGAAAATGGAGAACAAGCCGATCCATCTGATTCAGCGAATAAGCAAAATGGTGACTCATCTTCGAAAGAAAATTCACCAAAAATATCTACACCAAAAGAGAGCTTGTCAAAGGAAAATTCGCCAAAATTGGACACAAAAGTTGGTGACAATAATGCGAATTTGAAAAAAGTTACGACAAGTGACATCACTGATAACTCGACCAATGAGCTTATAACTCAGGTTGAAAAAGACAGCGGACATATAGAAATACAAGCAGGGAGGTAATAATAAATTACACGAAAATTAGGCAATTTAAAACAAAAATAGAGGATATGTTGGTGCTCTGAGTGTTAGACAAAAAGACCAATCAAATGTCTGGATTTTAGGATCATTTCTTACCTTATATGGAATAAAATAAGTGAAATGAACACCATGTGTCCAAAAATGAAGGAAGTTTAGACTTATGACTCACTCTCCATCAAGTTTACCAACTGAATTCGAATTCTCGAAATAAACAGTTATTATAAATTAGGCAATTTGTTAGATTTAAATACAGTGGTGTGTAGATAATGTGTGAAATATGTACATATTGAATTGTTGGTTCGATTGAACCATTACACAGGTAGTCCTGGTTTATGTATCATAGACATAGGTGGCCATAGTTGAATTGTGCATTTACTGGGGTCACTTAATCCTCCTGGTCCATGTAAAGGGACTGCAAGAACAAGTCATTACTAGTATTATCAATAGGACATTACACAGTATTTGCACACAGGGTTTCTTTCTAAATTACATGAATTCATGAGAACTTGCATCGCAGTTGATGCAAACTTGCATCGCAGTTGATGCAAACTTGCATCGCAGTTGATGCAAACTTGCATCGCAGTTGATGCAAACTTGCATCGCAGTTGATGCAAACTTGCATCGCAGTTGATGCAAACTTGCTATATTTGAATTGCATAATAATTATGTGTTCAAAAGAACAATGCTCTTCAGAAACTGAATTATTGCATGTTAATAATTGTCAATCGAGGTCATATTATATTACTAGGCCAGTATTAATCAATGTGATTTAGCTTACAGCAAAATTAATGTGATTTAACTTAACATACAGCAATGTAATTTAACTTACAGCAATATAAAATAAGAGAATTATTGAATGAAATTATCTTGATTCGTTAAGATTGCATGTATGTAGAATATTTGCATGTAGAATATTTACATGTAGAATTTTATATTTGCATGTAGAATATTTACATGTAGAATTTTATATTTGCATGTAGAATATGTACATGTAGAATTTTATATTTGCATGTATATTTCGTTGCACTTCTACCGTTACTTAAAAAGTGTGTGCAGTGAAGATTCAAAATTTGATATTCAATTTTGGGTCTGCTTCTTTCCTCTGCATTATTCATCAACACAGCTCATGTTATTTGTTTTAATCATTAAATAAGATATCATGATTTGTTAATATTATTGCACTTCGTTGACATGCATGACTTGAAATTTCATATCTGAAAATGTTAATATTATTTTCTTGTGGTATCTATTTTCAAGTGTGTAGGTATAAAAAATGTCAACAGAACTAAACAGTTGCACAAATAGACATTTAGGAAATTTTTTTATGATTCATGAAAATCTACTTTAAAACCTCAGAATAATGGCTTATAAAAAATTAAGTTGCATGCTTACTTGGTATTTATTTTTTACTTGAAGGAACATGTTTTCTTTATGTACATTGGCAGTGTTGATTGAATGCTTGCATAGATGGTCAAATTGGGATACTGAAATATTTTTAATTAAAGAACTCAAGCCTTAATACTTTTATTTTTTGGTCTTTGGCAATGCTCGAGCAATCGGTATAAGTATTTCTGTCAGAATTTCAAATATTTTTCAAAATTATCAGTGTCTCATTTCTGATCATGTAGAAAGTGTGATAGTTAGACATTCCAAGTATAGATGGCAGTGTGAAGCCGTTAAGTTGTTGCTTAGCAACCAGATATATCTCCACATAGCAACAGTGTGTTTCACATGGCAACAGTGTGTCTGAGTGAATGTTTACTTTATAATCTTTTGGAAACTTGTTTTCTTTGTCATATACAGTTGTTAAGAGTATTGTATACTGTGATCTACCCAGGGTTTTTCTCAAAAGCTTGCAAAATAGCTATTTTGGTCAAAATATGTCATCATTATGACTTTGTGCAACAAAAAGATTTTCAACAGGGTGGTATGTAATTTTGAATTTTCAGTATTCAACATGGTGCAGGACCTAGTTGCTCAAATACTAGGGGATCACTGTTCGGTGCTTTTGCCAGCAGTGAAGCAAGTGGGCACAGCACCCACCTGAGAATCCTTTTGCACCCACGTGAAAAAGAGAAAAATCATAAAAATTTTGGCACCCACTTGGAGATCATTTCTGTTATATGGTACCTGAATATTGTTTAAGTATTAATACATTTGTACATGTATACATTAGTACATGATGTTATGTAAATATGGTGAGGGGAGAAATTGACAAGTAAAAATGTAAATTGTTTTTACCAGGGGAATCTAATAAATAAATGAATCAAAATTGTACAAAGTGTTATGGTTTGCCAAGTTTCTATGGTAACCATGATATTGAGGCACATGAAGTGCATAGTTCAATGTATTAACACACAGATTTTGTGTGCCGATGTATGTAATGTGTGTATGCTCACCAAGTGTGTAGATTCACTCTCTTGTGTGTAAGTACACAATTTGTTTTTGTGTAAGGATAAGAGGTGATGTTTTTGATGCAATAATGGAGTTGAGAAAGTAAAATGAAGTGCAAAATGTTAGTCAGTAAATGAAAATGTCGTGCCAAATTTTTTTTGTTACCATGGATAGTGGTTAGACCTTCAAACTTTACAATTTTTTAATAACTTAGGTCAAAGACTGATTTATAAACTAAAGATTGTTACACCTACCTGTAAGTATTATTTAATGATAACTTTTAAACCTTTCATAATCCCATGTCTTTTGGTTTTGGTATTGTTAGCTTGAAGGTCCTACCACTATCCAAGATTTAGATGTGATTTAGAAAATAATAATTTAGTGAACTAGATTATTAAATGTATTCGAGTTCAATAATTTTTTACAAATTCTACATTGTACAGTACATTGCAAAAATTCTGTAGACATTGATTGCATGTGGTATTATGAGTAACCAAGCAGTGAAATTCAAAATCAAAATTGAGATTTTATAATGCATAATCTATGTACAAATCCAGATTTCAAAGGTCAGTAATGTATGAACAAGGCAGTCACGTTGATTACAGTGTTCAATAAACCTAGTTGAAAAAATTATCAAAACATAAATCAAGGGTGTGTAATACAGTGTCACACCCAATTGTTTAAGGGTGTGCTTAATACAGTGTCACACCCAATTGTTTAAGGGTGGCATCTCTAGACCAGGGCATGTAGAATGTACAGGTAGGAAGCTGCACATGTGTTTGAAATACATAGTTTGGAGTGTTGGTTTATGAAATTCAATAATAAATGAACAAAAATAAAAACAGAAGTTCTTTTTGTTGTTGGGCCTTGGTTCTATGACAGGTAATCTCAGCCCCTTCCTTGCAAGCTAGTAAACTGTGTGTCGCACATTCTCTTAAAAAACACTGCATTATTCGATCAACTGTGGGGGGGGGGGGGGGGCAGATAAGTAGTACTAGATTGACAGACAAATGCAAAATCACCGAAGGGATCTGCGAACTTGGAAGCATGTCCACTGAGCTTGGTCAAGATATCTAGGGAAGTTGTAATTGTGTCATGGGACTTCATCTTGAGTAACCTTATGAATGACATTTTAAAGTGCATTTAAAATTGTGATGCACAGAAATATTCAAATAATGTAGTAACACGGTCAGACTGTATTGTAATAATATGGGGAACACTGGCAAGGTGAAATACGTGTAGATACGCCGGTTCGAGGTTCAATTAGAATAAACCGAAACCCAAAGATAGGAGTGCCTCGTATACTTTTTTGACCGTATAGAAATACGTGTATGTAAGCAAAGATATAGGGTGACCCAAAATTAAGAGGACTGGCATTTTGTTGTTTCTACACCGACTATGCCCAAATGCTGTTTCATGTATTGCGCCTACAGGTATAAAGTTACAAGCATTTTAGAGGAGGAAATACCACAGAATTCATAATCGAACCTATCAACTGTCTCTAAGAACTAACCTCTAGAGGTTTTTTTATTGAGCCAGGTTCAACTTAAAACAGCAACGACTGCACACATTATAAAATAACGCCATCTATATTTTTACATATTTTACAGGTCCCCGCTGCTTATATATTTTATCATACCACGCGATTAGCGATTCAAGTAATTAGTAAACTTTCTCACGAATGAACCATAGACCCAGGAATATGTATATTAATTGAGTGTCGGAGTTATTCTTAGGGGACTCACACACATTTTTTATACATGTTCCCGGGCCTATGTCATGAACATTTTCTAGCATAAAGTGTACTATCCCCTACTGCAGTCAATTTGTCCGATTAGAAAATCAAAACACAGTCCGTGTTCGTTATTAAACAATGGCAACATCAGTCCTTTTACATTATTTGGACATCCAGGTTGGACAAATTTTCAAATAAAGAGCAAAAATTTAAATGTGGACGTTTGGACACACCCTGTAAAGATCATGTTATCACGTTAGAATGTTAAATGGCTCATTAGCATGATTGAATAATCGGAGACCCAGTAACAGCATATTTGGAACGGATTAATAACGCAGCAACCAATAAGAATCGTCACTGTCTCGACTTGGAATAAATTAATCCTGATTGCCCCCGATATAGTGTAGTAGTCATAGATAATTGTGACTTACATGTATCTTAGAATTTTTATAAGTGCTCTTAACATTTCAAAAGTAACTAGACATGTAAATTGAACAAGTTCAATTTAAGACTCCAGATTTAAAACTTTTTTTAAGCTGAGTCATGCAAAATACTGTAAACTGAGCCATTCAGAATAAACTGAGTCGGCTAGAATATAGACATTTAGACAACTTTTAAGAATGTTATCTTCGACTCAATTGGCTTAACATGGGGATATCATCATATCGACTTTTCGAGACTTCAAACCGCTATAACTATCTAACCAGAAGTTGGATTGAAATTTAGTTTAAAGATTCGGATTCCTGAGAAAATTCTAACCTTAATTCATAACTCATACGTTAAATTTGGGGAACTTTTTATTCGGACCTACATTTCGGACACCATATCTCAAAAGTGGGTCAAAATACTTTCTGACGGCAGAAGGCTAACACTATAAGCACACTTTTCCTACCTGTATACAAAATTTTGAAGCAAATCATTAAAGTGTAATGTCAGAATCGCAAAAATAAGGAAAAAACTATGAATTTGACCTAAATTTTGACCTAGGCATTTTGGTGTCCAAATTTTAAAGCTAGATAGCCTTCGAGGTCCCTTTCTTTTATAGGCTATCAGAATGTTAAGCTGTACTCAGTTTATATCTGGTATTTTACACTTCAAAAAAATCTTTTTTCTCATTGACATAACATGGGGCACCAAATTTAGCGATTTTTGAGCTTTCAAAACGCCATAACTTCCGAACCGTTAGTCGGATTGAATTTTGGTTTGCAGATTCGGATTCTTGGGAAAATTCTTCTCTTAATTCATAGCTCATATGTTAAATTTGGAGAATTTTTTATTTTGACCTACTTTTCGGACACCATATCTCAAAAGTGGGTCAAAATACTTTCTGACGGCAAAAGGCTAACACTATAAGCACACTCTTTGCTACCTGTATACGAAATTTTGAAGTAAATTATTAAAATGTAGTGTCAGAATCGTAAAAATAAGGAAAAACTATGAATTTGACCTAGATTTTGACCCAGGCATTTTGGTGTCCAAATTTTGAAGCTATGTAGCTTTTGAGGTCCCCTTCTTTTATAAGCATTCATTATATGCTAAGCTGTACCCAGTCTATATCTTGTATTTTACACTTCGAAAAAGTCTTTTTTCCCATTGACTTAACATAGGCACCAAATTTAGCGATTTTTGAGCTTTCAAAACGCCATAACTTCCGAACCGGAAGTCTGATTCAAATTTGGTTTGCAGATTCGGATTCCTGAGATCATTCTACACTTATTTCATAACTCACATGTTGAATTTGGAGAATTTTTTGTTCTGACCTACTTTCCGGACGCCATATCTCAAGATCGGTAGGAGTAATCAAAATTCTGATGTCATATCTTTGTTTCGCCTTTTTCAAAGCTACACGATGAAAAAAAGATGAAGGAGTTTCGAAGAATATTGACGAAGATATGATGAAGAATGTTGAAAATGTAAGATTTGACCTAGTTCTTGACCTTTGACCTAGATAAAAATTTGACCTAATTTCCCAGAAAGCCGGATACAGTCTTTAGTTAACCATGTAAGTTGGATTAAGTAAGCTGTTATAGTTAACGAGAAATTTGGTGAGGAGGAAGAAAAAAGAAAAATAATAAAGAAAACAGGCAAAAACAATAGACTCCAGATTTTCAATCTGGAGTCTAATAAGACCGACGGACCCGGCGACTTAGTTTCATTTTGGTTTTGTCAGTAGTAGGTATATGAGTTCAATCGGCATTTTGGGAGTAGATATCAGATACGATTCGCTGAATCCACTTTACGATTCGCGAGTCCACTTTAATTCGCGACAACGCAGGCAAAATGTCCGATTGTCCTGGTAAGTCAATGGCTCTTAACGATTAGTTTAACTGAATAATTACACTTGCTAGAATCAAGTCTTTTATATCGGTAACAACGTATATGATAATAATAACTTAAGTTCATTTACTTCAGAGTAAAATGTTTTATTTTCAATATATTACCAGAGTGGTGAATTTACACAGAAACGTATATGATAGTTTGATCTTGATATGTTCTAAATCTCACAAAGCCTGGGTGCATCCCAGTATGCCTATATATAAGAAAGAGGTGTGTTCGTGGTATTTATTTATATTAATATTATATTTTTATTCATATTTATGTATTTTATGAATCTGCATAGATTTAAAAAAAACTTTCATAGGGGATGCAGAAATTACTCTTGCATCAGGTTGTTCCTCTAACTGGGATAAATGAATCTTCAACAACGGTTTGTGAATAAGAAAGACTAACAGTAACAGGCACTTAGAGTCTATTTGAAAATATCAGCCGCCATGATAACATATAGCAATGATTTTACACATAATATTGGTTGTCTCCGGGACATGCAGCAGGTAGCATTTTTAAAAGGGAAGGAAATGAGCGAGTATATTATGAATTCGATACCATTTTGTACTTTGCCTTATGGGGGTGGAAAGAGATAGTTAGTCAATGATTACATGATATGATTCAAGTCAAAAGTACTTCAAAATTAGTTTCGTATTATTGTGATATCTTAGTTAACCATTAATAACATTTATCGGTTTTAAATATATGTGTACATGCAACGCCTTATTTTTGAAGTTATCATTTGTATTTTGAGTATTTTTTATAGTTTACTTTTTTCCACAGTGAGGATATCGCTAGAATACCTCTATGAGATTGGTGGTCAAGTTGGTCCACACGTCAGAGAGTTGGCAGTGTATTTAGGAATGCCGCTTGAAGACGTTGATCATTTAATAGAGAAGCACAAAAATAACCATAGGAAAGAAGTAGTGGTTGATTTGGTAACTGCATGGCAAAACAGTCTGCCTATAGATACTGATACATACAAACTATTAGCTCGCGCCTTAAGAAGAGTTCGGAGATTGGATATCGCCGACAACGTTGAAAAAAGGCGTATTTCTGAAAGTATGTTCAATGTTTTTACATGGGGGAGGATTTAACAATACGTTGAGGTATAAAGTATAATATCAGTATTACGTATTGGGCTACCTCAATACTTTGAAAATCAGTATATATTCGCAATAGATAAAATATTTACATCCAAATAAAATTAAGAATTTAGTTTAGTTTATTACTGATCACTAAACTATATAATAAGCATTAGGGATGACGGATTGTATATTTCAACTCTGATTTGTTGTCCATGTCCAGGATGTTCAAGTGTTCCCAAGTATGTAACTCCACAGAATGGGCTTATACCGAATGAACTATCAAAACGGAGAAATGCTACAGCCACGTTAGTATTTGATTTGCTATACAAAAACAGATTATATTATACCATTTGCATTCGTTTGACTTCACTTCTTAAAAGAGAGCTTCGTCTTCAAGTAGTAATTATATTATGAAGTACAATAGACCAATCACAGAGTGGGGAATATGACTGAATAGTAACTTATCATTAAAAATAGCATTTATTTACTTTATTCATGTTGTGGACAATTTATATATTAGTTCTATTTATTACAGAAATGTCAAGCCACATGCAGCCAATCAAGTACAAACCAATGCGCAGCTATTACCAGGGTAGGTGTCGGTGTACATCACAATTATTTGGTACATAACAGAACTCTTAAGAATTTTATTGTCCAGACTCTTATCAAGTGAAATCGCATAATTGTTCTTAACTTTAGCAATATTGGTTGTAATTTCATTTTATCAGAAACTACTTTTTCTATGCATTGTTTGAATCTTATAGCTTACCCTCCATAAGGTTGGCAATCGAAACTGTTCTTTGGAAAGCATGCGAGGGCTCAGGCCTCACTCCCAGGATAGCATTTCAAGCCCTGTCAATGTCCGGATCTTAATTTTGTTTCTTCATTACAATCTTTCAGAAATGTTTAATTGCCAAACTAAAACAGGCTTTGACAAGTGATCCAAAAAAGGGATTTCCTGTTGGCAAATTTATGGAGGGGAGTGTATTTTTGAGATTTTTCTACACCAGCATCTTTGTGCAAAATTGTGTAAATATCTCAGGCATGAAATTTATAGAACATTTTAGTGAATCCAATTACGGTAATCATTTTTGTAAGTATTTGTAAGATTTGTAACAACAATCTTGATATTCGCTAGCTTGACATCGCTTCCTGAACATCTAAACCCCAAACTCAACTCAACCCCATTAAATTCCAACCGAGCAATAAAAAGTAATGAAATAAAAAAAAAATAAAAAGACACCACTTAGGCAAGGATTATTCATTGACAAACTAATATTCCAAATGAAAAACAAAGTTTATTTCATAATCATAACAAAGTTCATCAAATTCGGTGTCAATATGTGATTTTCACATATTGACACATATTGTTGTGTCAAAACAAATTGAAATCATTTACTTACATTCACAGGGATTGTAAATCGGCCTGGACTACCCTTCTTTAGGGGTGAAATATTGTAAAAATTCACGAAATCAAAACATTTGGTTCAAGCCTTTTAAAAATGGCGGCTTGTTTTTATCACGTGATATATGAGAAAATACGTCATTCCTTCAATATACTTTATTCCAATAGTTAGGCTTACATGTAAAATAGTCAGTCTGAATAAAGGAAAGTCAAGCATATATGTTTCTATCTACTTCCCTGGCGTTATCTTGCTCTGATCATTTGGAAACGAAAGCAGGTTCCTAAAAGTCGAGACAGAGACGATTCTTATTGGTTGCTGCGTTATTAATCCAATCCAAATCCTATAATCCCTGCTAAATGGAAGATAAAACTTACTAATGACTGGTCACATGACCTAACTGGCAAGTGGCGATAAGTACGTTTCATTAGGAGTTTTAGGATTTATGAGTTTCCAGGGAATTAGTTCATCTATTCCATATCATGTGATCATGAATAAGCCAATGAGGATCTAGGGTACATATGAGGTGTTTGCTAACACAGATTCATTACCCAATGATTTAATGTTATTCCATAAGTACTTGGCTCACATAGTGAACCTATGGGATATACTAGGCGTCCGATCGTCTTGTTATGTTTAACATTGCTAATTGCCAATATTATATTTTTCAAATTATCTTTGTTATTTGATTATTTCAAGTTATTTAAATTTTCCAAAAGGAAACCCAATTCATGTCCGGAGCATGACTTTTCCATGAATATCATTTTGAGCCGCCCTACTCTTCCCATCAAGTACACAGCTCTTTTGCAAACTTACTTACGTATATCACCTATAGAGGTGTGCTTGTCGCTTGCTCATTTACTTAGAGATAATATCTAAAACTATTGCTAAAAATATATTACAGAGCTGCTAAGAAGAGTAAGACATGCAGACAGCTGCAGTATCCCGAGCAGATACCGTGAGTATTAAAAAAAGGTTATCGGTTTAGCAAGTTAACTACCCCAATACCATTAGAATTTCTCTCGAATTATAATAATCTGATTGATATCATGTTGACATTTTCCAGCACATAGTTTTTCAAATAGTTCTTTCATCAATAGGGGAAATTTTGAAAGGGGGAATTCTGTAATTTCAGGGACATGAAAAATGTCACGGATGGCCGAAAACGGTTGCCCCAACGACGTATTGTGACGAGGCAGACAGCCTTACTGTTACATGTCAAGTATGGTGGATACAGTTTAACTCAAATACAATATAAATAATGATTGATAACTTCCATTTATAAACAATTTGAACCTTTTCTGAATCTCAGATATTCCAAAATATGCTGGTTGTGTTTTTTTTGTCATCCGTACCATCTAATGTCCAAAACATTCACCCTCATATGCCAAGATGGCGGGAATGGTAGATGAGCTTGGTTACAAAATGGATGTATATTATATTGATATACGTCCATGGTTACAGTTGGGTTACTGGTTATGATTAAATTATTTTCTGGTAGCCTCTGGTACCATCCTTTCAAAATCAGACTCTCACCTCATTTATGCTTTTAATATCAATTACCATTTTTTCTAAGCTAATCTTGGACTTATGTAGTCATAGATTGTTTTGTCAAATTCCCGACCCTCTCCGCGTGGGGGGAAAGGTTTCATGTAAACCTTTGAACTGGGCACAACGGTTACCCCACTGCGACGTCATTCATCCTACCAGGTCCGTTGTCACTGGCATTTTCACTTATTCAAGGTAAGCGAATAGTTCATGATATGACTATGAAATATGAAGAATCCGTAGTACAAATTAGCGCAGCAACATATTAACCAACATTTTTTGAGGGGTCCATATGTTTTGATTTTTTTAACTACTGTTTTTCGTCATCACAGGGTGTCAAAAAACGTAAATATTTTCATTCGAATCTTACATTTTATAAGACCCTAGACGTTAATCTAAGCATATTCACAATTGTGATTATCATAACGTAAAAACTAATTTTTGTAAACACAATTTGTGCATGGACTGCATTGAAATTTTCAGAGATTATAGTTCTAACATATTTTAACTTATTGTTGGAGCTACAGCTTAAGGCGGTTTGATTGGTTGATTCTGTGGTTGTCATGTATAGATGATGTATAGATGTCGTAGTATAATACTGTAATATACACTTATTTGATTCCTTATCAATGTATTAAAAAAAGTTAGATACCATAATTTGATATTTAAAGTCCGCCCCGAGGGCGGACTTTAAATGCCAATATTATATTTTTCAAATTATCTTTGTTATTTGATCATTTCAAGTTATTTAATAGTCTTGCTCAAAGACTGTATCCACCCCCCCCCCCGTCACCTTCACTCTCTTTACCTGTCAATATACAGTCTTGTAACCACTGATTTTAGGCAGGTGCTGCCACCTTCCTAAACGGATCCTGAAATCATGAATTATTAATGAGATTGGAACTATTTGATATATAAATACACCAGACATGCTTTTTTGTAGTGAGTTTTAGTTAGTAATACTTTTAATTTTATGCTTTTAAACCTTTGTCAAAAGAAGGATTTAAGTTTAGAAAAGTATTTCTATACACAAGATAAAATCATGGAAATATAAGTGCAAGTATGAGGAACTATTTTCTTGGCAGTGAAGAGGCAATAGCCATGTGCTGCTCTAAGAACAACAAAGAATCTGATTGGCTGATCAAAAGGTGTTAAGAGATAACCATCTAGCATGAATAATTCATATCAGTGTCAACTTCCTGGTGGTTACAAGACCCTAGAAAGAAGGATAAAGGTGTGTGTGTGGGGGGGGGGGGGTACAGGGTCTCTTAAGCAAGACTAGTTATTTAAATTTCCAAAAGGAAACCCAATGCATGACTGGAGCATGACTTTTCCATGAATATCATTTTGAGCCGCCCTACTCTTCCCATCAAGTGCACAGCTCTTTTGCAAACTTACTTACGTATATCACCTATAGAGGTGTGCTTGTCGCTTGCTCATTTACTTAGAGATAATATCTAAAACTATTGCTAAAAATATATTACAGAGCTGCTAAGAAGAGTAAGACATGCAGACAACTGCAGTATTCCAAGCAGATACCGTGAGTATTAAAAAAAGGTTATCGGTTTAGCAAGTTAACTACCCCAATACCATTAGAATTTCTCTCGAATTATAATAATCTGATTGATATCATGTTGACATTTTCCAGCACATAGTTTATAAAATAGTTCTTTCATCGATAGGGGAAATTTTGAAAGGGGGAATTCTGTAATTTCAGGGACATGAAAAATGTCACAGATGGCCGAAAACGGTTGCCCCAACGACGTATTGTGACGAGGCAGACAGCCTTACTGTTACATGTCAAGTAAGTATGGTGGATACAGTTTAACTCAAATACAATATAAATAATGATTGATAACTTCCATTTATAAACAATTTGAACCTTTTCTGAATCTCAGATATTCCAAAATATGCTGGTTGTGTTTTTTTGTCATCCGTACCATCTAATGTCCATAACATTCACCTTCATATGCCAAGATGGCGGGAATGGTAGATGAGCTTGGTTACAAAATGGATGTATATTATATTGATATACGTCCATGGTTACAGTTGGGTAACTAGTTGTGATTAAATTATTTTCTGGTAGCCTCTGGTACCATCCTTTCAAAATCAGACTCTCACCTCATTTATGCTTTTAATATCAATTACCATTTTTTTCTAAGCTAATCTTGGACTTATGTAGTCATAGATTGTTTTGTCAAATTCCCGACCCTCCCCGCGTGGGGGGGAGGTCTCATGTAAACCTTTGAACTGGGCACAACGGTTACCCCACTGCGACGTCATCCATCCTACCAGGTCCGTTGTCAATGGCATTTTCACTTATTCAAGGTAACCGAATAGTTCATGATATGACTATGAAATATGAAGAATCCGTAGAAAAAATTAGCGCAGCAACATTTTAACCAATATTTATTGAGGGGTCCATATGTTTTGATTTTTTTAAATACTGTTTTTTGTCATCACAGGGTGTCAAAAAACGTAAATATTTTCATTCGAATCTTACATTTTATAAGACCCTAGACGTTAATCTAAGCATATTTACAATTTTGATTATCATTATGTAAAAACTATTTTTTTGTTAACAAAATGTGTTCATGGATTGCATTGAAATTTTCAGAGATTATAGTTCTAATATATTTTAACTTATTGTTGGAGTTTTAGCTTCAGGCGGTTTGATTGGTTGAGTCTGTGGTTGTCATAGCAGCCCGAGAAGCGCTAAGGCGGGGCAGATGGAATAACTGCAGTGTGATTGCATGTTTTAAATGCTTTAAAGATAGATTCTATCATGTTTATGACTTTAAATGGAATTTTAAACATAGTTATAACTGTAAACCTGAAATTCTCTGCCAATTTATCAATTTAATCTACAAAATTCCCTCCATTTTAGACACCCTTAGACACATTTTGGACACTCTTTACCTCCAGAACCTTTTTCAAAGACTTCACAGAATTCTTCTTGACTCATTTCTTTAAGTCTGTTTACTGTTTAACACATGCGAACGTATGGCATGAGTATTCTCAGATGCACGTCCTCTTTTACCAAGTTGTTCAATAAGTTCATGCAAAAACATTCTCATCTTTTTATTTTTTAATGTTTTCCTTGAAACTTTCACAAATCGTAGAAAAAATACATACTCATTGAAAATCAAAAAATAAATTACTTTATTTTGATTGGTCAAAAGTTATGGTTGCTATAGTAACCCGTGTTTTGGTCACGCGGGGCAATTTATGACGTGAAAAAGTTTATTTTTAATTGAATTATTGTGATTTATTAGTAAACATTAGCTATACTACATATAAAACATTGTCTTTTCAAATTGAAGTTCCTATCAAGCATGTCACTTCACTAAATGCATAGTTCCTGGCGCTTCACTCATTCTTCGTATTGAGTCCTAAAGTCACACGGGAATTAAGTGTGCCATCTTAAGCGAGCTCTACAAAAGAAACTGCCTGAAATTATGCCCTTCTCCAAGCTATTTCACCAAGACAATACCCCATGTCATCGAGCAAATATGGTTCAGGATACCATCTGAGATACCTACAGATAGAGATTTTAGACCAGGCTACATACACCCCTGATGAGGCTGTATTGGACTTTGGGGTGTTCAATAGGATGAAAGATGAACCGAGGTGTTCATTATGCAAGCATGACAGAGCTCATTGCAGCTGTGCAGAGTGCAATGTGCACTAAGTTCCCTTGTGGCTTTAGGGCTCAATACGAAGAATGCTTCAAGCCCCAGGAACTATGCATCCAGTTTAAAGAAGAATATTTTGAGCATTTAATGAAGTGACATGAATGTTAGATGGTTCAATTTAAAAAGACAATGTTTTATAGAGTGTATCTAATGTGCAACTAATAAGTCACAAGAATTCAATTAATATTAAACTTTTTTCACGTCATAAATTGCCCCGCGTGACCAAAATACGGGTTAGCATAGCAACCATAACTTTTGACCAATCAAAATAAAGTTATTTATTTTTTGTTTTTCAATGTGCAGGTATTTTGTCTATGATTTGTGAAAGTTTCAAGGATAAATATCAAAAGATAAAAAAATGAGCATGTTTTTGCATGAACTTATTGAACGACCTGGTAAAGTCCCGTTTTGATTCAGCAAAGAAGTATAAATCATTTGGCGCTAGGTTGGGTGCATTAGGTAGATGCGATGCTTGAGTTGCTCTAATCTCAGCTGCTCGATTTTCTAGTGATAATGGCAGCAGTATGGGAGGGGGAATTGTCCAAGTGGAAGAGAAATTGCATCCCGGTGTAAAAGAGTAGGAGGTCCTATTAATTTATGGTCCTACTCTGCATTGATTTATATGGTGACCTCTTTCCCTTATTATCTTATACACAATCAGGGCCAGTAAGGGCCTTTAAAAAGGGAGACCATAATCCCTGGGGACCATAATTTCTTTCACACCGGGTCGCTTTCTACGTAATGCCCGCATTAAGTCATTAAAATCCCATTGATTATCATTAAAAAAGCAGTTGTTTGACTTTTTTGTATCATAAAACAAAACAATAGATGATAATTTTATCATGGAGATGCACCAAGAAAGCTTAAATATGAAGTCAAAATCGGTCTGCCATGCTCAATGTTACACAGAAATTACTGCAGTTATTCCATGTGCCTCGCCTTAGCGCTACTCACGTTGCTATGCCAACCACAGAATTGACTAATCAAATCGCTTAAAGCCGAAACTTTAAACTATAATTCCTGCATATTTTATTGAAATTCATGAATAAGTAAAAAAGTTATGACATTATCTTTATTGCCCGAACACCCTGTATATTAAAAGAGCATGTCTTGTAAGAGGGATATGAATTCAAACACCTTATATTTCTCTTTCGACTTTACTGCTGCATATTATCACATTTTCTGATTGTTATATCCTTTTTGACATTATTGATGGTTATCATCACATTTTTGTTGAAAATCGAAACCATTTTTTCTCAAAGAGTCATGAATTCGACCGGTTCTTGGTGGTTGTTTTATAAACAACTGACCAATATCTAACTAAGGGAAAGATATTTTTAGCCGTAGCCACAGTTATTCAAGAAAGAGCAACAAGTCCTCCTTTATTGATAGTTGACCCTAAGGAACGTTCATTCAAATATATAAAGACCCGTTTTCTTAAAAAAACTAACATGATTTTAGCATATGTCTTTCTAATATAAATACAATTCATTGATACCATTTACATCACCAATATTGAAAAAATAATTCTAAATGTTGTTGTACTGATTACGTAATTTGTTTGTAGTTTAAAAAATAACGTCAAGATTATAGCTGAGAAACACAAAACATACATTTAAAATTTAAATTCTATCATATTCTATAACCTACATCTGAAGGTATCTGTATGACTATGGACTTAAAATGTTTTTCTACTCTTCCAGTCCTGATATTGTCAACGTTATGACAACAAGGTCAAAATGTAGGATCTGTAAGGCAAAAAAGGCTAAGATAGCGACTATACACGAATCATATTAAATAAGTATGTAATATATTTTTGATTCCTCTTTCGAGTCTTATTTTCCATAATTAAAACACTGTTCTTTTACTCAATGTACAGGGTGGTCCAAAAAGTGAACCCCTGCAACAGGCTATATTTTCCTTAATACTTGCATGAATAGGGTCACATGTTGTAAAGAAGGGTCTAAAATTTTGGTTGATGCCATAATTTATTCTCAGTCTTAAATTTTGAAGAAATTACAAGAGTTTAACAAACATGCCTGAAAATAAGATACTGTGCAAAATTTTACCAATGTGATTGATCGAAATAGTTGAAACATATTGGATGATCTTAAAACAGCTTTCAGTAAGAAATACAAGTTTAAAACCCTCCATATAACAAATTGGACACTATTTAAGCAGAAATACATTTTATACGTTCATTGATCATTTTGAAGCAGTTTTAACTATTCAACAGCTCAGGGGTATGTTACTAACACCAGCAGTTAGAGGGGGGCTCTTGTGGAAGGAAGTTGCCCCCTGTGACCAGGTATCTGAGAAACCCTTCATCAATAAGCTTTAAAAAATCAAAAGAAAATCCAATATCCAATGTTTTGAGCCGTATTTTATTAGAATCGGTCTACGATTTATGAAAATATTGACACTCCAAGATCATATAGGGGTATAATCGCAATTTCATTGGAAAATGTTTTTCGTCCATGGAAGCTTAGAACATTTCTTTGGATCACAATAACTTTGCAACTAACAAAGGTAGGATGCTAGTTTTAAGCCACAATGTACAGGATTCAAAATTGAAAAAAGTCAGAAAATATTAGTTCTTTAAGACTGTAGCTTAAAAAATGTCAGGGGAAGGGTGTTGAAGGGTTGAAGAATCGCAGATACATGTATTGAAAATCAAATTTTATCCATTTTCAGTAAAGTTTGGTTAGGGCTTATAATTTCTGCTAAGAAGAATGTGTTGTACCAACATAAAGTTTAGACATTCCTCTACAACATGTGAAAATATGAAAGAATTCCTGCTAGTTGTAAGGGAAATATGGCACGTTGCAGGGGTTCACTTTTTTCTGGATCACCCTAATATACATTATTTTTAACAAGACTGCTTTAAGGTGCAACTCGAAGGGTTTTTAGTATACCCCTTTATGATTTTATCTTTATTCTGTTATCAAAAAGTCTACTTCCAAAGTAAAGTTAAGTTACGAATGGGAACCATCATATTTTTGATTTAAAATTGAGTTAGAATGATGAAGGTTAGACCTCTGTCGTTTGTATTTTTGCAATAAACACAATTACTTTTGTATTTCAGTAACCCGGGATGCATTTAGACTTAGATATGGACGTACCTCACCTCAACTGTGTTCAACTCAAGTGCATTAACTTTAACCTGAAAAATCTCCAAGGATAACATTCTCAAACTGCTGCAGTGCGAGGCAATATGCAATCAAACATCATATCAACATTTTACATTAAATGTTTCAAAAGGGAAATGATGGAAAACGTCGTATCGAACTTTTCCCTTCGAGGCTGTTGCGAAGGGCTGTTACTGAATGAGATTCGTTTTCGTAACCACAATGTTTATTTCCTCCACAGCGTAAAACATTTTTATATTTTAGGTAACTTTTTGGTAAGCTAACAAATGTGTGACCTCTTGTGTTTTGACACTTCTCTCTGACATTGTCTTCGATAAAATCTGAAAACCAAAGTTTTGTATTTGAAATTTGAATTCATTTGCTATATATTATTTACTTTTGGCCCTTTGAATTATTTTTAGGTTTGATAGATTTACATTTTAATGCCTCGCACTATACTCAGACTATTAATGCTTTGACTTAACCATAGATGAGTTACATGTAAGTAACACCAAGTCGTTCAGCCTGTTGTGTTCCTAACTAAAGTACATTTCAAATAAACATACCGGTTTAGATACTTTAGGTAAACTTTAGATACTTTGGGCAAACTCATGGTCAAGAGACACGTTATAGATTCAATCTTAGAGCTTATCAATTTAAATCCACATTTGGGCAATGGAGCATTAAATACATAGGACAAACAACATGGAATGAATTACCTGAAACTTCATCCTCCGAACACAGGCCTCCAGAACTCGTACCTCCTCCTTCTTCTAGAAGGAAGGAACTTTGTGTATGATGTCTGGAACCCTGCGTTCGGAGGATGCTGAAACTTTTAAACATCTGAATTCTAGAAATAAATTTAAGTCAGATTTGAAAAAGTATTATCTGGACAAGTATTAAATTGATCTGTATAACATTTAGCTATATGTGCTTATATATATGTATATTGCTTTCTCTTCTATTACTTTTCTCCTAACTTTCTATCTTTAAAAACAGTTTTATATCTTGTCATCTTGATTAATACAATTATGTAATATAATCATATGTAACTATATACACCCGCATAGGTGTCAGTTGCCTGTACACTGAACATTGATATAATTGATGAATAAACAACTATGCAAACTGTAAAAATGAACCTAAGTATTTCTAGTATTATATTGCTGGAGAGGGAGAAGTCAACATTAAACACATAACAGGATAAACAATTTAAAGGGCGAGGTTATTGTAAACGGGCTAAGATTCCGGAGAATGCTCCATGACCTTGGGCAGGGTCATTACAAACATCAATGTGTTAGTAGCCCTAGTGACTCATCGAGGATCGAGGAGGAAATGCTAGGATACGAGGAAAAACTTACCCCACACAAAACTTACATGTCTGTAAGACAGGTCCATGGAAAATTGTTAAGTTTTCCCTTCAATAAAAAAATCTTCTTGATGAAAAATGTATACATCATTTTGGACTTTGAGAAAGCCCTGGAACTGAACACAAAGTAAGCTAAAATCAATCAAGGCAATAGATAAAAAATATTAAATCAGTTTAAGGAAATTGTAATATTGAAGAATGTAGATTTGTTATGTTGACCAGGGTTCTAAAAGGTTTCTGACTTCCTATTCCTTGTTTGTATCTAGTTTTATGTATTTTATCGCAAATTTTATCGCGTATTTGATCGTTTTACCGCAAATACGAGATTTTTGTCGTAATGTGACAAAAATGTAAAATTAGACTCCGGAAAAAACACTTTAGACTCCAGAAAAGCTTATTAGACTCTGGAGCAAGAGGGTTTTAAGACATTAGACTCCAGAGAATCTCCGGAATCTAAAAGCCTAGTGAGAACCCTGTTGATGGAAATGGCAGCACTTTTAATGTTTAATTTCGTTAACACATCAAAAAAGAAAAGAGGTGATGTGTTGTAAATGAAAATCATATGTCTGTTCATTCATGTGAATTTGCAACCAATTTTCACATTCCTTGGCTTCGTAGAAAATTCTTCTTAATGAAAATTAATGTTTTGACTTCACCGGTTCATATAAACAACATTATCACCATTTACTCAACTCAAAAATTCACTTCCGGTCTGTCTGTAATACAGATGAGCTGAAAGTTGTCGTGAACTCCTTTCAATCTTCAGTCTAAATATGGCTTTTCAAGGTTCAATAGAAAACTTTGAATGGACCTGCATGCATAGTTCGAAAACTAGAATCATCAGAGAAGGTTTTAAACCATGTAATCGACTCTAAAAAAATTTTGGACAATTTTGTCGGCTGTATGTTACAATATGCCTTTAATGTAACAGATAAGAAACTTTTTCCATAGTTTTGATATATTTGTCTGTGTGTTGTAGATTCTTTGGTGTTAAAAGTCTAAAGGTGGCCATGCCATTCCACCTTGTTGCGAGAGCACATTCATGTAGAGGCGACTTCCGCACAGCTCTCCAGAATGAGAAAGAGGCTTATGCCATCTATAAAACACAGGTAGGGTATGCAATTGTCATTCATACATTTGAAATGTAGTCCCTTGCAGGCAATCAATAATTAGAGAGGTTAAGCTACACGTATAAATGCAAACCGTGAACCTGAACGCGTAAGTCCACGCTCAAGTACACGTTTAAGAAAATTTTCCGTTAAGCTACACGTCTGAAACCATGTCAGTGGATGTGGAGCTATATTTATGTGGTAACTGTGTCTAAAGGTCATGTCTCTATGGTGAAATGGATAGCACTTCGGCAATCTAGCACTTCACGTATGTCCGTTAGGCCCTGGTTCGAATCTAGTCGCAATAAAACATTTTGTTTTTTATTTTTGAGTTATTTCATATTCAACCACAATTAAAGGGTCTAGTGCACTTTCCATTATGATTTCCTCATGAACAAAATGAATCATTTTTAACTGTAACATAAAGAATACAATGTCACATAATACTTTGGAAAACATTTAAGCGTTTGGACCCACATTGGCTGAGGTTGAGGTCATTAAGTTCAGCAAGGGTATATTGACTTCACATTGGATGTGTTCTATTGACTTAACCTGTGGATACCATCAGATTCCGATGGAGGCCATTGGTTTCTATTGATTTTCCCAAATATACCTAAAATACACTATGCCCTGAATCGATTGCAAATTAAATAATTTCACAATATGACACAAATGGTATATCACATCAGATGTGCAAATATAAAGTTTGCAATCGATTCAGGTCAAACTTCAAATTAAAAGATAATACATTTTTCATCATTTTTTCCTACAAAATGGCTATGAAAAATGCTTCAAAAGCAACTTTTACACTTATGAAATCCCATATACAACTTTGTAAATACAAAGATTATACTGTTACGTTTCATTAATTAATAACATATTTGGATAAGATGTAGGGATGTGTAGGATGCAAATGGATTTTGACAGACACAAAAAGACTCCATGGTTTGGCATCTCTACCCCTGTACACTTAATGATTGAATATTGGCCCTAATAAGTGGCCCACTCATCAATACAGTGCTGAATATAGGTCAACAAGATACTAGTGTACATATAAATGTAATAATAAAAGCAGTATATTTATTTTGAAAAATCAGATGAATTTATTTTTTTTCATTGGGAGATCATAATGGAGGGCGCACTAGATCCTTTCTTGCCCTGGTTGTCATTTCATTTCGTTTAGTATAGATATTGTACTAAGCCCCGGGCATCAAATTGGTCTTGCCAACTTATATTGTACGGAATGAACAAACGATCACATTTACCCATTAAAATGTATTCTTATTTCAAATTAAGGATTGGGGTTTACCAATATAACAAGCAAAATTGTCTGTATCAAATATGGGCTCCAGGGCCATCCTAGAACATAGCTAAAATCAATCAAGTAATGAGCGACGTGTAATCACTCATCTACACGTAAAAACCTGTAGCTTTCACGCTTACCTGAAGAAAGTAGACTAATCTGACGTCATTTTCCTGCGTGCGCATAGAAGTACACGTTCATGCTTTGTTGAATACGCGTCTGTAAATTGCACGAATATGATAATCTCATGTAAAAACCTGTAAACTTCACGCTGGCCACAGGAAATAAACAAATCTGACGTCATTTATCTGCGCGCGCATTTAAGTTCACGTTCAAGTTTTGTTAAATACGTGTAGCTTAACCTCTCTATTGATTCAATTTTATCAACCATTCAATGAACTTTTGTAAAAAGTGTAAGATTTATAGAACCTTAAAAGAGAATCAGCTGTTACTTATGAAATATTAAAAAAGCACTGAATTATTGTTAAAATCAAAAACAACAACTTTCAAATAGTTGAGACTTTTGAAAGGTATGAAATACATCTGTTCTCTTACAATCGGTTCTAGATACATATTTATTGCTGATGAAAAAAATATAGGTATTTCACTTTGGATAAACCCTATATCTAAAACCTTTCAGCACATAACCCCAGTGTTTTTTGTTATGCTGAATAAACATTTCCAACAATCTGCATTTCAGCTTGGGGAAGAGCACGACAGAACCAAGGAGAGTTCAGAATGTCTCAAACATCTCACCCAGCAGGCAGTTGTCTTCCAAAAGAAGATGAATGAAATCTCCAAAGGCGAGAAATCAGTCTCGTTCCCACCTATACAGATTGCCACGCCATCTTTAATGAATGTCCTAGAGACATTGAATGTCATAAACGGCATTGTGTTCTTACATATTAGGTACAGTAGAGATATAAGCGTATCAGATCATTTAATGTAATATTTCCATTTTTTTTATTAAATTAAAAAGCCATTTTCTTGTTGATTGTGAATGGATAGATTTCCTACCTGTTGATTATCAATTATTTTTAGCTGTAAAATAAATTGTTTGAATCATTTTTAAAATCAAGTTATCATGATTTCATCACATACATTTAGTGGACGTCATATTCCTCATTGACATTTTTGTATTTCATTTTCAGGCCAGAGGATATCGAGAAATTCAAGCTTGATATGTCCCAGCATGCAAAGCAACGCATGGAAATAGAAAATGGAGAACAAGCCGATCCATCTGATTCAGCGAATAAGCAAAATGGTGACTCATCTTCGAAAGAAAATTCACCAAAAATATCTACACCAAAAGAGAGCTTGTCAAAGGAAAATTCGCCAAAATTGGACACAAAAGTTGGTGACAATAATGCGAATTTGAAAAAAGTTATGACAAGTGACATCACCGACCAATGAGCTTATAACTCAGGTTGGAAAAGACAGTGGATATATAGAAATACAAGCAGGGAGGTAATAATAAATTACACGAAAATTAAGCAATTTAAAACAAAAATAGAGGATATGTTGGTGCTCTCAGTGTTGGACAAAAAGACCAATCAAATGTCTGGATTTTAGGATCATTTCTTACCTTATATGGAATAAAATAAGGGAAATGAACACCGTGTGTTCAAAAATGATGGAAGTTTAGACTTGTGACTCACTCTCCGTCAAGTTTACCAACTGAATCCTCGAAATAAACAGTTATTATAAATTAGGCAATTTGTTAGATTTAAATACAGTGGTGTGTAGATAATGTGTGAAATATGTACATATTAAATTGTTGGTTCGATTGAACCCATTACATTACACAGGATGTCCTGGTTTATGTATAAATCATCAATAGACTTGGGTGGCCATCGTTGAATTGTGCATTTATTGGGGTCACTTAATCCTCCTGGTCCATGTAAAGGGACTGCAAGAACAAAAGACATTATTAGTATTATCAATAGGACAATACACAGTATTTACATACAGGGTTCCTTTCTTTACATGAATTCATGAGAACTTGCATCGCAGTTAAGAGGAGGGAAAACCCCATGATTCAATTGATGACATACGATTTCCTCTTTCGCACACCTTTCCTGAAAGTACGTATATTTGTTCACCCTCCATCTTGGTTTTCAAAGTTTTCAAATTGACCTAGTTTTAAAGCAATCAGCGATTGACTTGCTAAACCAATCAGCGACGATGTCATCTCAATACAGATTTACATTATAAGCGTATGTCATCTTTGAACCCTGGGGTTTCTCCCCCTCTTATCGCAGTTGATGCAAACTTGCTATATTTGAATTGCATAATAATTATGTGTTCAAAAGAACAATGCTCTACAGAAACTGAATTATTGCATGTTAATAATCGTCAATCGAGGTCATATTACGAGGCCAGTATTAATCAATGTGATTTAGCTTACAGCAAAACTAATGTGATTTAACTTAACATACAGCAATGTAATTTAACTGACAGCAATATAAAATAAGAGAATTATTGAATGAAATTATCTTGAATTGTCAAGATTGCATGTATGTAGAATATTTGCATGTAGAATATTTACATGTAGAATTTTATATTTGCATGTAGAATATTTACATGTAGAATTTTATATTTGCATGTAGAATATTTGCATGTATATTTCATTGCACTTCTACCGTTACCTAAAAAGTGTGTGCAGTGAAGATTCAAATTTTGATATTCAATTTTGGTTCTGCTTCTTTCCTTTGCATTATTAATCAAAACAGCTCATGTTATTTGTTTTAATCATAAAATAAGATATCATGATTTGTTAATATTATTGCACTTCGTTGACATGCATGACTTGAAATTTCACATCTGAAAATGTTAATATTATTTTCTTGTGGTATCTATTTTCAAGTGTGGAGGTATAAAAAATGTCAACAGAACTAAACAGTTGCACGAATAGACATTTAGAATAGATTCATAAAAATCGACTTGAAAAAACCTCAGAATAATAATGGCTTATGAAAAATTAAGTTGCATGCTTATTTGGTATTTATTTTTTACTTGAAGGAACTTGTTTTCTTTATGTACATTGGCAGTGTTGATTGAATGCTTGCGTAGATGGTCAAATTGGGATACTGAAATATTTAATTATACAACAAGAGCCTACTTTTATTTTATTTTTTGTACTTTTCCTTTTTGGTCTTTGGCAATTAATGCTCGAGTAATCGGTATAAGTATTTCTATCAGAATTTCAAATATTATTCAAAATTATCAGTGTCTCATTTCTGATCATGTAGAATGTGTGATAGTTAGACATTCCAAGTATAGGTGGCAGTGTGAAGCCGTTAAGTTGTTGCTTAGCAACCAGATATATCTCCACATGGCAACCGTGTGTTTCACATGGCAACAGTGTGTCTGAGTGAATGCTTACTGTATAATCTTATGGAAACTTGTTTTCTTAGTAATATACTGTTGTTAAGTGTATTATACACAGTGATCTCCCCAGGGTTTTTCCCAAAAGTGTGCAAAATAACTATTTTGGTCAAAATATGTCATCATTATGACTTTGTGCAACAAAAAGATTTTCAACAGGGTGGTATGTAGTTTTTAATTTTCAGTATTCAACATGGCGCAGTGCCCAGTTTCTCAAATACTAGGGAGGTCACTGTTCAGTGCTCTCCCCAGCAGTGAAGCAAGTGGGCACAGCACCAACCTGAGATTTTGATTATAAGCTTGTACCCACCTGGGAATCCTTTTGCACCCACTTGCAAAAGAGAAAAATCAAGAAAAATAGGCATATTTTGACCAATTTTGGTCTGAATTGTGAAAATGAAAAATTAGCACCCACTTGAGAAAAAATCCTGTGGAGATCATTGCTGTTATATGGTACCTGAATATTGTTAAAGTATTCATACATTTGTACATGTATACATTAGTACATGATGTTATGTAAATATGGTGAGGGGAGAAATTGACAAGTAAAAATGTAAATTGTTTTTACAAGGGGAATATAATAAATAAATGAATCAAAATTGTACAAATTGTTATGGTTTGCCAAGTTTCTATGGTAACCATGATATTGAGGCACATGAAGTGCATTGTTCAATGTATTAGCACACAGATTTTGTGTGCCGATGTATGTAATGTGTGTATGCTCACCAAGTGTGTAGATTCACTCTCTTGTGTGTAATTACACAAATTGTTTTTGTGTATGGATAAGAAAGTGATGTTTTTGATGCAATAATAGAGGAAGGAAAATGAAGTGCAAAATGTTAGTCAGTAAATGAAAATGTCGTGCCAAATTTTGTTACCATGGATAGTGGTTAGACCTTCAAACTTTACAATCTTTTAATAACTTAGGTCAAAGACTGATTTATAAACTAAAGATTGTTACACCTACCGGTAAGTTTTATTTAATGATAACTTTTAAACCTATCATAATCCCATGTCTACTTTTGGTTTTGATATTGTTAGCTTGAAGGTCCTACCACTATCCTAACATTTAGATGTGATTTAGAAAATAATAATTTAGTGAACTAGATTGTTAAATGTATTAGAGTTCAATAATAGACACATCCTAGGTGAAATTGAATTTTTCTAAATACAATTTTTTACAAATTCTACATTGTACATTACATTGCAAAAATTCTGTAGACATTGATTGCATGTGGTATTATGACTGAGTAACCAAGCAGTGAAATTCAAAATCAAAATTGAGATTTTTATAATGCATAATCTATGTACAAATCCAGATTTCAAAGGTCAGTAATGTATGAACAAGGCAGTCACGTTGATTACAGTGTTCAATAAACCTAGTTGAAAAAATCATCAAAACATAAATTAAGGGTGTGTTCAATACAGTGTCACACCCAATTGTTTAAGGGTGGCATCTCTAGACCAGGGCATGTAGAATGTACAGTTAGGAATCTGCACATGTGTTTGAAATACATAGTTTGGAGTGTTGGTTTATGAAATTCAATAATAAATGAACAAAAATAAAAACAGATGTTCTTTTTGTTAACCTTGGGTGTATGATAGGTGATCTTTGGGGGGGGGGGAGGGGGGCAGATGAGTAGTACTAGATTGACAGGCAAATGCAAAATCATCGATGTGATCTGCCAACTGGGAAACGATATATCCATTGAGCAAGGCTAACATATCCGGGAAATCCGTAATTATCCTTCATGGGCATCAATTTTGAGAATATTGAGTCACAGAGAGTCAGAAATTGACTCTAATATTTACAAATATCCAGGAAATATCTACTTTACATCTAAACAAAGAATTGTTATAGTATAGTTGGTATAAACTGGAGAGCACGGTTGTCCAATTATGTAGAATCAATTACAATTCTTCTTTTATCCAGAAGTGCAGATCAGAATTCCTTGGATTATTTGTCCTAAGCCGCCTCACCAAAGGCGGGCTGTTGTCAGGAAAACAGATGATTAAAGTATCAAATAAAATTTAGATGGATGATCAGGAAAGATGTTGATTATGGACTTGTTGAACTTATTGTGCCACCATCTTCAAATATTGAAAAATATATATATACAATTATATGTTACAGTATCATGATGTCAGCATGCTAAAAGTCAATTCCGGGTATATGGACCCTATTGCAGGAGATGTGCTATATCACAACTTATAGATTATTGGTTGATCTTCATATATACCAAATTTCACACACAATAGGTGAGAGTAAGCAGCCTATACCATTTTGAACCACCCCTCGTACATTTAGTGCACTAAATGGATAATGAACAAATATTTCACTCTATTGAGGTGAATACCTGTACATCTTTCACAAGTCATCACCTTGTGAAAGTGCTACAGGTATTCACCGAAAATAGAGTGAAATATTTGTTTTATTATATCACTGTCTAGGTAAACATCCCTAATATTATTAAGTCATGGGTTAACATTGAAATACATTGAATTTACTCGATTCGTCTGCCATTTTGACTTACACTGAACTTAATTATTTACACTGAACGAAAACAAATTCTTTGAAAATTCCCGGGAGCGTGGGATATCGCTAGATATCTCACGGTTGTCTTATCTGATTAGCATTGCCATTGAATATCGCCAGATATCCCACGACATGTGACCCGGTTTTGACCAATCATACTGTCGCTAGCTAGATAGTGATATAATAATTGCGATTATTATACTTCGCATAGATAATAAGTAAGGTAACAAAATCTCAAAAATGTTCAACCTTGGGCATAAGGTATCGTCATCTCCTTAGTCGATTTCAATATCTAAACGATGATGTCAGACCTTAGACCTAAGGTCCTCTCTTCGCAAACCCCCAAACGAATACCTAAGGTTTCATCGATGGATGGTTTCCTTATACACCTGACCTTAGGCCTAAGGTCTCGTCGATACAACTCGTTATTTAACTGACCCTAGGCCCAAGGTCTCATCAATGAATGGTTTCCCAATACAACTGTCCTTAGGCCCAAGGACTCATTAATGAATATAGTTTCCGTATATACCCGACCTTAGGCCTAATGTCTCCTCGTATACAATTATTCAACTGACCTTAGGCCCAAGGTCTCATTAATAAATGGTTTTGTCATGTACCTGACATTAGGCCTAAGGTCTCTTTTATATACCATTTCGTTATTAACTGACCTAAGGTCTTATCAATGAATGGTTTTGTCATATACCTTACCTTAGGCCTAAGGTGTCATCCTTGAAAACACCAATACACCTGACCTTAGGCCTAAGGTATATATTGCATATTACAAACCTTAGGGGGTTACTAGTAGTTTAGAATGTAACTGAAAAGTTGAGAATGTGTTCTATGTTACCAAACTGCAACCAGATAAAGCTGATGATGAACTTCGGGTCTTCCCGCTGACTAATATAAAATTTAATCTTATTATCCTATGTCCAGTATAGTTTTAGGGAAATACGTTTATAAGATATATCCCATATGCATATCTCCCTCTGGATAAACCCCATATCCAAAACCTCCCAGTACATAACCCTTATATATCTCACAATTTGACGAGATATCATTGAGGTCTTATCTTGATTTTTGAAGTGTTTGAAATGCAAAACATTGGTTGGTCAATTGTTCAAATGTTGATTAAGAAGTGGCCAATACGCTACACATCACTAGTAGCACGCAAAGGCCTTGCTTCTTGATTGTGGTCGTCATCATCATCACAGATACCTCTATCCTGGTCCGAGAATATAAGGTATTTATTTCTGCGGTGTTCATCGGTTAGTTCCGCGTGTCCTGGTTGTCCCAATGCATCCTGTAGCTTCCGCCAGAACAGTTTCTGCCTGTCTTCTTCCTCGCTCCATTCTACATACAGACGACTGTCTAAAAGTGCTCGCAATCTCGGTTTAATCAGGTCAGCATGAATCGCATTCAAAGGCTCTTTGAGTATCAGAATTATACAATTTGATCCACGAGTAGCAAGAACTCCATTCGCCATTTCCATTTCATATGTACACCACCCACTCTGTAAAAAATTCTGAGATATAATAAGTATTATTTTTCTGCTTTGATTCATGGCGACTGTTACCAAGTCCTCTAAGACGTGACCCATCAGAAAATTGCGCTCATCGAAACACAATTTGTAACCGATATTATCCTCCAAATGACGAATCAAAGTGTCATGGGCGAACCTTTTGTCTATGCTACTATAGCTCAAGAAGCCATCAAAATAGTAGTCACCATCCAGAAAATGTCTTTGACGGAATTGGGCACGAGCTAGCAATGCAAGATATTGTATTCTAAAACGCCATTTATAGATAAGCAAGCCAATTGTCAAAACTGCACCAATAGCGGGACCAATAGTTCCCACTGCTACGACTACTGCTATGACAATTGTCTTGATGCATTGGAAGTTGAGATCCGACACCTGAATCTCCATTACACGAACAAGTTGACCATTTTCATTTGTACATGTTATTTCTCCTGGGTGATGTAAACTCGTACGATAGGACTGCAACCAGCTCACAAATTCGATGTCGTTGCATTTGCATGACAATGGATTCCCTCGTAAATCTATTGTCCCATTGAACCATTTTTCAAGTTCATCAGTGAACGTTGCATCGAGTTTCCCGAACATGTTATAAGATAGATTCAAGAAGTCGAAATGTTCAATACGATCAAGATTAAAATTTTTCAATTTATTCGAGGACAGGTCTAAATATTTTAGATTAGGTGCATCTTGAAATATATCAGGAGGAATGTGGTTCAGTTCATTAAAGGAAAGATCAACAAGTTCTAGTTTATTACAGTTGTCAAACAGCTTTGGTTTCGGATTATTCATACCACTCGTGTTCAGCTGAACTTTGTTGCCACTCAACCTCAAAATTTTCATGGATTCAAAAGTTCCTCTCGAACATTTGAGTATAGATGGCGCGATTATGCAGTTGTTATCATTAAAATTTAGTTCCTCAAGGTTTATGAGTCCTTTTATATTTCCAGAAATATCAAAAAATTTGTGTGGACCTGATAGATCCAAAACTCTCAGATTGTGTCCGTTATAAAAATTGCATTCTTCCGAAATTGATAGTTCATATGGTAAAAGGGATGGACTTTCCGATTCATCAAAAAGAACATTTGCCAATTCCAACACTTCTAGTTCTTTAAAATGCGACATGTCTAAATCAAATCCATCTACGATTGAAAATCCTGTGTCAATTACTTTTGTTCTGCGTGTATTCATGTGGATTTTTCTTAGTTTACTTGGCTTTAACTTGTCGAAATCATCCGACCTAATAAGGACCAGAGGTCCCGGATAATAATGCGTGTTGTAAGACAAATCTAAAACCTCCAGGTGCTCAAGTTCGCTCAGTCCGATCAAATCAATGACATGAAACACGATTTCAGGCCAAGGAACTATTGTTGGTCGTGTACGAAACACATCTATGTAATTGTTAGCCAAGTATATTTCCCTGATAGGAGTTCTATTTAGTTGTAATAGTTGGGAAATGTTTAACGAAGATCTCCTATCTTTTTGGATTTCACTAAAATCTAATATTTCAATATTAGAGTTCCTCAGGCTATCTAATGCAAGGATAAGGGGATCTATAGTCATAGTTTTTTGGCGTGCGTTTAATCTGGACACATTCAATATTCTGATATCAAGGAACTGTTCGAAGATGCCATCCAGACTTGCCTTTGAGGAATCTGTTTCAATCGGGTTCTCACTAAGGTTAACTTCTTGTAATGACGGTAGCCCGATGAAACTATCTTTGAATCGTTGAATACGGTTACCTACCAGATTTAAACATTTTAAATTTGGGTAGTTCGTAAAGAGTCCATAAGTTGTTCGATTTGGTGTTCCAATCAGTATTTCTTTCAGCATGTTATATCCAAGATTGAGAGCTGTGATGTTAACCGACACGTCATTTATCGGTATATCTTCCAGCAAACCTCGTCTACTCTCGCTTCCTTCACATTTGATGACTGTATCTGTACACATTTGACAATAATTCGAATCCTTACAAACGTCAGACAGTAGAGGATAGCTCACTGCCCTCATTATGGTGCACAGCATAGCAATAAACACAAAAAAGGCCATTGTTCAAAACGACACGCTGCACAGGCATGACGCATAAAAACTCCAATTGAAAATGGCGTGGTGCATCGGTCTTTAGCCGGAAGACGACTACTTTCCGATAGCAATAGGGCACCTGTTTCTTTATCCCCCTGATCCCAAATTATTGGAGCGATGGAGTTATTATTTTATTTCATGCTGTTTTATTTGAGAGCGTCACTTACTTTCAGCTGAGACTAACATATGGTGGTCTCAGTTTTCAGGTTTTAAAATTTTGTGCGATTTCCTCTTTCAGCTCATTTACCAATACCAGGGGCTAAACAAGGATGTAATATTAGGCAAGGTAGGCATTTAATAAGCGAGGCTAATTTGAAGAAGAACTGGGGCATTGGGGGGGGGAGAAAGAAGGGTGTTTGTTAATTGCCCCTTGTCTATCCGGCGTGTATTGAGGACGACACTTCATTTTAACTAATACGCTAGTCATGTACGTTTTATTGCAATGATTAGTTTTTAGTATAGTAATACACTTGCAAATCTTGTTAACCGTCATTACATGTTGATATAAAATCATGACACCATTGATAACAGAACTAGATAATGCTTTAAAGCTTTTGACGCCCATAATCAATAACATTAGAATTAATAAAGATATAGTTTGCCTCATAGGTGAAAAAATGTTTCGTGGTCCGGTACTTTCCCACATAAAATGATTGTACCGTTTGAAAGAACAGACTTCCCTCTTCAAGAAAACACCTCTTCTATTGATAGAAACAGGGGCAAAAGGCACCAAAATGGGGTTAGACAAGGTGGTATTCTGAGGTCTCATTTTCTAGTCATCGCGATTCCAAGAAAACCACCAGATGGATTTACTTCAAATTTTCACACATGTTACATGGAAGGAAGTTCTAGAGCTGATTGACTTTTCGGCGGCCATCTTGCATTCTGGCAGCCATCTTGGATTTTTTTTAGATAAATCTTGTCATCGCGATTCCAGAAAAATCACTCTACAGATGTACTTCAAAATTTCACAAATGTTATATGATAAAAAGTCCTACTCCTCATTAGTTTATCGGTGGCCATCTTGCATTCTGGCGGCCATCTTTGAAGTTTTAAGATAAATCTTGTCATCACGATTTCAGGAAAACCAAACGGATTTACTTCAAATTTCCACACATGTTACATGGTAAGAAAATCAAGAGGTGAATGACTTTTCGGCAGCCATCTTGCATTCTGGAGGCCATCTTGGAAATTTTGGGATAAATCTTGTCATCGTGATTCCAGGAAAACTACCTAACAGATTAACTTCAAATTTTCACACATGTTACATGGTATGAAGTTCTAGAGCTGATTAACTTTTCAGTGGCCATCTTGCATTCTGGCGGCCATTTTGGAAGGTTTATAGATAAATCTTGTAATCACGATTCCAGAAAAACCACTTCAGAGTTTTACTTCGAATTTTCACACATGTTACATGGTATAAAGTTCTAGAGCTGATTGACTTTTCGGTGGCCATGTTGCATTCTGTCGGCCATCTTGGAAGTTTTTAGATAAATCTTGTAATCACAATTCCAGGAAAACCACGTAACAGTTTTACTTCAAATTTTCACACATGTTACATGGTAAGAAGTTATAGAGCTGATTAACTTTCCGATAGCCATCTTGTATTCTGGCGGCCATCTTGGAAGTTTGTAGATAAAACTTGTCATCACGATTTCAGAAAAACCACTTTACAGATTTGCTTCACATTTTCACACATGTTACATGGTAAGAAGTACTACAGCTGATCAACTTTTCAGTGGCCATCTTGCATTCTGGCGGCCATCTTGGACGATTTTAGATAAATCTTGTAATCGCGATTCCAGGAAAACCACTACACATGTTACATGGTAAGAAGTTATAGAGCTGATTAACTTTTAAGTAGCTATTTTGCATTCTAGCAGCCATCTTGAACGTTTTTAGATAAATCTTGTAATTGCGATTCCAGGAAAACCATTTAACCGATTTGCTTTAAATTTTCACACATGTTACATGGTAAGAAATTCTACAGCTGACCAACTTATAAGCAGCCATTTTGCATTCTAGCAGCCATCTTGAACGTTTTTAGATAAATCTTTTCATTGCAATTCCAGCAAAATTACTTAACTGATTTTCTTGAAATTTTTACACATGTTACATGGTAAGAAGTTTTAGAACTGTTACAAAAACAGAGTAAACAAAGCACATGGTGAACAAGATCGGCCTAAAACATAGCAGTGTGGACTTGATGTCCCAGAAAGCAAGATGGTCGAAGAGTTAATCAGTTGAAGAACATCTTACCATGTAAAGTGTAAAAATTTGTTAAAAAATATCTCAGAAGACAACAAAATCGTCGATTTAATTCCTAACTTAAGTTTTTTTAATAATCATTTATTTCAAATATATACTATACATACAATAATACAATAATAACGTTTGACAAGGTTACAAGTAACATTATTGTCAAACTGAAAACCTTAATGTAGTTGCATTCATAATTTTTACTTTAGGAAGAAATACCGTTGATGTAACTTAAGTGAGGAATTAAATGTACTATTATGTTGTCTTCTGAACTATTTGTTCGCAAATATGCACATTTTCTTAAACATATGATACTAATACACGTTTGTGAGAAAAATGTCGTGGGAATTCTGCCTACAAAGTGTGAAATAAGGAAAAAGGAAAAATCATACCTTCGATGTTCCCACATTTTGTTACCGAAACAAACCATTTAGGTAACCAGCATAATCGAGTGGATCACTAGTGATATACTTTAGTAGTCTTTAATAATGTTAGGGAGGATGAGTTGTAAGGCATACTATGTCATGTTAGATCATGATCTATACTACTTTTATTACAATTTACCAGTTACACTTTCTCAATGCTAGGTTCTGTTATAACTTTTGTTCCGTTTCCTATGGCATCCGTGGTTTATACATTTACATTCACAATTGTCGCTTCCTGGTATATTTTTTTAGGTTTTATGACTGTTAAATTCTTTACTCTAGTTAATACCACTTTATAAACAGGTTTATTATTACTTTTATGACTGTTAAATTATGTAGTCTAGTTAACACCACTTTATAAACAGGTTTACTATTACTGGTGTAACTAACACTACGAAAAAAATATAATTAATTTATTTGATTTTATATAACATGAAAGGATTTTTTCTTTTCGATAAAACATTGCTCATTAGTAATATATTTAGTTGAAAACTTAGAGTAAACAATCAGTTTAGCTTCTATCACATAGTTTATTTTGGTTCAGTAGATTTTTCTATACATTATTTTTATGTCACCACCACTAGTGATTGGGTGACATATTGTAATAGCTTCGAACGTTTATCTTGACACTGTTTAGTAGTTAATGTGTACTGTATACTTAACAAGGTGTGGTGACATTTTGCATGTTTCTGCATCGCCACTACTATAGAAAGCTTATGTTGATATTGTAGCAGTGTTTTTTAAGTTCTTTTTGTTAGTACAATTAGTTTCCAAACCCTATACTTATATCGATCTGACACACAGTTTTAGTGCAGCTTTAAGTGACTTTTGTTGATTAATAAACACAACGAGCACACGTGTCTCGAACTCGCAACATTGTGGATACAGAGCCCATTCACATAGTTTGACATGCTGGTGCTCTCAACCAGCTCATTAGTTAATATCTGACTAAGAGACAGCTTGCTTTCCCGATGAAGAAACGTTGTCTGCAGCTTTTATGAGTACTAGTATCTACAACTATTTCTGATCTTATGAGTATTGGATATCATTATTTTCAATTTTTCTTCAACATGTATTTTAATGACTTCAGTATGAATGGAACGTCCCTTGGAGTTGTGGTCGTTGATGAGGAATTGGTCATTGAACGGTGTGGATACTGTTTATTCCCATATTAGATTATTGTTTTGGGATATTCAGGTTTGATTTTTGTTTGCCAGTTTTACACTTTAGAGTTTGCTTTTCCCACTAGGTTGCTTTACACTTTTTTCCTTTCTCATTTTTGTTTATATTTAGTAAGGATATGATACGCAGGTCTCTCCTCCTGTGTGATCACCTGTCCAGAAGATAATTCAACTACATGAAGAACATTTCGGTGACATGATGCACAGTGAAAGATTTTCCACACATTTATATTTTCTTTTAAAAGAGCTTTAATTCCGTTATATACTCAGATCAAGGCCAATTTAGCATACATTTCGCTCTCAAAAAATCGCTGTGCAATAATGGATTTCAAAGAAATGTTTGACGTTTTCAATAATCTTTTTTCTTTTTGATGAAATGTAGTTATTTATTCTAAAAATCAATCGATGTCATACACAAAATGCATTTAACCCTCTTGCCCATGTTTCTATCAATATGAAATATGATATCATACACCAAATATGCATTTATGTCAAATTATGTGGTTTAAATACAGACAAATAGATAACATTGTCCTTAGAATACCACCTTGTGTAACCCACTTTACTGCCTTTTGCCCTTGTTTCTATCAATATATCGATGTTTTAAAGATCAATTGATACCATACACGAAATATGCACTTATGTGGTATAAAGTAAAGAAACATAGTGAAAGGTTGCATTCAGAATGCCACCTTGTCTAACCCCATTTTAGTGCCTTTTGCCCCTGTTTATATTAATATACAAGAACACAAATGTTTACAATATGTCCCCACCTATGGGTGATCCTGTCAAATGGTTATCCTAACAAAAATGAGTAGACAAGACATACTTTACCAACACAATTTGAGGACGGAGAATCCAAAATGGCCACCTTAAAATTTACCAAGAATGCCCAAAAATTAGTCCGTTCTAGATTTTCATACTAAGAACCACCCCTGAAAATTTGAAATTGATCCGTCACACAGTTAACCAGAAAACATGTAAACAAGACTTTACAGACAAGATTTGAGGACAGAAAATCCAAAATGGCTGCCTTGACATTGATCCAGAATGCCAAAAACTAATCTGTTCTAGATTTTCATACTAAGAATCATCCCTGAAAATTTGAAATTGATCTACCAAACAGTTCACCTGGAAATGTGTAGACAAGACTTTACAGACGGGATTTTAGGACAGAAAATCCAAAATGGCTGCCTTGACATTTACCCAGAATGCCCAAAAACTAATCAGTTCTAGATTTTCATACTAAGAATCATCCCTGAAAATTTGAAATTGATCTACCAAACGGTTCACCTAAAAACGCGTAGACAAGACTTTACGGGCAAGATTTTAAAACGGAAAATCCAAAATGGCTGCCTTGACATTTATCCAGAATGCTGTAAAAATAATCAGATCTAGATTTTCATACTGAGAATCATCCC